TCCCTTTGTGCTTGGTCTACTGTAGAGTCTAGAAGGATAATGACATGCTGCCCCTGGGCGCACGGGATATTAGACCTATGGTCATGCAGCGCGACGCCCTTGACCTGTTCTGTAGTAACGCGCTCGATTGGCACGATACCAGGCCCCGTTCCTGCGCACGTGGGTCCCATTTCCGGAAGCCTCCCGCGAAACCCCAGGTCCTCGTTTTCCTGGGATCACTTTTGGCTTGGTTTGATGTGGTACTTTTACGAAGACTTAGCACATTTAGCACAGTGGGCAGCACTTCGCCCAAGAAACCAGGCGTTATTGAACTCTGCTCAGGTGGTCACTGGAAGCAACAAAAACACAGCATCAAGGGCCCAGACTCTGCACGATAGCGGAGTGTATTGCGCTGCAGTTCAGTGTTCACCGTCTGTTTCTCACCGCTATGCTTCTGTATCTTTCAGCGCTGTCTAGGGCCTCACCGCATCGTGAAGGTCCCCTGCTATTGTGGTGAGAGTTGCAGTTCACGACAGGCATTGAAGGCATGTCTAGCCCGTCGCGTCAGCACTGTGACCCAGAGCCGAGCCCAGTGGAAAGGAACGTTGATCCTTTCAGCGGGGGCCGTGACCCCCTCTATATGGGTCTCGATGGAGACGATAGTTTCCAAAAAGCCCACCCAGTGCTCAAGGCTGCCGGTATTGGGCAGAGGTTCTGACACAAAACCCGACTTGCGAACCAGACCATATGCCGTAGTGCCGCTATGCCGTCGGCAGAGACGACTTGATCCGCTGAACATGCTTGCCTTGCATTGCTTCTTACCAAGTGGATAATATGGTCTGAGTTGTCATGCTGCAAAGCACTGTGCCATCCTGTTGCGGTTGCGAACAAGTAGCGGTGATGGTGGCTGGACTCTGAACCTTCCTTCTGGACTGATGAGATCGAATGAAACATTGAAGCGGACTACAACGTGAGTTCTCCTAGAGTCTGAGATAAGAAGGCTTATTGCTGATGGTCGCCTATGGCCATGGTGGTGACGATTCATTCATCTACTTGTGAAACGTGGATCATGAGGAATTCCCAATTTTAGGGCTGTCATCGTCTCATCGCAACTTCGAAAGAACGACCTTATCTCACTGTGGGAACTTCTAGAAGAGCAATTCCACTTAGCGAGCACGTCTAGGAAGTCCCGGATGCCATCCCGTCGACTAGCTCGTGTCAGCGTTAAAGGGGTTCGCTATTCCCAAACCAACCAGCCGGACGTTGAACGAACGTAATTAACAAACCAAAGCGCTCCGTCATGTGTCCAACCCGTGTTGTCCCGTAATGTGCAACTTAAACGGAGCTGTAACACAAATCCTGGACAATAATACGTGCGAAGAATTTTCACAGCCGTGCTGACGTCTTGGACACCCCAGTACCCTAACTCGAATTCGCATGTACGTATGTGCTTGGCATTGATTGAACGTGACACGGTCGATGCTTCTGTGAAATGTATGCGTTGAAAAAGCAGCAAGCCTGGCCGGGAAGGCCCGCTGCGTGAGTAGATCCCGTTCTAGCAGACAGCATATTGACTAGACAATTTGCGAGGCTCGAGTTAGTAAAGCTGTATAATGCGAACACCATCGCATTCAACGCCTCTGAATGAGGCTTGTCTCAAGTACAATAAACAAGTGGGGCACAGGCAAGCTGAGTTCGAAGCTGAGAGTTGCGCTGAGCTTCCAACTGTCCGGGAAAATGGGTTCGGAGTATACGACCCCGCAGAGTACGTAGTTCATTGATGATCACCACGCCCGCGATAGTATACCTGTTGGTCCATGGAGAGCACTTGTGGCTCGCTGTTGACCGTTCAGGTGTATGCGATTGTATGGCCGGTATCATATTTAGCAGAGCTTTACCATCTTAATTGAGTACGCCTGGAATGATGTGCTTGGTTACGAGGCGGCTTTATCGAGAAGTTGTCGCATGACCGTTGCGAACCCCTCATTCCCAGGGAAGTTGGCCGAGCTTCATGATATTCCCCGCTCACATGCTCGTCGAAGGAATAACTACCCCTCATCAAGCCTCAAGGTTCAAGGCTATCAGTAGCAGAATGCTCATTCTGTCAGGATCAGGGCAGCCAGGCGGATATTGCGAGGTCCCGAATCAGTCCAAATTAGCATGCCATCGTACTATGTAAGCTAGGTCTCCGGAAATGAGGGCCAACTGCATGGCGCAATGTGAGTTAATCGCTGCGTATTGTGTTGATGCCCACAAGCCACGAGCGCAATCCACCTTGCGGTCCATAAGTCTACTTCGAAACCCTTGGTGTGGGGTGCTCTTGCGACTCCTTCACTGCATTTCGGAAGCGTTACTCTGTTGGAGGGGTGGAGGGGCATATGTGTGGCATTTTATGGCAGCTTGGAGGCCATTACTGGATGCGTTGGCTTGTAAACACCAGCCTCATCCTGAAGGGCTGCATATGCTCCATTATCTCGCATAAGAGCGACCATAGCTTCTCATGCGAGAGAGTAAATCATTCAGCGGTTCGCTGATCACCGTCGAGTGCCCTGTCGAGCTGTCTATTCCCGGGTGCAGTTTTGCTGTCGCATAACAATCCCGAGCTACGAAGATGCTGGGAGATGGCCTCCGTCGAACAACATTCCGATGGGGCCGACTGAAGTGTGTATTGGCACTTTGATCCAGTGACAGAGATAGATAACAAGTCGTACTGTAAAGGGCCCGCTATTTGAAGTTGCGGAAGCTGGGCCGGGCATTGGTCTTAATCCATTGCAAACCCAATTCGCAATTGCATTGCCATATCGTACTATCGTCCGGCCCCAACGGAGCTAACTTATTGCGTTAGTACTACAAAGCACGAGAGCGAGCGCAAAGTTCGAAGAGGAAAAGAGAAAGAAAAACGAAATAGCACCTGGCCAAAGGGCAAATCAAACTATGCATGCTTGTGACGAGAACTTTTTCAATGCAAATAGAAAAGCAATCTCCCCATAAATAGGATAGGATCATGTAGTGGGCGGCCACCTTGTCATGGACTCATGGCACTGGAGGTGACAGACATTACGATTGCTATTTCAGGGAAATCGCCAATTAATTGATCAATCGAGAATAATTAAATCCCACTGTGCAAGTTACGAATGCGGCCAAGGGAAGCACCCGCGAACCCGTTCCGCCGGTTCGACCACTAAAACAGCAACCCGCCCACTCCGGTCACTGGAAACCATTCCCCAACTCCACTTGAATTTGGGAGAGTGACAGATTGAGTTGCGAATGCGCCTCAAAGGCAAAAATAAAACACGAGCTTTCGGGGAGGTCAGGCTCATCTCATAATGGGCAATCTCTAGTTGTCGACTAACGATTGGGACTGCGCGTGCGATCTTGACACGACTGCATTGTCAATTCTGGGAGGTTGGTTTCTTTTGGGGAGTTCAACCGATCGGTAGCCGTTGCACCAGGGAACAATAAACAACTTAGGCTGCAGTGTCTGGGTGCGCTGGGGTGGTGGGATGTGGGCTGTCGCTGTAGGATGGTTGACGTGGTGTCATGTCCAATCCATTCTCGCAACAACGCTTGATGCATTTCCGACTAAACCTTATCGGGCTATCGCTGCTTTTAGAGGCAGGGTTGCTGGATGTCACTTGACGTTTTTTTGTTGCTTGGTGCTGGAAATCGATAAAAACACGGACTGGCTTTGATATGGTGTCGTGAACGTGTTCCACTAGGATTGAAGGTTGGAAGGTCCTCCATAGTGTGTGGTAGGTGCGCGTTGTTGTCCTCTCGTTTAGTGAATTAGAATTGGTGAATTGAAGGCATGGTTCCTTCATGAGTTCGCACGGCCTTGGCTGGCAGCCCCGCTTCGTAGCTTGAGTAGCCCAAGACGTGCTTAGCTCGCCCACTTCCACAACCACCACCCGCCAACGGGACCCTTTCTCAGCTGCCCCTCCAGCACTTTACGCGGTCAAGCATCACAGTGTTGATATCGCGCAGTCGCAAACGCCCCCAGGCCGAGAGATTCGCACGGTGATCGTGCCAGGCCAAGTGACACCATCCTCCGTTACCTGGCCGCCGGTCATATCACCCACGAACCCCCAGCAGGTACCCCACCCACTCGACTTCGCACGTTGCAGATCGCTGGCATCCATGGACGAAATTGAGATTCATACTGGGTAAGTGGCCAGTTTCTCTCGCTCGTCATGCCTGCTGCACCCCGTTCTGACGGCAGGTACTCTCTGGTCACGCACTGTGACAGCTCCCTTTCCATTTTGTGCTGTGCAAATGCACACTGGGACTTGGGACTGGAAATGATCACTGCAAGCACTCTGGCTCTGGCTCTGGCTCTGGCTTTGGGCTCCGTCTCCTGGGAAGCTGCGAACCCCCCTCCCCCCCCAACTCCCTCCCTCCTTCCAAACTTTTGTCCCTCTTTCCCCTCCTTTTTTTCCCATTTCCCATTCCTCATCATCCAAACTGCCCCTCCTCCAAGTACTCAAATACCCATCGCGCATCGCGACAACATTCCCTTGCGCCGCCTCTCAGTAGCCGTGCGCCTTTCTCGGATACCCAGTGTATCGAGATTTAATTCTGGCTTAGGCCATCACCTCCTAATCACAATTCATTCCATGACCCCCATATCGATACCAATGACCAACCATACACAGTTCAGTCAAGAAGACACACTTTAAAGCCCACGGGAGCGCGTGAGCGAGAGAGCGAGGAGAGAGAAGAGAGAGAGAGAGAGAGACAACATACGAGAGTAGAGCAGTTCAAGTAGTCAGACGATATTCAACCATCGGTCTGTGACCAGAAGTTGCCGCCATCCCCGAGAGAAAAGAAGAAAAGGAACAGAATCATCAGCGCCGTTGCACATCGTCCCACCATCGCTGTTCGAGTATCAAGTCAAACAACGTCCGCTAGAACCGCAGAAGAGCAAGAAGGTGCTACAGTTCTTGATCACTTTCATCCTTCTGTCGACCAAAAGGCAGACTCACACACCACCTCGGCCGACAAGGAATCAACGACGCTTCGAGATGCCTGCCGCCAACGTTGCCGTCGCCCCTGCGACATCTGCCGCATCAACTCCGGCCGCTCGCAAAACCTCAGTTGCGGGTGCACAGCCAGAGAGGAAATACAAATGCCAGTTCTGCGCAAGGGCATTCAGCAGAAGTGAGCACCGGAGTCGACACGAGCGATCACGTAAGTCACCCAGATGTTGTTATGTTGGATTGTTCTTTTCTTTTCTCGTCAGGATAGCCGTTGGGGGCCGCCGCCATCCAGTCGGGTACTGCTACTGCTGCATCTGCTGGCTGGTACTCCAAACCGCCCAACCCCTCTTGTTTTGGTTGAACCTTAGCAGGAGCTTCTTGCGCAATCATGTCCCTTTTACCCCTCAACACCATTTAGTGGCATCACGCGACGCGTGCTCCCCCCCGGTTCTTGACTCGTTGGCCCGTGGTCGCTAACAATTATCACTTCGCAGACACCAAAGAACGTCCCTTCAAATGTATGAAGTGTCGTAGCACATTTGTGCGCCGCGACCTTCTACTACGACACGATCGCACTGTCCACGCCAAGGATGGGGGCGTTCCTCTGCACAGCGACGGCAAGCGCCGCGCTGGTCCCAAGGCTCCCCGTGCCGTCGGTGGTCCTTCCAAAGCATCCATCGCTCTTGATAATGCCACCCTCGAGCAACTCGAGGCCAGCAGCGATGGCAACTTCGACGTTGAAACAGCTGCCATGTTGATCACGGACCTCCAGCACAAGACCGCTATGCGACACAGTGGAATCCCTTTCGAGGCCGCTTCAGGAATGGCATCCATGGCTTACTCGCAAAACGACACCCCCATGATGGACTCTGCTGTCACCTTCCCGCCGCCTCCGTCCGAGTCCATGCATCGAGATGTTCCGTGGGACGCATTCTTGCACCAGGAGCCCAAAGCCAACTCCATTACTTCCTCTGCATCCTTCAACGACCAGCAGTCCCTTGCTTCTGTGAGTAACGCACGCGCACACCCACACGCACCTGTACACGTCCAGGCCCAGGTCAACCCCAGTCCTCGGTTGCCCTGTTTCCCCAATGCCAGTCGTACGTGCAACGGTCTTGTTCCTGCTTTGCAGTCCATGATCAACTCGCTGCCTACTCCCATCTCTACTGGTCCTCCTACCGTCTCCGCCTCCACTGCTCCTACTTCACCCCTTTTGAATCGAATCATGGAACCGTTTACTGATCCGACCAAGGCCGCCAATTCCAGGACCCCCCAGGTACTCAGTGACGACGAGAGGAATATGATCTTGGACAACATCAGGGTACATGACACTGACCGCGCAATTCCTGACGGCTTCCGAGTCCCGAGTTTGGCTTGCTTAAATCGCTACCTGTCAACGTACTTCAACCTGTTCCACCATCACCTGCCGTTCTTGCACCCTGCTTCTTTCAGGCCTACCGAGGTGTCACCAGCGCTTTTGCTCGCCGTTCTGTCTATCGGTGCGCTCTACGCGTTCGACCAAGATCAGGCCTATCTGATGCACATCGGGGCCAAGGTCCTTGTCAACCAGTTCCTGCAGAACAAGGAGAACTTCAGCTCTCGCAAGTGTCCCCTCTGGACCATGCAAAGTTCGTTGCTCAACATGATCTTTGCCAGCTGGAGTGGCGACCCCAAGGGTCTTGAATGGGCCTGCTCGATCAAGAGTTTGCTTGCCAATATGGTTGCTGGCAATCGATACGAGCTCAAGCTACGACATGACTCTCGCGTCGGCGCGCAGCCCACGCGCGCTGAATGGGTCGAAGACGAAGGTTGCCGCCGTACCTACTACGCCGTTTACATCTTCTTTGGCTTGCTCACCTTGTCGTACAACCACACACCAGCCATCAGCTTCAACGAGTTCGAGGACTTGCAACTACCTTCTTCAGAGGGTCTTTGGAACTCCAAGGTGACCGACGAAGAAGCTTGGCAGGACCAGTTGAAGGCGTACCCTGTGCCTACATTCATGCACGCTCATGACAACCTTTTCCAGGGTGAGACGTTGAAGTACAGCGCCTTTGCGACGCGTGTTATGATCAATGCTTTGTTCTTGGAAGTCTGGTACCACAAGCGCAGCCCCGAAGCTCTGCAAGACGTCGTAACCGAGTACAAACTCAGACTCGCTCTCGAGACCTGGGAGAAATCTCTGGATCTCTGTGAACCTGAGGCTGACACGGTCCCGCTCAGCGCGCCATACAAAGGTCACCCTCTTATCTTCAACGCTCGAGCCATGTTCCGCAATGCGCGCGCACGGCTCGAAGTTGATCTCAAGACGGTTCAAGAGGCACTTCGTTATCACGATCCTTACGAGGTAGCCGCTACCATGTCTGCTGCGCGTGATCGAGTCAAGCGTTCCGGTGAGATGCTCAAGGTCATCCAGGAGTGCTACGAGTGCATCGAGATTGCCGTTCGCCAGGGTGTCCGATGGGTTGCTCGCACGTCGCCAACGAACTGGAGCGTCGAACATCCACTATGTGGCATGGATCTCATGATCGTCCTCACTTTGTGGCTCTACCGTCTGGAACATGACGAAGAGCCGGCATCTGAAGAAGAGGGAGCCATGTACATGAAGATTCGCGCTCTGTTCGAGAACGAACCGGACAACCCTCCTACTTCTCAGTTGAGTTCCATTGTCGCAAACCTTTGGGGTTCGATACTATCCGAGGTAGTTGTGTGGGGGTAAGTCAAATCTTATTTACAATCTCCATGTTGGACTGGTAACTAACACGTGACCTAGAATCACCCGACTCATGGGAGAGTCCTTCCACCTCCATGCTCAAGCACTCATCGGGTACGTGGACGATGTGGAAGCATCTTCCAACGTGTCAACGCCTTCGATGATATCCCAAGGCGCCGATGAGGAAAGCGTGTACTAAAAGCATTATTACGAGATGACGATTTCCTTTTGTCTTTTTTTTCCTTAAGGGTGATGGTGGATTTCTTTGGCATATACCTCCAGAGTTCGTGCTTTTCCGTGTCGTTTCTGGTCGGACAGGCGCGACGGTGGGGTTTGAAAGGAGTTTATGATCTCATTGCGGCTGTTTCTTTGCGCGTCTGCATTCAAAGGTCGCTGGTAATCAGGGAGGCTCGGACGGCAACCCAGGCTCTCTATGAACTGGTAGAATGAGGGGAAATAAGCGCCGTATGCGCACTTAATGTGTGAAGCAAATGGTGGCTGGTCCATTCTGGAATTCTTTTCCCCTCTGTTCTTTTAGCTACGGCACATTACCCTGTTTAATCGTTGATTTTGCGATATGCTTTCCTGCGTCTTTCAGATACCTTGTTCGAGTTACCACGCATCACCCGTTTCCTTGAAATCGGCTCTACTCAACCATTCCTTCAGGAGCCTGGCTTGGTCGGATCTCTATTGCAATAGACGGCATATGGGAACTGGAATGGATACAAGCTTTGGCGGCTTGGAAGTTAGGACGCGAACCAGATTGTTTCCTCTGGTTGGTTTGGTGTGGATGGGGCCTTTCCGACTGTATAGATATTCGCGCCTGAATTGATCACTTCTCTGAAACTGGGTTGCCAAGAATTACTACGATCGTGAATGGCATATTACGTGACACTTATATTGTGGAACCAATCAGTCAACCAGATTGGGTGAGGTGTGTGGGTGAGTTGATGATAATTAGTCTCGATGAATTGGATTAGAGAGTCGGATTAGAGTTGGATTATCAACATCGTCCCGCATGCAGGCCGCCTAAAAGCTGACATCGTACTGGATCTAGCTCTGCTTTCGTCCAAGTCGTTCACGGCTGATCTTTAGGCTGTAAAGTTCATCACAACTCGATGGTGACTTCCGTCCATGATCCTTTCTTTATGCAAGGGATGGAGCAAACATAAGGACACGTTGTGATTTGTGACTAGCCACGCCAACATCGGCATCGACAACCTCGAAGGATTTATGTCATGGCCGATTGAAAAAAATAAAATTTTGTTGAAGGGCCATCAGGCCGTTCAGTCATGTTCCTCCCCAGCACCACGACATCGTGGTTGGCAACGGAACGGAACGGTCAGGCGCACGATCACAAGCGGAAGCTCCAGTCTGCGGGAGTCTTACGGAACGATCGGAACAGAGAGCGTGGTGGCACCGCGACGTTCAGCGTAGCTATGTTACTCTTCAAATTTTGCGTTTTCTGTTCAATGCTTCTAGAGGCTACTCATCGGGGTGGCAGCCCCGATTTGTTGCATTTCACGCATTTTTCCATATATCAAATAAAAATTACAAGTCGCCTCAAGAACTAGACTGTAGGCGCCTTCGGGTTTCTGACGCACGAGCGTGAAGCTGGGGTAACTGAGCTTTAAAACGTATGATAATGGATAACAATGCTTTGGAATGAACGTGCTAAGAGACATGCCCTGCAATAAAGAGGGTATCGACCGACTACTCTCATGCAAAATGTGATATATGTAATGGAAATGCAGATGATGCAAGACCTCCCCAAGGTCCCCCAACAACCAGATCTGATATGATGCGAAAAGATAGATGGCGATGCCTTGTCCTATGCCTTGTTGAACCTCTTCTTTAATATCGACGACAGGCGTTTCAATCCACCCAGACCCGACCTCCTCCTCTCCTGCGTCGGTGTGGCCGCAGGGGCCGGTGCAGCTGGTGGGCCTTCCTGCTTGACGACCTTCTGCTGCTGTTCCAGATGTTCCAGAACGGGAGCTGCATCGACGCTGGCGGCGGACGAGGTGCCAGTCCCGCCAAGCGTCACGGTGAGCAGTGCTGGAGCACCATCAAATACGCTTCCGGACTGGTCGCCGCCGCTCGAGGAACCGACGTCATCGTAAGGAAAAGCGTAGCCGCGTAGATCGGCGTTGGTCTCGTGGCAGATGCGCGAGTAGTGGTTTGTGACGGCGTTTTGGTAGTAGTTGCCGACCTGCTCACCCTCGGGCTGCTGGGAGTTAACTAGCAGCGTCGAGCGGTTGAAGGCCGCTGCCAGGCGCGCCCCAATGGCGCCCATCTCGGCCTGGTTGCCCTGGTACCCACCGAAGGGCCCCGTGCTGCACGAGAATATATCTGCCGCCGAGGGCTGAGCAAAGGTCCCCACGCCGTCAAAGGTCAGCTTGCCGCTGATCACCTTGCCCGTTACGTTGCCCCATTGGGCTTGGGTGTTGACGGTCAGGGCCTCTGATGAGTACTTTTGCCACACGGAATCGACGTAGGATTGATAGTAGCCTTTGAACAGGCTGTTGTTCATGACGATGCCGCCGTTCGGGCTCAGAGCTCGCAGATTGGCGCCGTTTTGGGCCTTGACGATCAGCTTGCTCCAGCCGGCATGGTCGTTGTTGTCCTGCGTGACGAGCTTGTTGCAGACAGTATCCAGACCACCAGGTACCAGTCCTTTGACAGATTGGACGGCGCCGCTGTCGTTCTTCAGATCAAGTGCGATTGGCAGACTGACAAAGTCGACGTAGCTGATGTTGACGAATAGTTGATAGTCGTTGAAGGTAAACTCGCAGAATCCCCAGAAAAGGTTATAGTTCGGATCACTTGGGTTTGTGACACTTGGCTCAACGATAGCCGGGCCGGGGTTCACCAAGAATGTGAGCTGTCCATCAAGGACGAACCATATACGACCTCCTGCAATTCTTGGAATTGTCACGGTTCTTGTTGAACCAGGGGCGCCAAGGGATATGGCACAGTCCGCTGAGAGCGCCTGCAATGGCTGAGATGGCGATGTTGGATGATACACAGTCTGTCCATCCGATTGTATCAGAAGAGGTACATTGTTCTGATTGAGGTCGAGTCCAGTAATGTACGCGTAGGCATTGGATGAATTTGTGCTGTTCTTCAACGCGAACTGGCAGGTGGATCTCGTCATCCTGGTGATTCTCTTATACGGCTATGCTAGTGGGTATTCGGAAAGTTCTGAGAATTTTGGCGAAGAGGCCCAGAGTAGGATATGAGATCCGATCTTTAATTTATCTGCAACAGGAACTGAAATGGTAGAGAACTCGCAACCAGATTTCACACTGAGAATCCTCGGGACGGGTGAGCGGCTTGTGACCCTACAAGGTCATTTCTCGAGGAGCGAGTCAATATTGAAAATGGGGTATATGACAAGAGTACGTAAACCGAACTGAAAAGGAAAGAAACATGTTGCGATGGTGTACCCACCTCACGACTTACCTGTCTCTGCTTATTGAGCTAGGATGTCTAGAATGTCATGCGAGATCAGAACAGGCTCATAACGGTTGGCGGGAATTGGACAAGCAAGCGTTATGAACTTAAGTCATAGACTGGTGGATCCTGGCTAATCAAAGCTTTGAGTTGCATAATGCTACTGTATGCGTGATGTCCTGTGTGCAGCTATGGCGCTCGTCTATCTGGTCTACCAAGACTTGCATTCAAAAAGCATGTTTCCCCTGCAGCCCATCAACGAATGATACTTGGCTGGCAGCGTCATCATCGTGTTCGTCTGTCGTAGTCAGGAACGAGGGGTCGCCACAGTTCTGAAAGCAATCCCAGAAATTCGCAAGGCGAGGACGGAAATCGTAGATAACCTGGTTCGCCGTAATGGTTCTTCTGCCGTAACTTGGCGTAAAGGACCAAGCGACCCAGGCTAGCCAGGCGGTAATTTGTGGGAACTTGGAGAGATGACGTCCTCTAGCCTGACTATCAATCCGGTTCAGGTTTGAAGAGTGGGTGGAGCCAACAAGGTGCTAGAAGCTCGTGGTTCTGAATGCTGGCGCAGCACATCCATAGGCTTGTTGGTGAGAAACACGTGCTATAATCATGTCTTGGGTTTGTATACAACCAATGGCGAGACGAGTTTATAGTGTGGATATGTAACTACGCATGTTTACGATCTGATAATTTGAGAGCACGAGGCTCGGCCCGTACACCCTTTCATTTTGGTGTTATGAATATCGCGGTTCCGGAACTAGAATATGACTGGAATTTTGTACGACTTGTCGACCCAGAGGATTGGTTATAGTTTACCCCAGATTTGACGCCCGGGTGTCCTTCGGTGTCACTAATGCGACGACACCCTCGAAATCAAGGGTCGTCCAGTGCGGCTCTTCCTCGTCACACCCTCTTAGCCCGACATCTTATGAGTGCTGGCAATCACCTGACTGAGTCTCAATGAGAATGGTATTGTGCGACGGCAGGCAAGGACGAATCGGGTACGGTATACGGTCGCCTACCTGGCTCGGAACTATGTCAGGTGCGGAGTTGTATTTCTTTTGGGGAAAATCATGGGGCTTGTTGCTACTTTTGGAGATCATGCACCTAAGTCGATCATAGCGGAGAAATTTTGGGATATGGGGAATCCTGACGATACCAAAGCTCTTCGCAGTGGTATCGGCTGTGGGCGTTGTCACGGGGGATTGTGAATCCCCGCAATATTTGACTATGAGGCTTGCTACAGGCTGAAATGAAGTCCGATTTGCAAGCCTCAACTCGGGGCCAAGGCGTGGAAAATAGTCACACTACTCTGGCGTAAACACCTGAGTTATTGGAGCACTCCTTCATTGTTGATGAGCCACAGGCATAATCGCTTCGCTGATCTTCGTTGGCCATATCTCAGGTGCACAGGAATGACATGCCAACGAGTCACGAGTCTCCCAGAGTGTATACCTTTTGTGTCTGTGTTGCAAGATGCTGGGTATCATAGCCGAGCTGACTCGCGCAGCGCATACTGCAGATGTGGTTCTCTTGTCGATCAGTGTCCATTGGTCTTTTTTCGGTAGTTGACTGGATGTCCGTTTTTCTTGGCGAATTTCCTGATCTTGCTGAAGATGTCCATGAGGGCGAAGAAATAGACGACCTGCAATACCCATGACAGCATAGTGTCGAGTATCCAATTTTCCCTAGGGGCGCCCCCCAGCGCAAGGACTCGAAGAACGGTGCAAAAAAAGTTGACAGTGATGGAATATGCTCCCTTCTCTAGGCTTGCAATAGCCCTGGATGCCACCTCGTCCGGGGTCTGAACAGGGTCGCCGTCCTCGAGGATGCGAGTAATCTCGGGCTTTGTGAGGTTCTCGCGTTCGAAGCCGGGACTGGAAATGCTGCCCGGGTAGACGACATGAATCTTGACCTTCTGTGGGTATAATTCCAACTCTTGCACCAGAGTATCGGCGAGGGCTCGGAGGGCGGCTTTCGATGGATTGTAGGGACCGTATCCAGTGACAGGGAGAAAGGCGAGAACAGACGAGGTAAAGATCAGATGCTTGGGCTCTGGAACGACGGTGACATCGGGGCCGGTCCACTCGCGTAGTATAGCGTGAGCCATCTCGGCGCTTCCCCAGAAGTTGAGGTCCATGTGTTCTCTCGTCAAAGATAGGGGAGCCTCAACCCAGAAGTCCGGGGTTGACTTTCCGGCACAACACCATACGATGTCGAGAGGTTGTCCATTGTTCCAGGCGACGGCTTGGGCGATCAGGTCGCGGGCATAGTCTTGCTTGGATACGTCGGCGGTGATGTAGTGGAAACGTTGGGTGTGGGGATTCTTTGCGACACTCTTTGACTCTTGTTAGTTCTGCCTCGAGAGTCGATCGCCATAGAGGCAAGGGGGAAGGGGGGAGGGAGGCATAGATACCTTGGCTTCGGCGAGCGATTCCTCTAGCTTGGCGGCAGTCCTGGAGACCAAGATCAGATTGGCACCTTTGGCAGCGAGTTGGCATGCTGCACTCCGTCCCATGCCTTCCGAAGCTCCGGTCAACAGGATGGTCTGGCGAAAAGGGTTAGCTGGCGCAGTCGCATCTTGTAGTGGATGGTCTCGGGTAGACTGACCTTGCCATCCACAGGCATCTGATTCTTGCTGTTGAATAAACCCATAGTGACAGCTGTTACGACTGGTACAAGACCGGCGGCGGCGGCGAGAATCCAAGGGGAGAAGGGGAGGAAATCCATGCCCAGAGCCAGAGCCAGAGCGAGAACCAGGGCAAGAGCGAAAAGCAGAAAGCCAGAAACAGGAGCAGGGATAGAAACAGAAAGAGAAGCAGGACTGGCCGAGCTTTCTATTTATATATATAAGGTAGATTGAACAGAACCAATGGCAACTTAGTCCATCAACCACCGTCCCTCACAAATTGACTCGAGATCCTTCTTGGTCCGCTTGCATTGTATTGCATCCTCAACGGCCACGATGACTTTTTCGCAAGAGTAGTGCTAGAGGGCGTCTGTAGCTAAGTAAGTTAGTGCTAGCAGGATCTAGCCAAGGGCGGACCCCTGGGAATTGGGGGGTGGATCTGCTTTGTAGCTTGGGGTTGCAGCTCCTATTTAATTTAATCATAATCCGGGACTGAATACAGTAGGTAGTACAGTAGTTATGCATGGAGTAGTCCCTTGCTTCGTATCTCCGTGCTATGCTCTGTCATTGTATCCGGCTCGAGAAGAAAAGAAGAAAAAATGAAATGAAATGAAAAAGAAGAAGAAGAAACCCTTCTTATTGGATGGAACAGAAAGTTGAGCCGCCCACTCCCAAGTCTCACGCTCATTCTCACTTGCCTGCCCACTGCCCCGTTCTCGCTCCACCAGTAGCCGACTTTTGCGGTTAGCGTATTTTAAGCGGGCCCAAATGCTCAAGTGGTGGGGGTGCTAATCGATAACATTGGCAAGGGCGGAAAAAAAAAGTCTGGGACGGCATAGCGACATTTACGCCGACTTGCGATATTCTGCGGCAGCACTCGTAGCCCTCAAGACAGCAACACCCCAGCACGTTTGCTCAAAATGGCCAAGAAAAGAAAGGCCTCAAGTGGCCCTGCCCAGCCAAAGGGACCGCGCGAACATGATCCAAAAGAGGCCCGTCTCGGCCCTGTAACAACATACCAGGATGTAGCAGACGACCAAGAGAAGTACTGGATGGAGCAGGACGCCATCATGTTCAACGATGGCCCAAAGTCCAAGAAGCAACGCCGCGTTGAGGAGGACGAACAGTTCATGGAAGACTCCGAAGAGGAGGTCCTGGCATACGACCAGGACTCCGATGATGACGACGAAGACGACCAACTCGAACAACTTGCCCGGAACGCTAAGAAGTTCTCCAAGAAGGCCAAGACGGCGGACTCTGACGCTGAGGACGCTGGCGAGGAGGAGGAAGAAGAAGAAGACACCGGCTATTGGGGCACCTCCAAGAAAGAATATTACGATGCCGACCAAATACAAACCGAGGCCGATGCGCTCGAGGAGGAGCAAGAAGCCAGGCGTCTGCAGAAAAAGCGATTGGCCAAAATGACAGATGAGGACTTCATATTCAACGAGGATGAATGGCTCGCCGAGCAACCCCAAGATGAAGACGACAAGGAGGTCGTCACTGAGGTCTTGAAAGATGTTGAAATTCCCGAAGACATGTCTCCCGAGGAAAGGCTCCGCATCCTGCAGTCTAGGTACCCCGAGCTGGAATATCTCGCCGAGGAGCTGCTTGAACTGCAACCTCTACTCGTCACTCTACAGAAACAAGCCGACGGTCAAACAAGGCAGTCGGTAGCCACCGTCAAATATCGAGTTCTCGGTTGCTATGTGGCTACCTTGGCCATGTACTTTGCTACGCTGACATCCCCCGTACGCGACTCGAATGGAGCTGCCAAGGCACTCGATCCTGCCGAACTACGAGATCACGAGGTCATGGGCACGCTATTCGAATGCAGGGAAGCGTGGCAGCGTGTCAAGGATCTGAAGCTTCCCAACACTTCTGATGCTATTACAGCTATTCCATCCCTTACAGACGAAGATGCGTTGTCTATCCAAGACCTTGCAGAAACAAGCCTCAAGCCTTCAAAGCTGACAACTAAGACTAACAAGGAGAAGCGCAAGGCCAAGCAAACAGAACGTAAAGCTAAGGAGGTGGAAGAATCACTGGCAGACCTGGATGCCCTTGTCACCAAATCCAAGAAGCCAAAGAAGTCCAAGGTCGAAGCTATTGCTGATGACAACTCAGACTTCGGCGAAGAAGAGACCATGGATTCGCGGGCTGCAGCGGAGAAGGAGAAGCGCAAGAAGAGTCTCCGATTCTACACCTCCCAGATCGTTCAAAAGTCGAACAAGCGAGCTGGTGCTGGTAGAGATGCTGGTGGTGATATGGATCTCCCTTACCGCGAGAGATTCCGAGATCGCCAAGCACGCCTCAATGCCCAAGCTGAAAAGAGGGGCCTGCAGTCCCATAAGGATGGTGCGGATCTAGGTGATGACAGCGATGCTGAAAACGCGGCTGCGATGGCCCTCAGAAACAACGCTGACGAAGGTTTGACCCCCAAAGACTCCCAAAGACTCCCTTCGCCCTTCTCCTCTATTTCGTTTTGTTGCCTCAAAAGTTGATTTAGAAACCATCTTCTCCGTCTTTTATCTAAACGCAGTAATGCTAACCTCTGACTGTCGCATAGATTACTATGACCTGATTGCACAAAAATCCAGAGCTAAGAAATCCGATAAGGCTGCTAAAGTGGAGGCGTTGGCCGCAGCTTCCCTAGCAGACAGAGTGGTTCCCGTCGAAGAAATCGGAGCAGATGGCAAGAGGAAGATTACGTATGTGTATTTTCTGTGCCTGTCATTTGATACATTATGCTAACGACCGTACAGATATGCTATAGAGAAGAACAAAGGATTGGCACCCAAGCGAAAGAAGGAGGTCAGGAATCCTCGTCTGAAGAAGCGTAAGTCGCCAAACAATACTAGTTATCCATCTTCAAATGCTAACACAATTTTTGTAAACAGGCCTCAAGTATGAAGAAAAGACCAAGAAGCTCAAGAGTATGAAGGCGACATATGGAGGAGGAGAAGGACGGGGAGGGTATAAGGGTGAGCAGACAGGTATCAAACCTGGCTTGATCAAGTCTGTCAAGCTATCCAAGTAGATTGCTGTACAATTATACCCTGGAGTGATTCTGTGATCTTTCAGCGCTATCATTGCTCAATGGTGTGATCTGTTCAAAACCTCGAGATTTGAAATCGCTTTTACGATGCCATGGTTGTGGCGATGATCAGGGTGGTCACATGACTGGCGCCAGTCCCTTCTACGGAGCTGGCACGATTGGTTCTCAGGAATTTTCCACCGCTATGATATGACACGGAACAACCTCATAATTACCAGATTTGGTACGTTATTCAAGAAAAAGTCATTTGTATAACATGGAATAAGATAGATAATCGCAGTGAAGACAGTGAATGAAATCATGGGCGTATGCGACTTTATGGAATTGTGTAATGGCTCTGGGCGATTATGCGATCGCCACCGGGCGTAAGAGCACAGCTGTTGCCAGCCGGCCATCTTAGCCCAATTTACCCTGCTCAGGCAGAAAGCATGCAGTCTTAAGAAGTCACCGTCCGTCAAATGTGACCAGCCGCAGTAATCTACAATGACTCGGTGACAGGAATTATTTTATGTCGTGATGACCGACGAGGAGTGAAGCTATGTCATCCAGAGGAGGATCAAGTGTGCCAAAGTTCACTTCATTCAAGAAGAACTCTGAACCCCTAATCCCAACCCCAGCAAAGGATGAAGAGCAGGAGAAAGACTGGCAAGAGGATCGTCGCGTGAGACGAGAAGGAAAACCTCGCGATACTGGAAGGCATAAACGCTCGAAAGACCTTGGTCGGGCCTCAGACGGTCGCAGCACAGAGAGCGAAAGAGAACCAGAGTCCAAGTATGATGTCATCCACCGCCCAGCGCCGCCTCAACCAGCCACCGATGAGCTCTTCACTATCGACAAACGCGGAGATCCTCTGATCAGGCGGTACGGTGCCAATGACCGTTATAAAGTTCCTGCCTACCGCAGATTTGGCGCCGGTCGCCTTCTGGGATCAAAGTCCTTCTTCAGAATTGACCGTAGCGGAAACCGTGAAGTATTCTTCCTTCGTGGTTATGGTGAAAACGGCTCACAACTCAGTCGCGACCGCAAGACCGTGCTAGCCAAGGTCGGCCGAGCCAGGTCTGAGCTGGTGCGAGTCCGGCCGGACAAAGTACAGACATTTACTGGGGCCGAGGATTTCCTTCCGCTGAAACAATTAAGAAAGCGAAAGCGCACTCAGTCAGGGTCAGATGGGTCTGCGAGCAACGAAGGACCCTCATACAGGTCCATACATGGCATGAGCAAGAAACACGAAAACTCCGATAGTGACGAGGCATACGGCAGCGATATTTCTACGGAGTTCGATCTAACAGATACGAATGACCCAATCAAGTTGAAGAATATTCAGCTGACAGCCCGGGTCAAGGAGCAACCAGACGACATTGATGCTTGGGTTCAACTAGCAGAGCACCAAGATATCATACGTGATTTGAATAGCCCTGAAGGGCGTGCTGCCACCCAAGCAGAAATCAAAAGCTACGCGGACATCAAGCATTCTATGCTTGAAAAGGCGTTGAAACATTCGAAAACGCCTGAGCAGGCTGCAAATTTGCGCCTGCGTATGATGCAGGAAGGGTCTAAAATATGGGACCTCAAGATTGTCACACAACGATGGGAAGAGCTCCTAGCCGACCATGGTGCCAATTTCGAGATATGGAAGGCATATATGACTTTCAGACAAGTCAACCTATCCACATTTCGATATGACGAGACGAAGCAGCTATATACCGAAAAAATACGAGCGACAGCAACAGAAATGGCGGAGCATTCATCTGAGTCACGGAAGATGTCCTTGTATGACCAGCTTATCGTAGTATTCTCGAGAGCAACACACTTCATCGCAGACTCAGGCTATGCAGAGCTGGCTGTAGCAGCATGGCAAGCTATGCTCGAGCTTCACTTCTGTCGGCCGGTCGCATTGGCCAATGCCTCCCCTTCGTTGAGTTTGTCGGGTCTACAGACGTTCTGGGAAAGCGAAGTAGCGCGTATTGGCGATGAAAATGCGAAAGGATGGGGTATATTTGAAAGTACTGGAGGTCGCGAGGATCCACCAGAACCCAAACTCTTTGATTCCAGCATTCCTTCTAGTACGAGAGACCCTTACAAAGCGTGGGCAGCTTTTGAGAGGCATAGATCTCAAGATGCGAAGATCCCAGCACGCACCATGGATGATGGGACGGAAGACGACCCATATCGTGTCATCATGTATTCCGACATAGAAGACCTATTGTTCTTCATTCCAACTCCCTCTTTATCGCTCGTACAGGAACAGCTATTGGATGCATTCCTGCTTTTCTGCCAGCTCCCTCCCGTATTTGGTTCTAGCGTCCCGATAAGGACTCTACTTCAGGATCAGGTTACTCATGGTGGTAGCACTGGATTTATAGTGCAAGAATACGAACCTGAGCTGCAAGACGATGCTCCCGGAGGTATCAAGCCACCTATATTCGATCATTATTTCCGAACCATGGCAAAATCTCTGGACGTCATGTTCTCTTATCAATGGTTCAGCTACATGAAACCACTCCCTGGCACCATTTCATCTTGGCAATACACTGTGGTATCGAACGTGTTGAAGCACCTGACATCGACTTTTCGTAAAACGGAGCTTGCAACATACTATCTTTGTTTCGAAAGTACAAATAACACAGGAAGCATCAAGAAAGCCGCCAAAACGCTTCTGAAAAAGGAGTCGAATAATGTAGATCTCTACATTGCGTTTGCCAGATCAGAGTTCACCAAGGGAAGCCAAGACGTAGCTATGAACGTGATTCCAGCTGCTCTAGGCTTGAAAGACCTGACGATGCATGACCGAGTGCGGCTTTGTAGCACCTGGGCGTGGATGGAGCTGGAGAACAATGGTATTCTTCAGGCGTCAATGCGACTGTGCCAGGCCTCAGAGGATGCAGCAGTCAACGATACAATATCACCGCTTCAGGTTCTTAAGGTTCGGCAGCTGTTGACAAGGAACCGCGATCATTTCGTATCCTCTAGAGAGCCAGACATCGCTTTGATCTACGCTGAGGCCTTGGCTCTCCTCGAATACACCACAGGGAATAGCGGTAAAGAACCAAAGTCTGGAAATCAAGGTGATATATGGTCTGTTATAGCAAGCGTCACGTTGTGTTCGGAAAGCTTCATCTCCCGTGGATTCTCGCGGCACTTGGCACATGAAAAGTTGTTGCAGTCCTCCGCACATCTTCTTTACTATCATGCTAGCCACGGGTAAGCAATCCCGCTAAGAATTAACAACTCTTTTTACTGACACCTTTTGGTTGCAGTTCGTACAGACCAGCATTCTTCCGCCAAACCATAGCGAGCTACATTCGACTTTTCCCAAGGAACACGGTCTTTTTAAGATTATATGCCTGGCGAGAGGAGCGCCTCAGCATAGAGGATAGAGTACGTGCGATTCTGGACGAAACCGTACTAACATCTACAGACGACTGTGTCAGCAGCCGAGTCTTCGCCATAGAGCACGAGATGGTCAGGGGAAACCCTCATTCCACTCATGCAGCCTTTGAGCGAGCAGTAGAAAGCGATGTCTGCAAGCATCACATCGGGATATGGATATCGTACATACGGTATTGTCACCAAAAGAAGGAGCTGCGGCCGAGAGCTAAGGATGTGTTCTATCGTGCAATTCAGAGATGTCCGTGGTCAAAGGAAGTATTTATGGAAGCATTTTTCACACTGATAAGGGAGATGGACTCCTTGGAGCTAAAATCAGTCTATCATACTTTCTGCGATAAAGGCTTGAGGGTACACGTTGAGCTCGATGAATTTGTTCAGCAATGGAAGCTGGTTCAGAGATGATAGGCAAGTCAACAATGGTCTCGACTGTCATTACCGTCTTGCCCCCAGAATTCTAGGATGATGCATATTCGTGGGATTTTCAATAAACGCCGATAATGATCGTTGTCCGTGATGATCTCCGGTCTGCTCATATCGTGCCGTCGAACCATTGTTCATAGCCAGCTGTTAACTCCGATGTCTGGGAAGGTTCCAACGGTGAGGCAATTTTGAAGGTCATATCGTATACATTTTATCATGATGTCATTCGAGCAATGCCCACCTGGGGACCCGCATACAAACAGTTCTGCTTCCCACGCTGATTACAAATCAACAGCATCTAGAAGTGCATAACTAGAGCTGTACCTCTCTGGGAGCTAAAGTAAACAAAGACTATTTATTCGCGGCTAGACACATTTTCGCGGCGTTATACTGATTCCCGTCCTTGGTTGTATAACACAAACGTCACCATTCACCATTTTACATGATCTAACACTATCATCGACACCATGACTACCAGAGCTATCGTGTTTGTTGAGGGCCCCGAAAAGGTGGCTATCCGTGAGATTCCTAAGCCGAAACTCCGAGATGGCTATGTGCTTGTGAAGGTGCACGCCGTGGGCATTAACCCGACGGACTGGAAGTCCATTCATTACGGCATGTCCGACGCGGGCTCCCGCTCCGGGTGCGACTATGCCGGCGTGGTCGAGGAGCTCGGCGAGAACCTCGGCAAGCCGTTCAAGAAGGGCGACCGTATCGCTGGCTTTATACATGGCGCGTACGTTCTCTTTTGCCCCTCCCCGCGATTTAGTATTTGCCCGAAAGAAACAAGGGGGAAGAGGAAGAGAAGAATGGATGTTCAGTTCTACTGACATACACAATTATAGCAACCGCGTAGAACACGACGACGGCTCCTTCGGCCACTGGGCCGTAGCCAAGGCCGACATCGCCCTGCGCATCCCGGACAACCTGTCCTTCGAGCAGGCGGCCACGCTCGGTGTGTCCGTCACCACCGTGGGCCAGGGCCTGTACCGGGCCCTGGAGCTGCCGCTCCCCGTGCAGGCCCCGGCGGAGAAGCCGGAGCCCATCCTCATCTACGGCGGCAGCACGGCGACTGGCATCCTGGGAATCCAGTTCGCCAAGCTCTCCGGGCTCAGCGTCGTCACCACCGCCTCGCCCCGCCACCACGCCTACCTGCGGGACGAGCTCGGCGCCGACGCCGTCTTCGACTACAGGAGCCCGACCTGCGCCGACGACATCCGCGCCTGGGCCGAGGCGAGGGGCCAGAATCTCCGCAAGGCCTGGGACTGCATCAGCCTCGAGTCCAGCGCCGAGATCTGCGCCAGGGCGCTGGCGTCGGACGAGGAGGGCGGCACCTGGGCCGGGCTCGTGCCCGTCGAAAAGGAGAAGCTCCTCGCCGTGAACAAGAACGTCAAGGGGCCCCTGGTCACGCTGGGCTATGATGCGTTCGGCGAGGAATACGTCTGGGGGACGTCGTCTTCCAACACCACGAGACCAGTCTTGCCGGGCGAGCTGGAGCACGCTAGGGAGTTTTGGGAGCTGGCCAGGGACTTGTTGGAGGAGGGCAAGGTGAAGACTATCAGGCCGACGGTCAACAGGGGCGGAGAGGGATTAGAGGGTGTGTTGAATGGTTTGGAAGAACTCAGGCAAGACAGGGTCAGCGGAGAGAAGTTGGTCTACACATTGGCGTAATCTAGAGGGTTGCTCGTATCGATGGGAATTCGCGTGAGCCTGCCAGGATATCACCGAGGGGTGCGCATTGGTTGTTAAGTAATTAACGGATGCCTATTTGGGGTGGTTTCAGGTAGGCATGAACGATCCTTTCAAGATGACTACTGCCTGCAATGCTGGTCCGAAATCCCTAACGACTGTAGTTGCAAACAGCCACAACCAGAGAAGGTTCCGCCGGGTATCTCTCGGGACCAAAACGGAGTGCTTCATACATACCTGGAACAAAACTGGTGTGTCTTCTGTTCAAAGCCGTCTGATTCAACGGTCATAAAGATGAGATCCAAAGTTCGGTCAAGTCACATTTGCTCAAACTCCCGGATGCTGCTTTGCTGGAGGAATGTTAGAAGAACAATGCTACAGAGGTGATGATCGGCATTACGGAATATGATAAGGTTCAAGATGACCAGAGCGGCAACATACGCGTCTGACTAGACCCATTGGCCGACGCTTGATCTACGGCATTTTCTTGACGACATTGTAATATGAACAGAAATGCTCTCAAGAGATACTAGATGTCTGTTTCCTAAAGGCTGCAGCAGGTTGGGGGTTGCGACTACGAAAAGCCACTTTCTTACCTATTTGTATATTTTGTCTCAAAATCTCTCATCATATCGCGACGCCAGAGACACTAATTTGACGACACTCCCTTGCCGGTTGTTCAAATATGGACTAGAATACTTGGCTGCTGAAGCTGTGCTCGTTCGTCGACCAGATGCCACGTCCGTATGACATCATTGGTTATTCTTGCTCAATAACTACACAGCACGACTCGACATTCCCATAGAATCCAGGCTGCCAGGCTGCTGGTTTTGGACTAGTCGAGGTCAGATGAAATGCAGGGGCACGAAGCAATCGTATAGTATACGCCAAAAAAGGGTACACAAAAGGGGGGTTATGTAGGATTGGTCATGACTTGTTCAGGTATGAAACCAACACTGGGGTGCGGACTTCACAACAGGGGTTGGCGTGCACTCGAGTCAGACGTGAAGCAAGCAAAACCAAAGTATGTACTTGCGCATGCAGCGTTAAATGAGAACTAAAAACTCACAACTCGTGGAGCACCCCCGGGGGCTGACTCTAGGTGTACGCCTCGTCCAGTGGACAACCTGCACCTGCAGCATCACTAACCTTGGAATGATGGAGCGGCGACACTGACTTAGTATAACCACAGAAGACAATTGGTTAAGGTTGGGACGACAGCACCGCTAGAGCACGCTAGAGTCGAGGTGTGCATCCCGCTTTTCAGGGTCCTCGTCGCGTTTTCTGGGGCAGTGCGGCTTGTGATCAACGGCCGGCCAAGGTCACAGGTCTCGATGATATAATTGTCTGTCCCCTCGCGCGCCCGCTTTCTCAGTCGTACTGTGTGGTGCAGTGCACCAGACGCAAATGAGACTCGGGCTGAGCGGGCACCTGTTGGTTGTGGATTTGCAGGATCACTTGATCTGCGTCGAGTTTCCCCCCAGCGCCCACTCCGATCCGATCGCTTGCCCGTCCCGTCTCGTTGTTGGGCAAGGGTTTCTAAATGACAACCCCGAAGACGCGACCTTCGTAGCCCCACGTGTGTATGGGGACGCAACAGAGCACAACTTCATCTTGCAGCGTCATCTCTGTACTTTCACATCCTGGGCGCACATTCAACACGGTGCAGCGTCTCAACTCGGGACATTCACAGCTTGCCTCGCTTTCCCATCGTGGGCTCGGCGGCCGTTTCGAGGTTCGTAAGCCAACGAGCCTGAATCCCCTCCAACACCGGTGCGAATGCTCCGCTCGAGGTTCCACCCCGAGGCACTCGCTCCCAGACCGACATTGCATGTCATTGCAACGGCACCCTCAAGTTAGACTTGAGTGCCCTGACCCTCCCGAGTAGAGACACCTCTGCTTTTGCAAGGCGCAGCTTTCCAAAAATGGCGAAAGACGTGGACCACGATGCGGACGAGGGCCCTTATCCGGATATGTCAGCGTCCCAGCACTCCGTGGCATCCCAACTCAGTGTGCCCCCGTCGCCCACGTTCACCCGCCGTCACCAACTGCGATCAAGACGGCCGTCCCTGTCCGAAACCCCCGATGAGCGAACCTCCCTCCTCAGACCCTCGAGGTCCCATCTGCGCATACACAGCCCGAATGGCAGCGCAACGCCGAGGAGCCCTCGCATATCCAGGCATCAAAGCTATCATGGCGCCGCGTTGAACTCAAAACATCATAGTAGGACGGGCTCGTTTGGCCAACGCTTGGTGAATGCCCTGGGAGACAGGCGAGAGTCCTTGGTAGAGTCAAAGGGCTCCATCTTTGCCGACGAGCGAGTGTGGTATGATCAATTCACCTCAACGGACTGGGTCCACGACAGCATAGCAGATTCATACCGCGTCAAAGCGCTGCGATCCCGTAAAGACTTCTGGGGCAGGGTGATTGTGCTTTTCGATGGAGCCCAAGGCTGGATCTTGAGTGCTTTGGTGGGATTCTTGGTCGCCGTGCTCGCCTATTGCGTCAATGTGGCCGAGACTACCATATTTGACTACAAGGACGGCTACTGCGCGAAGGCCTGGTATCTTAGGGAGAAGGTACGGTCTTGACATTTCCAAGCGTGCCCAGACCTTCAACTTACTGACGTTTGTCGCAGATGTGCTGTCCGCATGGCCCTTGTACTGATTGGCGGAACTGGTCTGAGGTCCTCGGCGGTCGACCCTTTGGAGACAAATGGACTGAATTTGGTGTCTACCTTATGTTTGTCCTACTGTTGGCAGTCTTGAGTTGCTTGCTTACCTTGACCACCAAGACCGTGGTGCCGTCTGCTTACCGCATGACCACACTTGATGAAAACTTCGCAGCCGAGGCTTTTGCTGGCTATGAGGACAACGAGAACGACAATGAGACGAGCCCGCGAGAACAGACGCGAGAGCCCGTTGCCCCCCCTATGGTGTATTATTCAGCAGCAGGTAGTGGTGTTGCCGAGGTCCGCGTCATTCTCAGCGGTTTCGTGTTGCACGGTTTCCTTGGCTTCAAGACGCTGGTCATCAAGTCTGCTGGCCTCATTTTGAGTGTGGCGTCAGGTCTGAGTTTAGGTAAAGAAGGCCCGTATGTTCATATTGCTACATGCATTGGCAACATCTGTTGTCGTATTTTTGCAAAATACGACAAAAACGACGCCAAGAGACGTGAAGTCCTGTCTGCGGCGGCAGCAGCTGGAGTCGTCGTTGCTTTCGGTGCTCCCCTCGGCGGTGTTCTATTCGGGCTTGAGGAGGTCGCCTACTTCTTCCCTGCCAAGACGCTCTTCCGAACCTTCTTCTGCTGTATCACTGCAGCCCTGTCATTGAAGTTCCTCAATCCCTATGGAACTCACAAGATCGTCATGTTTGAGGTTCGTTACAAGGTTGATTGGCAGTACTTTGAAATCTTTTGCTTCATTTTTGTCGGAATTCTAGGTGGTGCGGCTGGAGCGCTGTTTATCAAAGCATCTAGGAAATGGGCTGTGACCTTCCGCAAGATCTCCGTCATCAAGAGGTATCCGATGGTCGAAGTTATTTTGGTCGCACTGGTTACGGCACTCATCGGGTATTGGAACCCTCTGACGAAACTTCCGGTAGCGAAACTGCTTCTTAACCTTGCCGCACCATGCGATGACGAGACCAGAGACAGCCTAGGCTTGTGTCCCAGCGATATGAGCGAGATTCCCGGCATCATGCGTCTTCTGCTTGTTGCATTGTTGATCAAGGGCTTTCTCACAATCATCACTTTTGGCATCAAGGTACCGGCCGGCATTTATGTGCCGTCCATGGTGGTTGGCGGTCTGATGGGGAGGATCATTGGCCATGCCACGCAATGGCTTGTAATGCGTTTTCCGACTTGGGGACTCTGGGGTACATGCCCAATCTATGCGGAGGCTACGTGCGTGCAGCCTGGTGTATATGCCCTGATTGCTGCCGGCTCGACCATGTGCGGAGTGACAAGGCTATCCGTTACTCTCGCAGTCATTCTCTTTGAGCTGACTGGAAGTCTCGACTACGTGCTGCCCTTCTCTTTGGCTATCCTTGTCGCCAAATGGACAGCAGACGCCATGGAGCCCTTGAGTATCTACGATCTGCTTACCGAGATGAATTCGTATCCTTTCCTCGACAACAAGCACAAGCCTATCTTCACATCTGATCTTGCGGATATAATCCCTCGAGTTCGTCGTGAGCGCGTGGTCGACATCACCAACTCGCCCCTTGTTCCAGCCTCAAGTCTGCGGACAAGATTGGAGCTTCTCCACAAAGCTGGAGAGCTGGACGGCGGCTTGCCCATTCTTCGAAAGGGCATCCTTGTAGGATTGATCCCTGCGCCAGACCTGGAATTTGCTCTAGACAACCTTCCAGATGAAGAAACGGCATTGTGCTTGATGACCAATATCCCGTCCATTGACGAAGATGAAGACGGCGAGCGAGATCCTACCGACTTTACCCCGTTCATCGACCCCGCTCCGGTTGCTTTGGACATCCACTCTCCTATGGATCTTGTATACGAGTGTTTCGTCAAGCTCGGTCTCCGGTATATATGCATCTTGAAAGACGGAAAGTATGCAGGCATGGTAAGTTCGCTCACCAATCTGTGGCTAAAGTAGGTACCGACTAATACTCTCATAGACACACAAGAAACGTTTTGTGAAATACATGCGTGAGCTCGAGCAGAAAGAGCATGGTTCATGAATGCGATTCTAGGAGAATCATTGTTCGAATTCTATTGAACAGTTTTTGGGGTTTCTTTTTCTCTTTTGCATTTCTTCGCGCATGGTAGATTTTTATAATCGTTGCATTTTCAGGAAGTGGCATTATACATTGATTTTGGCGTAAGGGTCAGAAGGCGCTTTTTTCTTTCTTTCTTGATCTAGAGGCATTTGGCAACGATAGGTGGCTTATTGATTGATTATGGCACCAGCTTGCGTTTGTTTATTATTGCAGGTATCCCAGGACGAGGACTTGGTCAACGAAGCATACCGTTGGTTCCAACGTAACAGCATAGTCAAATAAATTGTCACATGTGTGAACTCTGTCAATCAGCGGTTTCATACCAATATAGCTGCTAGGAGTTACCATCAGTTCAGCACAGACTGTTTGGCCGCCGATGTCCATCCGGAGTCTCAGACATGATGTGCGGCACGACGACCAACTCCACCGGGTTCTGCTTGAGCATAGAAGTTGAATGATTCAACTCGAGAAACTCTTCACGCAGTCCTAGCCAAGGTCAACATTTCGATCTCGCCATCCAATATACTCCATGATACATATTACGCTCGCCTCTTTGCTCCTTCTGCCACAGCTAATGGTTGGCATCACGCTTCAGCCACGATCCCATACACCAAACGTTCTTGTCAGGTGGACATAACAACAATAAAGGGTAAACAATGCTGGGAGATATACTCCCTGACATGGTGCCACGATGAGGCACAAGCCTTTCTGCGTCAAGATCCTTGCAGGGAACTATGCAAATATGCGTTAACAGCATATAATGTTTGTGTAATATCTGACAAACGCTAACACGGTTTTATCATAGAGGGTTGGCGAATTTGTAGGCGAAGCGGGTACAGTTCGTGGTGCATATGGGGGCAAGCAGCCTATGCTGGTGGGAAGGCTACAACAATCTGGTTTTGAGGTAAACAGATTGTGACTTGCCACACGCTGTACTTTTGCAAATAAGCATTGGAGCAAACTAGATTGTCTCTGCTCACATTCGAGTTACAGAGCTAAACAATCATATCGATTCTCTCAACTGAAATCCACAAATCTCAATGCACGCCATGTCACCACAAAGGTTCCATTTGGATATTGAGCTCTTCAGGGAAGATTGTAAGTCCTCAAATGATTCAATCGTAGCTGTTAACATAATTCCAACAGTCATCACTCAATCGGTCCGTATTCAAGCGTTATCAATTCCCTCTGAGTTATTTCTCATCTCACATCCCGCTTGCCAAACCTACAAGGCACAAGTTCATCATCATTGTGCTATATTCAACCGTGTGCTCAAACCACATCATCGCTTAAAAGGATAATTCGCAAGTTGGCCTTCGTATATTAAATAGACGAAGGAAATATCTTATCGAGGTTGTTTCCGGCTCTATGTTGGCCGGACTTGTCAGTCACAAGTTTCTCTTATTTTAGAATCAGCGAGAGATCGCGATTACCAAATTAAACAAGTTGCTCGATATATACACGCCAAAAAAATGTTCATCCCGGCTTGTGGGAATCTATTCTCACCTGGAACTTCCAGTTTACCTGTCGAAAAAGATATTCTCCTTATATCTTCTTTAGGAATTCGCCTTGCTCTACGCAAAAGCGACAAAGGACTAACAGCGGAGTAATGCGTCGGCGTCTACGTTGTAATTTATCATTGTGTATAAGGCCCCCAAGTTTCGGTTGGTTATTAAACATGGCTTTAAAAGCAAATAAATCGTGGGGAGAACAATCGGATTGGAGTGTGCCTCAGTGACCCAAATACAGCATACGTCTGGCCAGGCAACCGGTTACTCCATTCTGAACAATTCAATGAGATCTGTAAAGCCTTGACGCGATTTTCATATGCAACTGATCCCCCTCATCACAACAATAAACATTCCGCACACCTCGCACCACCCCCACTGCAACAATTCAATCTTGCACCATTCGCAGCCAACTTCACAGTCTCAGTTCTACAGACACACATATCGTCAAAAGTCACGTTCTTGGTCGCAATACACGATGCCTCCTAAGAAGCAGACCAAGGCTGGCGAGGACGCCCCTATCGGCGGTACCACACTTTCAGAACCCGAGACACAGCTCATCGTTGCCATCTTTGAGAGCTCCAGCAAGGGCGACTGGGTCAACAACGTCGACTGGCAGAAGGTCACAGATACCCTGGGCGCTACCAACATCAAGGCAACCAAGGAGCGCTTCCGAGCCAGTGAGTTTACTTGCCCCTGTAGCACCCGCCTCTTGCCGTGCCATCTACATCAATATCGCTGCTTGCTCTTGATTTGGTACTGTTGTGTTCAAAATGCTTTGAAGAACAATGCTAACTTTCTACATCCAGTGGTTGCCAAGCATGGGTTTTTCAGGACAGAAATTTCCGAGGGCAAGGACGCTGATGCAGCAACCCCCAAGAAGACTGCCAAGGCAAAGACTCCCGGCAGCCGCAAGAAGAAATCTGAGCCCACTGACGATGATATGGGAGAGACACCTACCAAGAAGGTCAAGACTAGTGTTGATGCTAATGCTGATGCTGATATGGCCAGTCTGAATGGTGATGGCCTTAGCATGCTGGATGGCGGAGATATTTGAAAGTCAGCTTCACTACTTGGAAAATTTGCAAGAAGTCCTGGTAACCACTACCACTACTAGAGGGAGGAATTTATTCTTGACGACCATTATGTATTTGAGAGATCCGGCGACCATTGATCGTCTGGCATGTCACTTCTGGGCTAATGCAGCATGTAATTGCAAAGTTTTGGCAATGAACAATTTGGTAACGACGTATTGGAAACCCGTGCTTTGGCGTAAATAAGCTGCAGACATGAGATTTGGCGATATTGCATGGACTCTGGCATCTACGGGCGTAGGTACTTTGACACACTCATCCCGCTGAACTACCCTCTTCCACTGTAAGCACCTATCAACCTCTAGGAACCACAAGGGTATTCTATATTATAACCTTGCAAGTCTAACGAGAGTGAATCCTGCAGAGCAACACATAATTCTGCCCTGATATGTACGTGAACCTCGGGCAAAGTGTCTATTAATTAACATGAACGCGCGTTGAGGATAACAGTACAATATTGGAATGTTCAATCTCTATCAACTGGATAATCCGAGAATCGACAGTGGCCATAGGTCGTGGAATATCATACCGTCCAGGTATTTATGCGGCTCCCTCCCAAACATGCTTTTTTTGATAGCCTAAGAACTTCGACGAGGAAAGCTCTTTTTCATTCGTTCTCTACCTCCAACATCCTTTTCAAATGTATTCCGACTGAGAATGAGCGGCTAGACATTATAACTACGACTCATCATCCTGAGCGAGGGTAAGTCGGCCGCTGGCAAGGATCATCAACCGCAATAATTGTGTGACATCGGGATGATGTTCTTGAAATGCGCGGTCCCTTTGAGAGCTCATGGGTCCGGTAAGCTCCAACAGTCCACGTCAGCCGCAGGATGGGTCAGGGGCTTGAACAAGTTTGAGTGGATCAAATAGAACTTATGTCCCATGCAGCTTCTTAGACAGAAAATGTCGTATCGATTATCTTGTCTGCACTGTGATCGATGTTAGCTAAAACACGGGACTGAGAGGCAAAAGGACAAAAAATATCCCAGAGGGCCCGACTCGTGGTCAGAAACTAGCATACTGTGCACTGTTGAGAATACTCCCAAGTTTGCTTTGTTTGAAACATACATTCGATAGATGTAGCTGCGCACTAGAGTTGGCATGAAAAGTCTTTCTAACCCAGATTTCCCGTTTCTTACAACTAGGTAGTACGAGATCTCTCAAGTTGCCGATCTCGCAAACAATGCCACTCAGGGCCCATCAGACGATAAGTTCTCCACTGGCCTCTGGTTGTACTATCCAGGTGTTCCGACCCAACCACTTTGCCCACCATGAAAATCCAACTAATGGTTCGATGAGCATTCAATTCCTTGCTGGAATGTTGTCTTCCATGGTTTCTAAGGTCTAACTCAAGACGATGCGTTGCCCACAATTCCTTTCTTAACGTTGTTGATGTTTAACCTGCAGAGATTAGTAAGAATTCATAGGACAAGTGACGGCCGATATCGAAGCCGGTCGAAAATGGCCCTGTTGAACTGCCCGTAGATCTCTAACTCAGGTAGTTGCAAGGTTGGGGCAGGCTCTGCATGCTCGATATATCGTATTCGGATTAACCTAGTGCCCACCGTTCGGGCTTAAAGGAGACACCGTACGAAGGCTAAGCAGTCGCGTTCACACACCGGGTCCTTCCACAAGAAGAAAAATGAGTTTATTGCATGACTATGAGGGCTCGCCCGCTTCAACAATGATGACTCTGTGGCCGACAATAGTGCGTTAACATCCCACTGATCTCGAACTCGACGCATTGTATATGACTCGAACTTCCATCATGAGATCACTGGGCATTCTACCGAGACGTTACCATCGCCTTTCGCCAAGCACTCGGATTGACGAAGGAGGCGGAGATAAGCGCGATGACGACGTGCCGAATCTAACTGGGGAAGCGGTTGAATGCCAAGGCTGTAAGCTCCTGGATGTTGAGCAGATTTGGCAGATTCTCAGCCTTGGCACTGTCGCAAGTCGAAATTACAAATGGGGGACAATGCTCTTGGTCCAATTCTGTCATTGTTGTAGCGCGCTCCGACCCACCCAGTTTCATCTAAATATCGGCTCTTGCTGCTAGTGTCCGTTGGTCTGCGAGTTCAGTGAGTGGAGCTAGTGTTAATCAACAAAGCTTATTGCTGTACAAGAAATGATGGGGCATTTTCACCGATATTTTCTCACTAAAGAGGTAGCATGACTGTAACCACATGAATCCTATACAAGGTATACGATGGGGCGATGGGCCAATCATTGACCATGTCTGGATCATGCCAAGAACTGAGATCCAGAAACCTGGGCGCGGCTCGATTGAAATGTCCCGAAAAGTCGGCCGGGCTGACCTGCATCCCCTTGGTTCCTTGCAGAAACAATCAAGATCGAACGACATGCAGCTGCAATGTTCAATCTTCCTCAAACAGAGTCTGGTGATCGGTATTTTCCAGTGGGCTTCGCGGCTACTCACCTACATTGAATGCTCAGTATAATCGCCTCCACAACTGGGCTGTGAGACTCATCTAGACGAAGTTGTCTAGCCTCTTTTACCCACCCGGCAGGCGAAAAGGGCCCATCTGGATGAAGTCGTTCAGTTTTTGATCCTTGCATTGCAATGATAGTTGGTAAGTCAACATCCTCAGATATGCTCAGCATCTGAATACTTAAGGTAATGTTACTTCCACACAATGAAGTCTTTTCTTCTCTCATCACACACAGTTCTTTCATCCTCTTGTTCAACCATCTTCTTCACATTCTCTCATTAAGCAGTGCTTAATCATTCTTTTACACGCTCCAAGCCGGCTTAGATCAACCACTTTTTTTTTTTTTAACATCACCTTCATCTTCAACCTCTTCAACCTACACAATGCAGTACCGTATTGTCTTCGGTGTCGCCGCCTCCATGGCTCTCGGTGTCTCTGCTGCTCCTAGCCCCATTGTCACTAGTGCTCCATCTCTCGAGGCGCGCAGACTCGCTCTGAAGCGTGACAGCCTTCCCGCCTCTTCGGGTTCCTCCGTCCTGAGCGACGTTCAGACTATCGCTGCCGGCGAGTCTTTCGATGGTGGTATGTTCGCTTTCGACCGTGGCGTTGACTGCGAGGGCCAGACCGAGGGTGGCGACTCTGATGCCGTCTTCCAGATCGAGGAGGGTGGTTCGTTGTCCAACGTCATCATTGGACCCAACCAGATGGAGGGTATTCACTGCCAAGGTGCTTGCACCCTGACCAACGTCTGGTGGTCGGCTGTCTGTGAGGATGCCTTCACCATCAAGAACCAGGACGCTGGTGATACTACCTACATCAACGGTGGTGGTGCTTTCGGTGCTGACGACAAGGTTTTCCAGCACAACGGTGCCGGAAGCTTGAGCGTCAGTGACTTCACGGTTGACACATTCGGCAAGCTCTACCGAAGCTGTGGTAACTGCGACTCCATGTACGAGCGCCACGTTATCATGGATAGCATCACTGCCTCGGACGGTGACATGCTTGCGGGTATCAACTCCAACTACGGTGACTCAGCAACCTTCACGAACATCGCTGTCACCAGTGTTGACGACATCTGCGTTACCTTCACTGGTACTGATGACAACTCGCAGGAGCCTACTAAGAACGGCTCCGGCGCTGACGGTACCTACTGTATCTACAGCGACTCTGACGTCTCCGGCGACACTTCTTCCGGTAGCTCTGGTTCTGGCTCCTCCGCCGCTGCTTCCACCCAAAAGGCCACCGCTTCCTCTGCCGCAGCCAAGACCTCGACCACCAAGGGAAGCAGCACCAAGACTTCCTCGGCTGCTTCCAAGAGTACCAGCGCCGCCGCCGATGAGGACGAGGAGAACTCTACCAAGACTACTTCCAAGAGCTCCAAGTCCACCAAGACCTCGAGCTCAAAGTCTACCAAGACTAAGTCCTCTTCCAAGTCAACCAAGACCAGCGAGTCCAACTAAGATGTTGCAACTGGCCTAAAGGCTACCGGTGAAATTTCGGGATGGTAAATCACTCCACCTAACTGGTTGATATTTGATGACGAACAACAACAACTTCTCTTTCCTTCTTTATGATGTATATCTTATGGCTAGCTTGTGTATATATAAAAACTACATAGACGGGTTGTTAGCTTAGATCCTAACAACGGTTTCGCTCGTGCGGTTCCAGCACTATTACTGTCATTCTCTTTATGCATTATGCTCGCCTGTGCCCAGTAAATATCCGGGTCAACCATGACCGACACATCACAGCCAGCAACGCAACGACTTGAATCCCTCGCACACGAAATGAGATTAATGGGACCGATTTGATTTCCCGAATGTCCTAGCAATGAACGTCGAAAGCATGTGATGCCCGAAAAGATCGCCAGTGTTTTGTTCACTGGAGTTGGGGTAACTTGGGGAAGTTGGGGGTACTGGATGGGCCCCACGGCACCTAAATACAACTGACCAGCGACAATCTCCAGCGCAACCACGAAGCTGACTTCTTCTTTCAATCAGCCTGCCCATGGGCCTCCCCACAATCGGTCCGGGTACCAAACATACGACTCGGTCCTTCAAGGTCGGAGCGGAGTTGACATGTCGATCTGTCCGATTCCTGGCAGGTGTTTAAAATCGACGAGGAGATTCTGTATAATGCGAATAGCTCGACCAGATTTCAAGTGATGATTACCGTCGTGATTGACCGCGAACATGCCGAGCTAATCAGAGCTTTGGAATCTGTCATGAGGAAGCGTCTGTCTATGTATGTCGATGTATATAAAGACTTTCGTACCCCGTGTTCACGATTTTCTCGAACTTCGTCATGCATTCTCAACCTTGGCATTACCATTTCACCCCATCTTTCATCTCATCCGTATTATCCCCAAGTCTTCTGGCCATGGTCTCTTTCACAGTAAAAGTCGCGACATCTGTTGCTGCTCTCAGCACTGTAGCTGTAGGCCGACCCAGAGTCCGGCAGGATACTGGCTCGGTTGATGCTTTTGTCCAGACCGAACAACCCATCGCACTGCAGGGCGTTTTGAACAACATCGGCCCGGACGGTTCCAAGGTCGAAGGTGCTTCGGCCGGGATCGTCGTAGCAAGTCCATCAAAGAGCGACCCAGATTGTAAGATACTGCTACTACCGCCTTACTGGACGAGTTGACGAACTCACACATAGCCCAGATTTCTACACTTGGACGAGGGACTCTGCATTGACCTTAAAGACAATAATTGACGAGTTTATTTTCACCGGAGAAACAACCCTTCAGACAGTTATCAATAACTACGTCGAGGCTCAAGCTGTCTTGCAGACTATAGATAACCCGTCCGGGGGCCTGTCGGATGGCTCAGGTCTAGCTGAACCCAAATTCTATACCAACGAAACTGCATTCACCGATGCCTGGGGAAGACCTCAGCGGGATGGGCCAGCTCTGCGTGCCATTGCCTTGATAGCCTACAGCAACTGGCTGACCGAGAATGATGGACAAGACACGGCCACAACGGACGTTTGGCCCATCATCTCCAACGATTTGTCATATGTTGGACAATATTGGTATGACAGAGAACTGCCCCGAAGAGATTCCACACAGAAATTGATAGTTGACCACACAAAACAGGAATCAGACAACTTTTGATTTGTGGGAGGAAGTTCAAGGAGCAAGCTTTTTTACTACCCAAAACCAGTACCGATCCCTCATCGAAGGTGCTGCTCTTGCTGCCAAACTTGGAGTTACTTGCACAGGTTGTGACCAGGCTCCCCAAATCCTGTGTTTTCTGCAGAGCTACTGGAACGGAGAATTCCTCGTTGCAAATCTGAACACCAACAATGGGCGTTCTGGTCACGATGCAAACACCTTTCTTGGTTCCATCGCCATTTTTGATGTCGATGCTTCTTGCTCGAGTCCCACATTTCAACCTTGTAGCAATAGAGCACTGGCCAGTTTCAAGGCGTACATTGACTCTTTCCGTGACGGCTCAGAACTATACTCGATCAATGAAGGAATCCCAACGGGGTCTGGCATTGCTGTTGGGAGATACCCAGAGGATACTTACCAAGGCGGTAATCCCTGGTATTTGATCACCACTGGCGCCGCTGAGTTTCTGTACGACGCAGTCGCCCAATGGACAGCTCAAAAGGCGCTTGCCATCGATGAGACGTCATTGCCTTTCTTCACGGATATATATCCTTCAGCTGCACTTGGCAACTACACATCTACGGACTCGGAATTCAATAGCATAGTTACTGCTGTGACGACATATGCTGATTCCTTCATTTCTATTGTCCAGACATACACGCCAGAAGATGGAGCACTGGCTGAGCAGTTCAACAAAGACCAGCCGGGCGACCCACTATCAGCGTCTGACTTGACATGGAGTTATGCTGCATTTGTCAGTGTGTCACAACGACGGGCCGGGCAGTATCCAGCTGGTTGGGAGGGATCCACCGCTCCCGAACTGCCAGATTCATGCCAGGCATCATCTACCCCAGGATTGTACGCGCCAGCCCCAGTCGCATCTATCAAAGCTTAAATCCAGCTGGGTAGGGGTTGTCTCAGAGAAAATATCAATCTATTGCCGATTTGCCGTTGAATACAAGTCAATAACTCTATTGTGTGGATAGTCATTCTCTGGGTTGGGGTTGTGAGCTTCATCAGTGCCGATATAGCCGGTAACCATGTCGGACGAGAAAAGCGCCCCGTTATTGCAATGCCAGTATGATCGCATTACAGAATATCTGTTAACCAGTTGTAGAAAATTCATTCGTATACTTACTGAACTGCTCGCGACTGAAGCGAATCGTTTTGATTATGATCATATCATATCATATCCATGAAGGCATTTCCCTCGCAGGAGTATGCCGTCACTTATGCATTTCTTCCCATACCAAATTTCGCGTGTCTGCTAAGCACCGGCAACATATTTACTTCGTCGCAGCTTGCAGTCCGTTAGTATTATCTGTGCGGTGGTTAGAAAGCTTAAGGTTATCTGAAAGTTGGAAAAGCTCATGAATTGATGTTTTTTTGTTTATCCACCAAGACTAATGATGGAGGAAAACAGTGGCCATGCGCGATGACAACAACTAAGGTTAGTCTAGTCTAGCGCGATTCTGGACTTTGAAGGGGAACATAAAAACAATCATTTTAGATGATGGACGCAATATAAGTTTGTGCTACCTTACCAACCTATGCTTCGCCTGGCAATGCCAAGTAATGCAGGGCCGCAGCAAAGTTGTTCCCCAGATTGTTGGGATTTACAAGTTAATTATAGATATCAAGCTACTGTCTGATTGGTCAAGTTGCCTGCTTCCGAAACGAAACCATGCGATGTACTAGCAGCCTTAATTTATCTGCGGATACCTGATCGCTAAGCTTCGCTCAATGTCCTACAATATGGTGACCAATATATTGAGGGCACGGCCTGAACTTGTGCTCTTCTTAGTGCATCACGCTCATGCAAGATGCCTTTCAAGAGCTCGAACTTGTCTGGAAAAAAAGAAAAAAAAAGACGGAAAAAAGAAAATAAATACCCACGATATATCTATAACCCGTCTTCTACAGACTGTCAATTCCGACATGAAGAAGGCTCATGCGGTGCAGCCTAATCCAAGGGTTGTCGCAATATGACTCTGGGCCAATTTCATTTCGTCGGCCGCGCGCCCCGTTGTTAGTACCCACCAATGTGGTCCCTCAAATCCTACGAACACGGGCACAGCCCACGAACAGATCAACAAACGATTTTTCATCCAAATGGGGGTCAAGTCGTATAACATTGACGGCATTGCCTCTGAGAGCTGTCATGATGGAGCACCTGCTGGTTTACATCTTATTAATGTTTCGACTTCTTGACGACGAGTTCACAAATCACTGAAATCGGCAGAGACGTGGGGGCGGTTCGAAGCATGTCCACATACGAAGGCATATGGAGGCTACGGCAATTCTTGCCGTGCTGGGTGGTGCAAGGCATATGTGTTGGAATCTTGGGTATTATATCGTGCCTCTTGATAGGTGCTAGTGCGGTTGTTTTGACCGTAGGCTATGGCGCGGAGGGATTTGCATGGCTTGGGTACTCAGTGGATGATCTTGCTGATATTGCTGTGTCCGTACCCTGATCTTGCAACCCTCTACGAATCCGCTTTTTACTGACGGCCAAACAGAGTACTCGGCAGCGTCATGCTGATACTATGCATTGTGACCCTCGCACTCGATATTGCGGAGGCAGCATTCTACAGAATGCACAAGCTCAGCCCAGTATTTATACTCGTTTCGGCATGCATCAAGACCGCGATGTGGTTGGGCTATTTATCCTTTGTCATTGCGATGGCAGTAGGGAGCTCGCCGAGTCCGCTCGACCTGATAATAAGTATCATACTCGCGGTGACGAGTATATGCCAGCTTGTTCTTGGCGCCATTCACGTCCACAAACAACGGAAAGGTCTGCTCGATAGAGGCGACTATGCAGACTTGGGGATTAAAGCAGGAGAATATGAAACTATGGCCACATTGCCGAGGAGCAAGACATGGCGAAAATCTATCCCAGCAATCACCATCACATCACGAGAGTGGGCGAAAAGAAACAGTGAAGAAACGGACTACGAAAGCTACCGAAATTCGTTGATCGAGGCCGAGGTCAGGCGGCGGAGCGTACAGGAGCTTGACGGAGCCGACGAGCCCGCAGCAGAGACCCAAACGCTTGCTTCTTCGAATTACGACGCCTCGACGTGGGCGGCGGCGAGTCCTCCACAAAGCCCGCCACTGGCGACAGTGTTGTCAGCTCCGCCGCTTAGAAAGACATACTCGCCAGCATATAGCTCATATCACTTCGATCAAGCGGATCTGGCGTTGACAGGGTTCTATGGCGCGGGCAACGAAGGCGAGACAAGGAGATTCTAGTTTAGAAAACTTAAAAGAAGAATAAAAGATATCAAAAGAATCTAATTTAACTAAAGACGTATAGGTTTAAGCCGTAGTCCGAGGCTGTACGCTTCTGGAATCTAGTATTGGCGTTACCAAGGCTCTATATTGACCATGAATTACATCCGCATAGAGTGATGCCGTGCGATTGGGCTGCGACACTACGGGGATGAGCTAGGTGAGGTCGGTTGTGGGTTCCGAGTTATACGCCGGATATGTCACATGCATAAAAGACAGGGCAATGATTGTGCATGGAGTATGTCCGATGGGCTGATGTCAAGGTTTTCACTTGATAATGAAAACTCAATTATACTTTTTTCTTGCTTGGGTATGTAAGTTGAGTTCGACATCAAAGCTACGTCATGCTCTCTACGTCACTGTGACTTAGCCCCACGGGGACAACTTGTATGCTACATAACATCTGAGCAACCGGTGTCCATCTTACGACCAATCAGTCACCTGCGTTCCCATCACAATGCTCCCTGTTCAGTAGCAAAATCAATCAATCAGTTGTGCTCAATAACCAAGACACTTCGCCCCGATGACAGGCTCCGGGGCTGAACAAGACCGCCTCGGCGGCTGGTTCGGTGGCAACAAGGCCGATCAGGTCAAGGACACCGCGCAGCAGAACTTTCCTAAAGGGTCAGGTGCCGAGCAGGACCGATATGCTGGTTGGCTGGGAGGCGACAAAGCTGACAAAGTCCAAGAAGCTGTGCGAGAGCACCTCCCTAAGACCTCTGGGGCTGAGCAAGATCGCTACGGGGGCTGGTTCGGTGAAGGTAAAGCAGGACGAGCTGCAGATGCTGTGCAACAACATTTACCTAAGACTTCTGGTGCCGAACAGGATAGATACGGCAACTGGTTCGGCGGAGGCCAGGCAGATCAACTCAAGGATGCCGTGCGGGAACATTTGCCAAAGACCTCGGGAGCCGAACAAGATAGATATGGCAATTGGTTCGGAAGTGGACAGGTACATGAAGCTAAGGAGGCAATTAACAGGCACTTGCCTCAGACATCTGGCGCCGAACAGGATAGGTACGGAAACTGGTTTGGCCGAGGGCAACCAGGTCAAATTAAGAACGCTGTGCAAGACCATCTACCGAAGACGACTGGAGCTGAGCAAGACAGATACGGTGGTTGGTTCGGTGGGGACAAAGCTCCATCTGCTCGCCAGATCCGTGACAGCCTGCCGGGAGGTTCTGGTGCAGAGCAGGATCGCTACGGATCTTATTTCAACCTCACAGGCAATGAGCGTTATCTTGGAACCACCACTGTTGGACTTCTTCAGCACGCAGTCCTACCGTCGTTTGGTTTGCATGCCGGGCTCGGTGCTATTTCGTATGGTGTAGCACGCTACACTGACAGAGCAGAAGTAAAGGACTACCTTTGGCCGAGCGGCCAGGTCGCGAATGCTTGGTGGAGTGCTATTGGAGTTCCCGTTGTTTACGGTGGTCTGTCTATTCCAACTGCTTGGGCTGCGTTGTCATATGATCAAAAGTTGCTGCTTACCGGCGTCAGCGCCTGGGGGCTTCGTCTATTCTACCGAATTGCTTTTCGCAGCTTGAGGCGCGGTGAAGACGATGCGCGCTACGTGGTTGCTAAGAAGCAGGACCCCGGCTTCTGGAACAAGGCATTTTTCAGCCTGTTTCTCCCCGAGGCTGTGGCTCAAACGCTGATTACACTACCATTTGTGCTTCCGTTCCGTGCTCCTGTCTCCAGTGCAGCGTCTTCTCTCAGTGTCGCTTCTTCGGCCATCCCGCACAGTTTGGCTATCTTCCTCTTTGCAACTGGTTTTGCTACTGAGATTCTCGCCGACCGTCAGCTAGAGGCTCACAACCAAAAAACTGGTAACGCTACTCTCAACCGTGAAGGTGTGTGGAGCATCGTTCGACACCCTAAGTAAGTGACTTCGTCTTGCTCTTTTATTTTTATTTTTATATCCACTGAACATTGTGCAGCTACTTGGGTGACGCCCTGTGCCATTTCTCTTTCTCCCTTCTGGCTTCCGCGGCTGGTCTGTTGCACCCTATTGCTGCTCTCGGGCCGGTCGTGAATTACGTTTTCTTGCGTACTGTTGGCGGCGACAAGGAAAACGAGGCATCGCAGGAGGAGCGTTACGCCAAAGAGAATCAGGCCAAATACCAACAACTGCAGGAGTACAAGCAAACCAAAAACAGTTTTTGGCCGAGCTTGAACGAAGCCAGCAACAAGTGGTTATGGGCTGTTGTCGCTGTCGGTGCTGGTGTCGCTGTGTTCGAGCAGTCGGTCCTCAGCTTTTGGACTCGATAAAGAACAAACTATCGCACGGCTCAAGAAATAACCACTTGGTTGTACAAATATTGCACATAAAAAGGGGTTGCATCGAATCAGATCATCGAATAACCCAAACGAAGGTGTAATGTCATACTTATCGGCTTTGTTTGCACAATAATTCCGCAATCCGATCTGAATCCCATCAAGTTCTGATCACGATCTGTTTTTTCCTTGCGATCACTTGCACTTGTACGGTCTCTGAGTTGTACCAGGGCCGTACCTCGCACTTGCTGGTGCTCCGTGTCCGAGGGCCCCACTGGAGGTTTCATTACAGCTACATATGTACACATCCCTCTTGCGAGTAAACAAATGCCGTCACCCACTTCTCATCGTTATCCATATTTATTCTCGATTGAGTAGCAATACAAGTTTATCCCAGAAGCTGTAGTTCAGAATTCAGGCTTACTGTAATTTCATCAACCTATCATGATAATCTCATGTTGCTACATTCATGTTTGATCAATAACAAGTTTTAGCGCGGTTTCCAAACTTGGCTGACGCTGAGTACTTACTAGCGTCAGTATCAATACTTACCAGATACCACAAACAATCGAAGTGGTCATACTTTTGCTATACACGGGCGCTTTTGAGGGGACAATTACACACCTCCATCACTCAATTCGGATCGAGCCGAGCATGGCTGTTGCCGCACGTATGTCACTTCTCTAAAATTCCGACAGTTAGGATTCTCATTTTCTACAGGTGCTACCTCGTCGGGCTATGTCGACCCTAACTTCCCCAACCCGGGCGGCAAGTGGGATACCTACATAATCATCTACGGATATACACCATCGTTTCCATTGGCAGTCTTTGCCGCCGCCTGGTTCGCACTTTTTCTCGTCGTTCATATCATCCAAAACGTCCGGTTTCGTTCATGGTATTTCGCAACTTTCCCTGTTGGACTGTTGTTCGAAGTCGTTGGTTACATAGCGCGATTGCTTTCAGCCAAGAACGATCCTTATAACTTGATCTACTTCATCATCCAATACTTCTTCATCGTTACAGCCCCGGTGTTTCTGTCCGCCGGAATATACACCATCCTTTCCGCGATAATTTCAAGGATTGAGAATGGAAGGCGATACGCATTTCTCTCGCCAAAGTTCATTATCTGGTTCTTTGTCGTGTCCGATGTCATCTCCACGATCCTCCAGATCACAGGTGCTGCCTTGATCGGTGTGAAGGAGTCTCGGCGCCAGGATCCAACAACGGCGAATAACATCCGTAAGCAAATTTCGAAATTATTTTTTATTCTTTTCAACATTGACACGGATGCATACTGTCCATTGAACACATCAGGGCTTTTTTTTTTTTTTTTTGAGTCTTTCATAATTAACCCGTGTAACCCGCGACCCGTGATGAAGAAGTAATCACTAACACCAACTCTTGTAGTGCTCGGAGGTCTTGCCTATCAGGTTTTCTCCCTAGGCATCTTTCTGATCCTAACAATCACGCTCTTGTTTCGTGGACGCCGGGCAATCAGAAACGCTGGATTATTAGGATTTTATCTTGTTCTACTAGCTTCAACGGTCTTGATCTATCTGCGTACTTGTTTCCGACTTGCGGAAACAGCCGACGGCCTGGGAGGTTCGCTGTACACGAACGAGATCTTGTTTGCTTGTCTCGAATTCGCTCCTGTAGCAGCCACTGTGCTGCTTTTTGCCGTCTGGTATCCCGGCAGGTGTGTGGGGAGGAGCATCGTGCCGCCAGGAGCGTTGCGGGCAAAACCGTCGCCTTCTTCTATATAATGCCTTTTCAGGCATCCGTGTAACTTGAAGTAATCCATACAAAACTTGCCCGAATACACCTCGGGCGTTGTTTTTAACGAGAGTGCCTTGTGCCTCACTCCTGTGACTGTTTATGATGATGATGATGATGATGATGATGATGATGATGATGATGATGATGTCTCCTCAATGCCATGAGCCTTTCTCCATTGCCGCGTCACCGCTACGAGCACAGTTCATTCAAGCAATATGCTAGAAAGAGTTGAGCTATATAATGCACATCGAGAATGTGGAATCTAAAGCTATGTAGGTGCTAATCAATCATTTATGATTTAGCAATGTTGAGTGCATCATCGAGGATCAGAAACTGTGACATCTCGGGTCTGCTCCTCTTTGTAAAGCGATCTGGCATCATGTAAGGGCGCACTTAGATTATGTATATATTTCAGAGCTTTACCAGACTGCAGAGCCTGAATCTATGGCCAACCACTATACCGACACACTTTGCTACTCTGCAAGGGTACCAACGCAACAAGGGGGCTCAAATACAAGTACAATTTGCCCCGCATTGGAACCACAGCTTTGGAACCTACCAAGGCCTACCTGATTCAGGGCACCTTACACCTTACACCTATCCTATGTAAGCCTTACAGATGTCCCAAATTTCTGCCTTTCGCCGCGCGCCCTTCGATAAGAATTGTGACGTAAGAAGACAAGTCAATGTCGTACACATTGTTCGATTCTTGACCAGTTGGTAGCAATTGATACTCAAAATTGCCTATAAATGAATGAATCTCACCCAGTGATCTACAACACGTTATTTTTCAAGGTCAATGAAAAGCGAGTCTACTCCAAGAAGCCCGAAGATACCATGACTTCCAAGGATTCTTTCGAGCTCCCCGATACCTTTTCTTGGGGCAACTGGGCCGTAAGATATGCCAAACTCCAGCACCCTGACCGGCCGCGCGATGCTAGCACTGTTGTTTTTGTGCATGGCACCCCTTGGTCTTCCGACGTCTTTCGCCCTCTTGCAAATGCGTTATTGACGGCTGGCCGCTTTGAGATCATCCTTTATGATCTGCCTGGATACGGCCAGTCACAAGCCTATACTGCGCGGAACAATGGTCCAAGCAATGACTCCGAACCAGATGTCTCCGTTGGAGCTCAGGGAGAATGCCTCTCGGCTCTGTTGAAGCACTTGAATTTGACCGGCGAGAACGGTGGAAGGCTGCCACAAGTGGTGGCTCACGATATCGCCGGGGTCGTCTCCTTGAGGGCCCACCTTCTGGAGAAATGCCAATATCAAAGTCTTTGCCTCATAGATACGAATTGTGTACTGCCTTGGGGTGACACGTTTTATAATTTAGTGCGTTCGAACCCACAAGTTTTCGAACAATTACCGAACGGGGTCTTCGAAGGCCTGCTGCGAGCGGTCATCAAGAGTGCTAGAGTACATGGCCAAGGCTTGAATTCCAACTGGGAGGACATTTTGGCTCGTCCGTGGCTTGCGGATAAGAATCACTTAGCAGGGAGGCTACACCCGCAGGTCAATTTCGTACGACAGATCAAGCAAGCCGACGATAAACATACGGCGGAGCTACTGGACAATGATCTATACTCACAAATCCAATGCAAGGTCAAGGTTCTTTGGGGAGAAAGAGACGAGTGGATTCCCCACGAAAAGATGGTGAAGCTATGTGACTTGCTCGGTCCTCGATTGGCGCAGTTTAGCACGATCCCTGATGCTGGACATTTGGTCATGCTGGATCAGCCCGAGAGGGTTGCAATGGAGATTGGATGGTGGCTTGCAGAATGAACTGGACGTTGGTCAACCCTCTGAGTATTTGCGCACGCTTCGCGGCATGAAGACCCAGAGTATGTGTGTGTTTTGCGAGTCGAATACCCTATGAATCGGTACCTCGTCTATGTGTAATTAGTAAGTGATCCATCGCTAACTTGAGGGACGCTGTCAAGGTGACGTGCGCTATAGTCTTAGCGCTAAATTTAGATCCTATGGCGGTCGCAAATGATGGCCTCCTTAGCACACATCAATCAGAATCCGTCGCATATTTGTGGAACCGGAGACATTACAAACCTGTGCCACACCATGTTTCCATCTTCAGAACCTGGATACTATATAGCCTGATTTCTGTTTCTTTCTTATTCGCTTCGCGCGTGTCCTTTGGCACGGGCGCTGCACGGCTCGGACTCTGTATCACAACAGCTAACTTCAAAATGATTCCCGACCCCCGATTCGACTTTTAATTGGTCATGCCCAGGTTGATCCGCTGCGGGGTCACGAATCCGCCATTATGGCTGGGTATCCCTCACCATGCTGCATGCTAGTAACGCGGCCTTTTGATGACAGCTGTGTTGATCGTCGGTTCCTGAGGCTACCTGTCATTTCATGAATCTTTTCGACGTCTTATCAAACAGTGTCTAACACACGAGACTAGCCATCATGAGCCGCAGGTGGACTTTACCAATATATAAGATCGTCGTCTTGGGCGACGGCGCGGTCGGTAAGACCTGTCTCACCACAAGACTATGCTTACAATCATTCGTCGACACGGTGAGTTACTTCATTAGGAACTGGAACAGTCACAACCTCATACCTAAGCCAGTATGATCCCACGCTGGAAGACAGTTATCGCAAGCAATGCGTCATAGACCAACAGTCCTGCATCCTTGAGGTCCTGGACACGGCGGGCCAGGAAGAATACACAGCCTTGCGGGAACAATGGATACGCGACGGCGACGTGTATCTGCTGGTATACAGCATATCTTCTCGTTCGACCTTTGAAGGCATTCGAAAGTTCTACCAGCAGATTCTACAGGTCAAGAGATGGTCAGACCATGTGGATTTGCCTATCGTCTTGGTCGCAAACAAATGCGACCTGCCCACACAGCGGATCGTGTCGACGCAAGAAGGCGAAGCCATGGCCAGGGAACTCAAGATAGGGTTTTTGGAGACTTCCGCTAAGGAGGGTTTGAACGTTGAGAAAGCCTTCTATGAATCCGTGAGGCGGTATCGGAGGAAGCACGAGGAGGAGAACCATGCGGATGGGACAGAGCGAAAAAACTCCAAGTCGAACAATCCGAAGAGTGGGGGGAAGTGGAAAGGACGCATTACCCGCATGTTTGGATCATCTGGGAAGCATAGCGACTGAACCTTTCGAGGGGCGATAATACGTCAGGGACGACCATCTTCAGGTTCAGCCATTCTGGATTTCATAATTCAAGTGTGCCCGCAGAATCCAGAAGATCAGTACAATGCCCATAGTGGAAGAAAGCTCCAAATTGAGGCACCGGTGTTTTTCCTTACAGGTAATATTAGTTAGCAGAACCTAGCTATCAACCCAGGACTTCTAGCAACGCTCCAAAGTTGGGAGTTCCTAGACCAGACGCAGGATCCCACCCTTGCGTAGCACTCCATCCGACTTCGACGTGACCATCGCTGCCACGGTAGCAGCCCCCAATGTTGCCAGAGGATATGTCCCAGAGCGCGGCGCGAACCTTTTCCGAGTACAAGAGCGGGTTCAAAAAACCCAACACTGGCTTGCCGGCTCTCAAGCGTGCATCGTTTATGAGTGTGATCATTGAGGCCCAGACAGGCGTGGAGGCACTTGTCCCTTTAGCGGTAAACGTTCCGTCGAGTACATATCGCACGCCGATCAGTGTCACATCCGGGAAGCCACGGCCGCTTGTGTTATACCATCCATCATGCGTCCCATTTAGCCCGGTGATGTAGTTTGCCGTGTCGGTCAGCTGCCACTCCGGCGTCTCGAAATACTCCGAGAACCCCCCGCTCGACCACGACGTCGGTTCCCATGGTATATACTGGCCCGTAGCTCCAACGGAGGTGACATATGGACACGACGCGGGGAATCCAGCGAGGAAGCGCGACTGGCCTTTGTTGGGCCCGGCGTTGACGATGCAGTCGCCTTCAATGCCAGAGGCGCCATTATCGCCCGAGGCCGCTAGCACCGACACACCCCTCGCTGCAAGCTGCATGAACAAATCGCAGACTTTGATAGCATATGCGCGCGGTGTGCCTTGCTCGTCGTCAGTGTAGCTCAGCGACAAGACCTTTGGAAGTGTCTCATCATCGAGCGCCAGCAGATACTCGAGGAACTCGAGCCAGGGCTCATAGCCGTTTGAGGTCGCGTTGCTCTGGTCCGTACCGTCAGGACCGATGTACAGTCCTCGACCTCCAGTGGAGAGGTACGTGACTGGCAGGGGCTGGGTGAACGCCATGCTGTAAAAGGTGTCGAGTATAGCCTCGCCACCTGAACCGGTGTTGGTGTCGTTGCCGCCGTTGACGGACGCTACAGTGAAGTTATACTCGGCACTATAGCCGGAGGCGTTTCGCTCAGGACTGTACTTTCCAAGAAAAGTTTGCAAAAGGCCTTGGTTGGGATATTCCTCCAGGAAACCACCTATGCCCAGCGTACTTCCTGATAGTGAATCAGGTGCAGTGTACGTGATGTTGTATAGAGCTACCAAACAATCTGGTGTGACATAACTGGAGCATACCTGAGGAACTGTTTCTGCGGTCAGTATTTGCTCAAGAGGTCAATGAGATAAGCATCTCCAACTCACTGGAAGCTTGTCTGCGAGTTACCTCAACAACATCTTCATGATGTGGTGGTTGAGCTCTTGGCGAAGTCTCAATGAACTGAGTTACAGGGTAAATGAATTGGATGTGCTGCACCAAATCACTAGGCAGGCCATAATCCGTCGCTCTATAAACCCGGGCAGCTCGTGGTGTTTCATATTCCATCAATTCGCAGTTCAGTAAGGAGTTGATCGACTGGATAGTCGCGTTGAAGCGGATCCAAGCTGTGTCAAGATAGGTCTCGTGGACACCTGCCTGCCTCAACCAAGCAAGCACTGCTGAAGTAGACTGATGGTCGGTCCTCTGGTATTTTTGTAGTTGGATTCGGCCAAGATGCGCACCGAAATTGGCATGGTCTGGGTTGCTGGTTTCTGCGAGCCGTTTCTTCAATTCTCCCAGCCAGGGCTGAGTTAAGGCAATTGAGAGTTCTAGATATGCCGACTCGTCTGCATCGCCCACAAGCTGCCATCCTTGAGGCACAGTTGCCGTCTCGTGTACAACGATCTCATGAGCTCGAGTCACCGCTGCCAGTATAGGCGCGGCGAGGTATAGTGCTGCTAAGAAGATATGCATGGTGATGCTAAGGAGAGAGCATACCACCAACCAACATGGCCCATCGTTTTATTCCCGTTCAGTGCCATTCGTCCTATTTGTAAAAACAGTTGATCTCAAGCCATGGATAAATCCACAGAAACCTGATGTTTCGGCACGTCCCGGGCGTGCAGTCGTGTTTGGTTAAGCGTGATGATTAGCATTGCGGGGGTTTGATTACACCTGCCATGTTCGAACGGCGGAACCTCGTGTTGAAGCTTCACTTCTCGTATCGCATGGGTTGATTGATGGTACGAACGCGCCGACAATCCCGGCAGTGGGCCAAGCCCTATAAGATTAAGCTTCCAGAACAAGCTTATATCCATCGCTTGACTTCGTATGCCGGCATTGCTCCATTTTCGACACTATCTTCGAGACGACGGAGACAGGGGTCGTCAACGAACACGATGGGCGCTATGCCAAGGTGAGAGAAAGCCGCCGGCGTGCATGGAAATACATGTCAAATAAAAAGAGGGATGGAGCGTTCACAGATTGTCTCGTGAGGTGCGCATCCCTCGTTTTCTTCACATACCAGCACGTGCTAAGTTGCAAAAATGCGATCAACTTTGACTGTCGCCGCCGCCAGCGTGGCCGCTGCGCAGACTGTGCCAACGGTCCACATTCCACTGAACCTCCAGTTCGGCGGCAACCACAAGGTCTCGACTAATGTGTTCATCCCATCGGCCAACCAGACCATCGAGGTAGTCTATGACCAGGGCAGCGAGAACTTCTTCCTCTTCGGGCCTGACTCGATCGACAACTGGGGCAACTCTGGCCTCGGAGCTCGAGGACCTTGCAACGCAAGCGTGCCGGCCGGGTCTTATTTCAACTACCCGGGCTCGCAAACCGCCACTGCACCCGTGAACCATAGCGTCTCATACGTCTACGGCGGTGCCGACAAGATCTACACCGGCGAGGTCACGGTGAACGACACGTTCGGTTTCGCCAACGACGCCGAGACTACGCCGGTCGAGGTCGACGACGTGCGCGTCCAGCTCGTGGACTTCTTGATCCAGCGCATCAACGACCCGAGCTGCAGTGGCACGCCCCTCTATGATCTGGGCATCCTGGGAGTTTCCCCTTACTACAACAACGCCTCGAGCCGCGTCACGTCTGGACCCCACGTCCGACAGGACCTCCTGGAGCGGGGCGTCATCGACGCGCCCGTCCAGAGTATGTGGTTCGACGAGGCCCCCGAGGATGTGTACGGCACGTACACGGGCGGCGGTCTCTTCGGCGGCGTCGATACCTCCAAGTTCGCCGGAGACCTGATCAAGGTCAAGACCCTGCAGCCCAGCGGATACGTTGGGTACTTCACCGCGGTACCCACCATCAGCATCAACGGCGTGACTTTCACGGCGCCTGATTACCAGGATTACTGCCAACTGGACTCGGGCACGCACGACGACACGATTCCCATATCGTATACCGAGAACGAGCAGTTCTACAACGCCAGCGGCATCATCGAGACTCCCAAGGGCTACATCGGCTGGCCGGGCGAGTGCGACACCATCCCCACCAACGCCACAATCGACTATATCTTCCCCGGCGCGACAGAGGGCGAATCCGCCACGATCAAGGTCCCGATCAGGTCGTATGTCCGCGTTGATTATAGCACCCTCGACCCTGGCTACTGCATCCTCAGCGTGAGCACCAGCGGGTGTCTCCTCGGCGCGCCGTTCGCGAGTGCTTCCTTCTTCGCTGCTGATGACGAGACGGGCCAGATCGCCTTGGCCAAGGGAGGTGTTTCCAAGCGGGGTGCTGGGGTTGACGAAGCGTCCGTGGTTGCGAGAATACCCTAAACTAGTTATAGCGTCATCAATATTACTATATGCCAGTCCGAAAATTATTGATATTACTTCACTCGTCTCCCGTGGTATTAAGTGCTTCTTGAGTTCGAATACATTGATATTCGAGCTAGAACCAGGCTGCCATTCTCTACTGATATATTGTGTATGCCGGTATCCTCGTCGATGACAATCCACGGCTTCACATCATTCACTTGTGTATCGTACGATATTTGAAAGGGTGTCATCCCTGAGCCTGCTGCTTTACAGCATATATAAGTAGATAGAGACGGAGGTATAATTTCTTGAGTTAGATTGCACGAATCCGTCAAACTGCAACCAGGCCCGAAGGCTTTCAATTCCACTCGTTCTGTTGCATTTCTTTAAATTTTACACTGTGACAGCAGAAAAAACTCCTCATCCATATGTATGATCTCGTGCTAGTTTCGGTTATTTGACCTCGACATGGTAAACCCTTCATGACGTCCCATAAGTCGGAGCTTCAAACCAAAATGATAGCCTTTACGACACTACTACGATATCCGTACGGAGACGACCCACAGGCTTCTCCCACCTCATAACGGTGGTAAGCGCCATCACTACTATTCTTAAAGACTGCGAGGCTAACCTTGTTCGTAGATATTTCAGTTGCTAGAAACGAAGGGCGTCAAGTCGATGGAGTTACTACGAGAGTGTTTGTCTTTCTTGATCAAGGATATCCAACGCCAAACCCCATGAATGTTTAATTGCCATCGATGGGATCTTCGGGGGTTGTCGTTCTGGACGCTCCTGGTGATATTGTTGGCTACCCTAGAACATTAATCGCAAATTTGCAAGACCGACTCTCTGCCCTGCCTGGTTAAAGATACTATGACATAATTTCTGCGAGGTATGCATGCCTGCCAAATTTCCCCAACACTATGTCAATCGGGAGCAGGACGTCGGCGCTTTGCATGAACGCGTTGAGGCCTACAGGATTACACGTCTTGCGCATAATTCTCGGTTCTGATGGTCCTGGGGCCAGAATTTCCACCTCCCCGTACTGCTTCTGGTCTGCCCTGCCGCAGTGTTTCAAGAAACTCTTTCCAGACCGCTTGCAACAAGCCGCGACCAGATCGGAGGTAAGATTGCTGTTATCGTGTGGTTTTGTAAGGTCCATGCTCTAGAACCGGTTCCATGACGCAGCCATGTTTGATCGTGGCCGTGGAGAAATGGATAGGTTTTTGGGTCGAAGAGCCTCTACGTAAATTCATAATACTCCGAGCACAAGCCGGCCATGTCATCGAAAGTTTTGGAAAGACAATCGAGATGTCAGAAGTAGCTGACTGATAGTCCTCATGGTAGGCACCTAAGACATGCGCGCTTCAGTTATACCAAATCCTCGTTCATTGTTCACGTGCAAGGCTTGATTCAACCTGCACACGCTCTTCGAATTTTATGTTGACTGACCAATCTCTCCAGCGGGTGACCCACAAGAACCGATAATTATGCCTCATGGGCCGTTGTCATCTCATCATAGATCTAAGTCTCTATCCCGCTCTTGCAACGCATCCCTCTGAGCATGCCTGACGCAAGTCAAAATAACTTGTTCAGCGTCGGTGGAACACTATAACGCTCGTCAATTTGTCCAAACATGGCACCAGGCCGACGAGAGCAACAATACATTAGACTAAATGACTCGCATTCACATTGTTCATCCATATTTGTCAACACCGTTAGGTCAAGATCATAACTGTTGTCCTAAACACATTGATCGACACACCAGCACAGGACCTATCACAACTTACCACATCTCCCAATCGAGCAGCCTTTGGAATCTAAGCTACCGCAAGATCCATGGAGAGCTGACCTCCGAGCTAACGGTCTGTGAGACGTAGTGGCGTCGATTCGGAGTTATTTCCATCGTGGATCGGATGAACTCAAAGGTGTAGTTTAATTTTAGTACTTCGCGTTTTAAAGTGGTTCATCGACCTGCTCAGCTTGTAGATCATTGCCTGTCACATTCTGAAATGAGCCAGAAGCACTTAAAATCGGATGAAGTTTGACAGTATGCAGGTACGGCGTTGAAGGAAGCGGGTGTGATTTTGTACAGCAAGGGTACGAGCTAAGAGTTACTATCTCAGTTACAGACTAGCAATAACCACCCCCCAGAGTCTTATCTGTCCAGCTTCAGCCACGATCCCAACCTTACAGCTGAGTCATGACATATCGAGCTGTTCCCATAGTCAGCAGCTCGGGCACGATCACGCGAGCAATAATATGTAATGTCATGGCATCTAGCCTCCTTCGATTATAGTACCATACATGGCTACAGACTCAGAGCAAAGTTTGCCCAGATTGAGATAAGCATGGGAACTCCTGTCTAGGTAATTGAGTCGGAGGATGGTGCGTGGGTGAGATGTGTCAGTTGTGCGCTACACCTGCAGCAGGGGTTCAGATCCGCGTGACCGTTGAGTCAAGACAATTGCCAACAACTTCGCCCACAAGAGCTCGTTCGTCACGAGTCCCTACAAGAGAGGCAAACGTAAGTCGCAAGGCCCAACATGGTTGTCAAAGGCAAAGCAGAACGGAACGCTTTACTTCAATGGTATTCCTGCCGCCATAGCCACAGAGTGATCCGTGCGAGTCGCGTAGCGTGCATGATCTGTAACAACACTGGCAGCCTAACCGACTTGAATTGGGGTGATCGCATCTCAATCGGACCCTTGACCGGCATTGACTCGCTCCTTTGCGCTAACCACCTGAAGCGCCTGCTACGTGCCCCATCATCAGTGCGACTGACAGATGGTGGCGCGTCAGAAACGGCCCAGCCATACACTTAGGTGCGTGACCCTTTTTGAATTTGCAGCATGCCACTCGTAGCTCTTTGGTCGACGTACCCATCGGCCATTGACATGCCGTCCCAGCTGGCCGCTCCTCGATTTGTCTTCGCAGCTCGCATTGCCGGTTGAAGCGTATCCAGGCTCAGATGTACCCAAGAAGTTGTGGTCGTAGTAGATGTGGGGCTTCCTGGAGTAAACGAGATCCGTGGTTGACATGGCATGGCGGATATCCAGCGCCACCTAGGATAGGATAGGATAGCCGTACCCACGTCATGCTCAAGGCCCCCCCCCCCCCCCCCACGCTCCCTGTGCAGGTAATTTATATCAAACCCCAGGGCAAGGCATGAGAATAGCGAAGTTGAAGAGTTGAGCTTGAAACAATGATATTAGAGGTTTCAACTGCGTCATATAATGCCACCTGGTGGATCGTATGTGGGCGCTCTTCCAGAACCAAGACCAGCACTCCCAGGCGCTTCCACATCGACTGGCGCAGTGTTGGTTTTCCGTAGCATGAACATAGGTTTCTTCCCCTCCTTGTCGAGTTGCTTGAAGAGGATAAGTGGCTTCTCGTCAAGGCCAAGGCACCGTTCTTGATCGCCATAGACAATGTAGAGCGCGTACTTGTCCCATGGTTCGTTGATGTTGTACTTTTTGAGAGCCGCGGGCAGAACTTTGTAACAAGGGTCGTCCATGCTGACTCTGAAGGACTTGAAAATCTCCACAGAAGCCGAACTCGAGCCAGGCGTGTCAGGAGCGGGGGTTTGCAGTCGCCGGGGAGGCGCAGGTTGTTTGGAGCCGTAGTGATCGTTTTCAGAGAAGGTGGTGCGAGTTGAGGGCGTCGGTTGGTCGGACCGATATGATCTCGAAGCGAGAGTAGCGCTGCCCAATGTCGGAGGGGAGGTAGGTGATGGCATGTTTGGTGAGTAGCCAGGCGAGGTAGCAGTAGCATTGCCATTCATCGCCGCAAGATGCGACGAGGAGAGAACAGCCCTCTCGGCGGCGCTTGCCGGGTCCAGAGTTTGTTCTACCGACGGGCGCTCATGAGTGACTTGCAAATGACTGGGAGACATGTTTTTGGGAGTCGTACCCAGAACAATTCTTTTTGTAGAGTACTGCCTGTTCAGGCCTCCTCCAGATTGTAACGACGACGGCGTGGGCGCTGGAGGCGATATGGTAGACGACTCATATGCGTAGCCCTGGTTGTCCCTGCCAGACAGGTTCGGCAGAGGCTGCTGCGCGTTCTTAGCTAGGCGCAAAGCTGGTAACATATCCTCGCGCAATCGTCTATAGTCTTCAGTAAGCCGTTGCAGGTCTTGCTCGACCAGACTCATTCGCTCATCGCGAAGACGCAGTTGTTCCACGAGGTGCTTGATATCCTTCAGTGTAGCCGTGGCATTCTGGGCTTCGGCTTCGGCGGCTAGATGTAGAGCAATTGTTAGGATGTCTTGTACTGCTAGGGGGAGAAGAAACGGACGTCGAGGCTGGCGGAGAGCTCAAAGGGTGGCAGTTTGGAGATACATACATGGCGGGACATAGTGGTCGCTGTCTATGGGGACATCCTGAGCTTTCTTGACATCATAGACGCTCTTGAGAATGGTCAGCCGATGGCCGACACTAGCAATGCTCATGGACTTGAGGTCATCATGCAGAAGAGCTATCAAGGCTTCTCCGACGATCTCGTTTTCTGGCAAGGGTCAGACTCTCCTGTGCGTGCGTGTAGACAGGTGGGATGGAGGACGAACCTATAAAACGGTCCGAGTATTGCTGTAGGCCTATGGTCGCAATGAAATCGGCACACTCGTCGGCAGTCCACTCCGAGATGATGGTCTCGGGTAGTCTGTCAGCACTACTGCGGTGGCCATATGTGGTAGGGGTGTGTTCGGTGGACGAGCGGCCCTCAGAGTCGGTTGGAGATAATTCCGAGTCGGTCGCGAGTATAGGAGATCTCGAGTGCAAGCTTCTCTCGTATTCGTCGTCGGCGTCTGACTCGGCATACGCGGTGCCAAGTCCAGAATCGAAATTCATCATGACTTTGGGCGCGTCTTGTGGCTCCGCAAGCCGGGTGGTGACGCTGGATGCAACGGTTGTATGTATAGGACAGCTTGCCGGGCGGTAGTAATTGTGTCGTCGAGGCTGTTCAGGTGTTCGCGACCGAGCAAGCAAACGGGGGCGCGCGTCGGTGGAGGGTGAGAAGGAGAGCCGGAAGTCGACTTTTGCCTGGAGTCGGAGTTGCAGTGGCAGCTTCAGGTGGGATGGAGTTGAGCCGAGTCGATATGCCTGCTATGGGTATGCTATGTTATGTGTGCTACGGTACAGAACGCTACATGAACGCTACATGTATGGACCAGAGCATCTGGCTGACGGTCTGAAATGAGGAGATGCTGGCAACTGGCAAGGCTAAAGCTCAAGCTAACCGTAGTGCAAAGCCAAAGCCAAAGCCGACGGCGGGAGTGCACGACGATCGGTTGGTTGATTGATTAGTTTACTTGAGGCTTTCAAAAGATAGGCAGCGCAAATGAGTGGTAGACGCTTTATTCAGGATCGTTTTGCAGCCTCTGTCTCAAGAGACAAGTCAAGCCAAGCCAAGCCAGGTCAAGTCAACTCAGGTCAGGCCAAGACAAGACAAGACAAGACAAGCCAAGCGATCGAATCCTGCCAAAGTGTCAACCGCGTGGGTTTGTTGCCAAAAACCAATGAATGCTGGATGCCGATGCCCGTACAAGTACAACAAGTGAGAAAGTGGACTACCAGTTGAATTGATGGAGAGATCCAATTCTAGTGGGCGCCTGTGCGCGCTGGTGGACGCTTGTGTACGCTTTGTCGTGCTTGTAGCCGCTGCTGGGGGGGCCCTGGTGAGCTGGGGTCTTGATCTGCCTCCCTTCTCTGTCTTTCTCTCTCTCTCTCTCTTTCGCGGCGGGCTGGCCCAATTGGATTGGATGGGATGGCTGAAGAGAATAGTTACTGGAACTGGGTAGTTACAAGAGGTACCAATCCGTAGTACGTAACTTAAGGTAATGAAATGCCCACTTCGCTTCGCTTCGCTTCTCTTCGGGTGGCCCTTGCGCTCGCTTGCTCTTCTTTGCTGCTCTACCAGTATGCTGCTCTGGGGTGCTCAAAGGGGCATGGAAGCTTGAAGCTTGAGGCTTAAGGCTTGAGGCAAGCTCCCCCGGCTGGCCTTTTTCCCTCTTAAACGTCACCCAAGACGTGCGTGGAGGTCTCTTTCCACCCGAACGCGTCACCGAAGCAAAGCAACCAACGGACTACTACGGTACTCTCACACATTCTAACTTACTAAGATTAGGTTAGGTATGTTTTGTACAACCCACTAACAAAGACAAGACCACCCACATCCAGACACCCCTGCAACCTCTGAAAGTCGTACCTGAACCTGAACCTCTACGGTTAGTTAGGCTCGCGTCCCTCATCATCCCCCCCCACTCCATGATCGTTTAGAGCTCTAAACTCCCACTTCTACCCTAGCCGTCATTGCATTGCATCAAAACCCAAGTCTCCCCATGTTCAAAAGCTTCTTTTCTCCATACTCCGCCATTCTTATGTCCAGGTTTTTATTTTGCTTCTCTCTCCCCTCCTCTCTCTCCATGCTGCTATGTTTTTCTGTAAGATCATTTCGTTGTATGCTGGTGTACCATCTTGAACCTCATCTGATTGGCTCTTCACTCGAGGCTTTATTATTGTGGTAAGCGTTTCATGGCCAACTTGCTCGGCCACTTACCACACCACAAATTGCCTGAGGGGCCCGGTGTAACCCTTTAACCTTTGTCTTTTCCGAGATAGCAAGACAACGGAATTCGTAACCCGACCGACAGATAATCTCACGACGCAATTTTTCCATCTCATTTCGATTCAACGAGTCTATGGAAGCCTCACGTAGCATTCGATGCATTTGGAATAGGGGGTCTATGGCTTCCATCTTCTTTCCAATCCACCTTTCCCCGGTTTTCATGGCCGAGTACTACATTATATGTGCCATTCGCAGATTTGCAACTCGGCTTGTGACCGCAGTTCATCTATCGCTCTCCTTGGCGCCGCCCAATTTGGTGCCATTTCGCCTCAATTGGCAATTTGGCAACGGCTCACTTTCCGAGTGCGACACCACACCCACCGCTTCATCCCATGTGGGTGGTATTACTAAATCCACCAACAAATAAACTCAAAATCTTTTTCTTCAACCATCAGCCATATTTCGCCCTCTTATGAACCATGGTATAGAACAAGACAACCACTAGCAAGATTTCGACGTCGGTTGAAACATGAGGGATCGCATCCGCGTCTTTGACTAGTGTCGTCGGGCTGGTTTCAAGTCTCCCCGACTGATTCGTTTCTAAAACACAGTGAGGACGAATAAGCACTCCAAAATAAAAACCGCCGACTTGCTTATGCATTGCAAAGCCCAAGCTTGGTCTGACTGGCAACTTATTTGCCCTGCAGCTGTCCAAATGCGGCGCCGTAACGGTCATGCAGGAAGTCGCGCGTTTCGTCACATGCCTTGAAAAGGTAGCGCCGGGACATATGTTTCCTAAACAGTGACCTGAATCCATGATACTCAAACAATAAAGCTGTAATTGAACCTAGTCTAGCTTGAGCACGCTTTGATGTTACTCATGGAGTCACCTAGGAGCCTCGACGCAAGGATTGTTCAACTGGCTTGCACCCATTTGTGACTTGCCGACAAGACCCCTCTTGGAAGTTTTTGACTGTCTCATCGCCAGTAAGGCCATCTTCAATCATCAATACAAGATATACATCAATCAAAGTCTTCCTAGTTCTCTGGGTTAGCTTAGACGAGGTCTGGCCATTGACTCGGTGCCCTTCTTTATCCATTGACTTGGAGCCTAGTAAGCCTGTTGGTGTTCATGCTGCTTACACAGCCATCATACACTCAACTTGATTCCACCTGCTAGTATATCTTCTGACGAAGGTGATCATCGGCCAAAACGTCAATAGCTTAGCACTGCCGGAGAATATTCAATGCGTGACACGCCACAGCGTCGCGCTAGCTCGAGAGCACAGATCGTTCCGTATAGCTGGGAAATAGATAGCTAACCTAGCGTATTGTGTTGCCCAGGGGCACTTGAGCATTCTTCCCGTCTGCCATGGCGTTAGTACCGATTGCTGGCAAGTATGAGACCCTGATGGTTTCCGCTTCACTGGATATCTGGGGATGGTAATCGAAAGGAGCCTCACTGGCTGTGGATTCGGACACAACTACTCTACGTTACTTCCTGGGATCCAAGCGCAGTGTCCGACCGTCATGTAGGGAGTATCGGGTCTTCCACCACCGGTGATGATCGTGGTTCGATGCATATTTCCGGCACCGCATTCTGAAATTTGGCCACGAACCCAGGCCGAGTATGGCATTCGAACATCTCATACTCTGACTAGGGTTCTACTGATACATTTCAACTCGCATCTTTCTTCCTATCTAGTGACTGGGCTGCTGTCATTGTTTGGCATGAGTATATTTCGGTTTTGTCCCATCATGTACATATGCAAATGACTCGTGGTCTCGGCCCATTCCGTATCTTCCACCCGCGTTCGAAGCTGAGATCTGTTTTTCTCATACGTATGTTGCCACAACCACACCCACCCCGATAGAGGGGCCTTGCTCCCATGAGGTTCCGTTGTTGTAGAGGTCACGTTTTAAATCGAAATAGGAAGTGTATATATGTCTCGTAATGGTGTGTAAGCAAATCGTTTCTCCGCCTTAAATCAATGATGTGATAGATAGGTCAACTTCTGCCGGCGAGCTTAACATAGGTACTCAATAGCAATTTGGGAATATAGCTATCAAGATATGCTCCCTAAAATCCGTGATTTTGCATTCAGCGGTATTGAAAGACACTCTTCGCAGTATTATATCTGGACGGGATTGACACTACACAAGGTCCGTAAAGACGGGTCGTCCCTGCGGTAGGGTTGTTGAGCCCTCATATTAAATATCGATTCATCTAATTCAATCTCTGTCAAGTTGTGTGCCACCAGGCACTATCTGTCAGTCGAACCTGAAGCTATTGGTCTATAAATCGCGTTCAATTTCGCATCCTAACGTGATTCAGCAAACATGGAAATTGTCACGGTATGGTACATTATTTGTCTGATTCTTAGATACGTTTTTCTGTCAAAGCCCGAAAATTCTGACTAGTCATGCAAAGGGACGGCAATAGTTAATGATTGTCGCGTTAAAATTAATAAAGTCTTGGTATCATGCAAGGTATCATGCATGCTTAGACCTTTTACCGTTTAGTCCCACTTCCCACCAGATATCTATCAGTCTATCCATCTATCGGGTTTTCTAGAGTTCCGACTACATGAAAGTAGCACTTAACTATCTTAAAGGAAAGGGCATGAAGTAGATTATTACCACGTTTTCCCAACCGACAACAACTCATCCACAACCCAAGTGGTGGTCGCAGCAAGATTAAGATTACATCTGCCCATGTTCTCGCCCTCGAGATCTCTAGTTCTCCCTACTGCACATGCTCCTTCTCCTCGGCCTTGGGGATCCGCACCAAGGTGCCGGTGATGAGGGCGCCGGTCATGGCGGCGGCGAAGCCGAACCACCAGATAGCTCTCATGCCCTCGAGGCCGATGGAGCCGTCGGGCTGCTCGTCGACCCTGACGCCGATGCTGTCGCTGATGCTGGTGAAGATGGCGCTGGTCAGGTTCTGGACAGTGACGAGCAGGCTGCCGGCGCTGCCCTGGTAGCTCCGGGGCACGCTCGAGGTGATGAAGATGGCGGCGGCGGCGAAGCTCATGTCGGGCCCCAGCGTCGCGAGGGCCACCCCCGGCATGCTGAGGGCCCAGTACGTCGTGGACGGTTGCTGCGGGAGGAAGAAGACGGGCCCCAAGGCGAAGCAGACCATCGAGGCCGTCAGGATCCAGTGGCCCGGCCAGATGTGCAGCGTCTTGGCCACGATGAAGGTGGCCAGGACGCCCACGATGGCGTTGGGCAGGAAGTAGAGCGCCGTGGTGAGCGGGGTGGTTCCTTGGTATTTCTGCCAGAACTGGATGGCGTAGAACTGCCAAGCGCCGTCTGGAAGAAAGAAGACATTAAGGTCAGTATGTCTTGTCACAATTCATAAGAAAAGAAAAGAAAGAACCTCAACTTACTAAACCCTCCAAATCCGAGGAAATACGCAATCATCAGCGCTGCAAACCCAGGTGTTTTCCACAATGCGTTTGGGATCAGGGGTCTCTTGACCCGGTTCTCGACCATGTAAAACGCCACGAACATCAGCATGCCCGCTATGATCAGAGAGTACGTGTACGGGTTCCACTTGGCAGAACTGCCCTGCGTGAGACCAAACAGGAGTAAGCCGCAGCCCAACGAAGCTAGCAGCGCGCCCAGATAATCAAAGTCCCGTAGGCTGGGAGCGTTCGCATCTGACGAGTCTTGTGCTGGGCGCAGAGCGGGGATAGTGAACTGCGCCGCCACGGCACACAGGGCGAGGAATATGGACGTGCTGCCGAAGATCCACGGGAGATGCGACGCCAGAGCACCACCCTGGATGCAGCCGATCCAGAAGCCAAGCGGGGCGCCGGCCGCCATGAGGCTGAAGACCTGGGTCTTGCGGATGCCGGGATTGTAGACACGGCCCAGGATACTCATACTCGCCGAGACCAAGATGCCCACAGACAGGCCGCCCATGGCGCGCGCAACGAAAAAGAGGATTTTGAGCTCGGGCTTGATAGCTGCAGCAGCAACCGCGTTCCATAACGCCTGCCAGACGAAGGCGCCGACCATCAGCGGCTTGGGCGGTGCCAGGTCTGCAAAGGAGCCGGAGATGATAACGGATAGACCACTGGCGAGCAGCGAGGAGCCCACAAGCCAAGGGCCCTGGCTGGGCACAATACCCAAAGCAGCCTGGAATTTTGATTGTGGCACCATTACATGACCGAGCGTTAAGCTGAAGATCAACTGGCCGGCCGTGTTGACCAGCACGAAGACAGCTTCGGCGAACAGGTTTTTCAGCTCGGGTGGAACACCCTGCTTCCCCGACGATCTTATGGGCTCAGCATCGGGTGGCAGACCGACGGTGCTCTCGTGCACGACCCGGCTGCGGACGTGGGCGAGCTCGAGGATCTGCTCACCTGCCGTGTTGGTATTCACCTGCTGCAGTTCATAGGCGTGGGACTCGTGTAGCGCCGCCGCGAGAGCCTTTGAATCAATGTCTTGTGTCTCTCTGTGTCCAAGCAAGGGGTGTGGAGTGATTGCGCCGGACGGCAGTCCCGGTGTCGTAATATCCCAAGCGAATGGTGTCTCAGTGCCAGAAGTCGGCGGCCCAGGCGACTCGAGAGGAGTCTCGAGATGGTCCGGGCCGTGATAGTCAGAGGTGGATGGGCGTGTTTCCGCCATTATCGCTTCACTTCTGCTTAGTATGGGGTCTGGGGTATGACAATCCATTAACCCCAAGTTTTTGTGACTTCAATGTTAGAATAGGGCCGAGGAACCTTGGGACGGGTCATTTTGGGTTTCTATAGTCACCGCTTATCGTCAGCTGATATCTGGATAACCCAAAGAGTGGACATCCCACTTAGGCTGGGGAAGCTTTGTACACCATGACGTTATGGGGCCGACTCGGAATATGGATTGCGACTAGAGGTGAGAAAATTGGGGGGTCCAATGAGAAACGCCCTGATATCTTCACCGATGGATATGATGCAGCGAAAACTCCATCTGCGCAAGACTCGCGTCGCGGAGCTACTAGGAATGGGCTTTCCGTTGAAGCTAGAACTCGCTGGCTATACCTATTGAGGATAGCGGCGGACTATACTACATAGTATGGTGGGAAACCGCAGGGGGGCAGGTGCTTTTCCCGGGAGGTACGCCGTATGTCCGTTTTTGCGCCTCGGAGCATTATCGTGAAGAACTGGTCCCCTGCCTCGTTGTAGTTAACAGCCCTCATATTATATTACAATGACTTGACATTGAAGAGTTTTTGTAGAATTCATAACATGGTTTCCATTTTTGAAAAAGCGTCGAATTTTTCAACTACACAAGATCTGGTTCCAAATGTCCTGAACTTTGGAGCATCATTTTAGCCTTCTAATGCAACTCCCAACGCAAAACCAGCAAGCTGAGATAAGTTCAAAATTAACGGACATCTTTGGCCGCCTTGACAAACTGCCGTATCCGATCGAGGTTTTGTGCTCCGTCGACTTCAACTCCACTACTCACGTCAACACCCAGAACATGAGCGGCCTCGACTCCTAGGCTAACGATTGTTTCAGCAACATTTGTGGGATCCAAACCTCCGGCCAACATAATGCGTAACTCGGGATCATTTGCCAATTCTGCTTTGATGTCGACAGAATCCAAAAGTTTACCGGATCCGGAACCAGAGTCGAGAAGAGAAACCGCATGATAGCCCCTGACATGAACACCCGGCTCGCCAGGTACGAATTTATGCATGACGGGCACCGGGATGAATTGTGCCCACTCAACGGGCTCGTTTCCATGAAGTTGTACCACGTCCAAATTATAGCGCTTCTGAAGCTCGAGAATTTCTTCCAAAGGCTGATTTAAGAAGACTCCAGCAAGCAGTGGCCGCGTCTTACCAGGCGATGTAATCTTTTCGGCAGCCGATGCAAAGAAATCAGTGGCGATATGTGCCGGTCTCTTGGGCGCCGGCGACTCTGGTCGAACAAATTCATGTACAGCTTTGGATATCGCCTTTGCTGCCTCGTCGGAGACAGTGCGCTTTCGGTCAGGAACAAGGATCATGCCGATCAAGTCTGCTCCAGCTTCAGCAGCTGCGATTGCAGCCTCAGGAGTTCGGGTACCACACACCTTGACGAGGAGAGGATCCGTCGTAGTCGATTTTTCAACAACCTTGCCGGCGCATAGTTGCTGGATAAAATCTGACGCGTCCGGCGCACGCATGATTGCCTCACCGACCAGAACGGCGTTCACTCCATCCTTGTGATTCGCCACTACATCGTCATATGTGTTGATACCGCTCAGTGCGCAAATGATAGTCTCCTTTGGCACCAGGGCGCGCAACCTGCCTGTTGTGCCGAGATCAACCTCGAATGATTCCAAGTTGCGATTGTTGACACCAACGGCTTTAGAGCCAAGTTCGACTGCGATCTTCATTTCCTCGGCATTCTGAACTTCTACAAGCGGCTCCATGCCTAATGACTGGGAGTACTTGTAAAGCCGCGTAAGTAACTCGACATCTAGCATCTTGACGATGAGCAAGACAGTATCAGCACCGGCAAGTCGAGCCTCCAGAATCTGATACTCTTCAAAAATGAATTCCTTTCGCAAAATGGCGGGCCGGTTTGGCATGGCGCTGAGGACTTGTCTGACGGCACGCAGATCCTCGATGCTACCCTTAAACCATTCGGGTTCGGTCAAAACAGAAATAACACTGGCACCTGCCAATGCGTACTTCTTCGCCTGAGTTGGGGCGTTTATGCCCATCGCAAAGATGCCCTTTGAAGGTGATCCCCTCTTGATCTCGGCCATAAGAGAAACGTCAAAGGGTGTCTGGCGTAGTCGGTCGAGAAAGTTGATCTGTGGGGGTGCAGCCCCTAGGTCATAAGCAGCCTGCAGGTCTTCAGGCCGCTGTGAAGGAATAAGCTTCTGCGCGGTGACCGCGTCCTTCCTATGAGCATAAATTTGCTGCAGAATGTTGCTCTTTTTCGGTGCATCCGGGGTGGTCGTACCATTAGTTTGGGCGAGCTTTTGGAGGCGATCGTTCTCGGCCCAAGTGCCTCCCTGCATGTGCAAAAAGTTCTTGAACATGATCCGACCCTGTTCAGAAAGAATACTTTCGGGATGGAATTGAACGCCTTCCACAGTATAATCCTTGTGCCTGACGCCCATAATGACTCCTTTGGAACCATCATCCTTGGGAATCCAGGAGGTAACCTCCAAGGCTTCCGGCAGAGTGACGTGAGTACCGGCAAGGGAATGATACCTCGTGACGGGGAGGCCTTGCGCCATACCGGCATAGACACCCTTGGTATCATGCTTCAGGGGCGAAGTCTTGCCATGAAGAATTTCTCCAGCAAACTCGATTGAGCCGCCATAGACACCAAAAATACATTCCCTAAATTGGCAATGAGCGACGAGATCGATGGTTGACGGTGCAAGCTAGAAACTCACTGTCCCATGCATACTCCGAAAATTGGGATTTTGCCAGCGAAATGTTTGATTGCATCTTTGCTGATGCCGGCGTCGGTGTCTGGGTGGCCGGGCCCGGGGCTTATGACTAATTGGGTGGGCTTCTTGGCGATGAGCTCGTCAAGAGTAATCTGGTCATTTCTGTAGACGGTACATGTGGCACCTTCTAGCACCAAGTACTGGTAGACATTCCAAGTGAAGGAGTCGTAGTTATCAATGAGAATCAGGTTAGATGCGGTCGCAACCGGGGGCGAGGGATCCGGATGGTGGGGTGAATGATCAACGAGATGCAACGCCATGACTCCCTTCAAGTGCAAAGAACCAGATGTGTGGAAAGGAAAGTGTGGGAAAATTGCGAGATTGTCGATCACTGACAGAAATTCCGGAGCGAACACTGTTACCTTTAAAGTGAAGGGAATGTAGTCCTTGCCACAATTGGACACTTGTTCGTAGTAAGCAGGGAATAGTAATGGGAGGGATTCCGCGATGGCACTGCACTGGACGAAGTGGTGGCAGAAAATGCGGGCGGTACGGAGTACAGTCGGTTTCCTAAGATGACTCTTGGCTCTGCCGATTGAGGCAAAGCGGTGAAGAGCTTTGAAGTCGAATGCGAAGTGCGAAGCGAAGCGAAATGATGCGCGCGAGGCTGAACACAGCTAACTTACACCGACTTGTGCAAATCACCCCTCCAGTCTCAATCGTGCTACTGCAAGGCTGCGGCTGCATCAGCGTACTTACGGAAAGTGCATACCGTACTGCTCTGCGGTACAGGGATCTTGGCCACTCCCCAACTAAAATCTCGAGCTGTCCCCGAGCCCATTTTTGTGTGTGCCTGAGCCAGAAGCTACCCGCTGAAGGAGCCAGCCATGCCCCAGAGCTTGGACCGGGGTTTGGGTTCGGGCTCGGGTTCGTCCTGGCGGCTGCAAGATTGTTGATTGACTTGGTTTATTTACTACCTGCATTTTACGACCCGCCGCGAATTCTGAAAGCTCTAGACTAGATTGGAGTGCTGCAGCATCTCGAAGACATTTTGGAAGCAGCGCGTCCGCCACCTCACATCACCACGTCCGCTGTTTTGCTGCAACCCAGCACATGGCATTTACTACATGATCTTGATGCATAAGGCTATGTGCATTGCCGGCAGTAACCTGCAGCAATGGCACCCCAGCTCGTCGACAAGGTCTATTTACCTGACCTAGAGCCCTGCTTGAAGGGCGAGTCTGTTGTTTTGTATGTCCTGTCCTGTCAGCCAGCCTCGACCACCACTCGGTCGCTAACCTACTTGTTCCCGTAGGTCATGGAGACTCGTCGCGTCGGCTCTGGCAGATACTACTGGCCACCGCCAAAGTAGTCGTGCCATCATCGAATTCCTTACGAACCCCATCGTCCAGGCCTTCTTTACCAAGCCTGGCACTGTCTTTGAACCCGCGGGCAACAATGACCCTCACAAGCAAGCCTTCGAGACCCGAACGTCGGCTGTCCAAGTCACCCCTACACCTAACGACAAATACGATATCAACACAATAAAACAAGATTCCACCTGGCTGAGCAACAACGCCAGCATAAACCTGTTGGCCGCTTTGCGCATAGTCGTGATCGAGTTCCAATCCCGTTCTCGGAACCAACTCACGGGTCCCATCTCGAGCCAGGATGTGACGAATCTTCAGGAGGCCGCTGGCGCCACCAATGCGCAAGCTTCCAGTATCTTACCCGGGCTTAATTTGGCTGCTACTCGCGATGCTGCCGAGCTCCAGGCCGACTTTGAAAATGACGATGCCAGGCGACGTCGCATATTCCAGACCTACCTGGCTGAGCGCCGTTACTTCGCTATGACAACCGACCACTTGTTCACTTTGATGCTGCACGAGCAGTTGCCGTCGTGTGCCGCCAATGAGGCGACCAGGAAAATACGTGTTTCCTTCATGGAGGCATATGGATTGACGTCGCAAACACAGAGCACTGGGGCCCCCGCCAAGACATATCATGCTCTGATCGCGCAGTACTTTACTGTCACCTCCGACAGCATCAAGAGTTGCGAAGACGTCTCCTCCGTCGCCAAAGACCAGACGCTACATGACGACGACATGCAGAATGAATGGATTAAGACTTTCCTCGCCGAGGCCATCCATGCCATGACCGTTTCTTTCCAACTGCTGGACTTGTGCAGTCAAGTGCTGGTTTCCCCTGAACTGGTGAAACAATGGTTTCAATTCGTGGGCGAGACCTCTTTTCTTGATGTCCTGGGCGGAGTTGACGGACTTGCTCAGCTCATACCGCCAGTGCAATGTCTTGTCAGCTTGATATCCCTCACCTTGCTCAATTTGCCCAGGACATTGGGCTTTTTCTACGGAGAGCAGGAAATTGATAATGGTGTCGAGTTCCTTGGGTCGTCAGATGCTCTGCTTATGATACACGAAGTAGTCACAAACGCTGTTGACCGAGGTGTGGCTTCTGCCTTGCCCGTAGCTTTAGCTTGGGTGCCGGTTCTACATGGCATGTATGCATCCTACCAACAGCGCGCCGAACAGCGCGATGCAATTCAGAATCAGAAAGCAATTGAGTCGTATGACTCGGGAACTCAGATGATACCAGGCGCTGGACGGAGAAACTCAGCTGGAAGCATTACAACCATTGATAAAACCGGCTACGATGACTTCCTCGCCATGACCTCCATGGAACGAGATATCCAGCCCGCTTTGCTTATCGGAGCCGCAGCCACGAGTGATGGCTTAGTGTATGATATCATCTCTGATATGGCTCGATGTCTGGGCACTTCTGAAAGTGCCATATTTGCAGCGTCTGTGGGCTCCCGGATGAGGTTGGCATTGATAAGTCTTCTAAAGTCCACATTCAGCTTCGTTGGCTACAAAGGAGAACCGCTTACAGCACTGCTATCTTTGCTCTCCGGCGGTGATAGCTACTGGCAGCTCACAGAACCGAGCACCTTGCTACCCAAAGACGATGTCATCTCCCGGACGCTCAATGATGAATTCACCCTGGAAAATTTTCTGGGTCAAGCTTTACAGCGGTTCCCGTACGAGTTCATCCCTTTCACAAGCCTGTGCAGAAATCTCGCTTCTACCACCCACTCTTCTGACACCCACCATGATGCTATTTTGAAGATCCTCAAACGAACACCTCATCTGACCTTCGAGCTTCCGAAATCTTTCAATGATTATGAGCTTGCCCAGGAGGACGAAGGCTTGAACACAATCCGATTTTTGGACGATTTCCCCCTGTTCGAGATCACCTCTGCTCGTAAGCGTATATCTTCAGACGACGAGACATTTATCATACCGGCGGGCACATATGGTCGCTTTATGAGCGACTCCGGCAGAATCGTCCTCATGGAGTATAAGCATTCCACGTTGTCTCTACTCGGAAAGCGGTTGGAAGCCAATCTGACACCTAGCATTTACCGCCTCGAGCTCGGTGTGCTCAACGACGATGAGGTCGCAGAGGTCATCTCTCTGTTGGCAACTTTGATCCGAGTTGAAACCACAAAAGCTGTGAGGCACGCGGATAAAGAGGCCATTTCAGAACCCGGTTTATCTATCATCGCCGAAGCAAGCAGCGCGTTACGACGGACCAAGGACATCATATCAGTTGTCTGTGATATACTCGACAACTATATCGAGAATGACCCAGAAAGCGCCATGCTCCCGATCGTGACTGCCTCAATACAGTTTCTTGATGCAATTCTGCCACTCCAGCCTGGTCGCGTATGGTCATATCTCGGACGATGCGCATTACTCAACAACGAATCTAGGGCTGGCCGGCTTTCACGCCTGACAGGCACACTAGAGCTGTCTAACGAGCAGTACGAGTTATTGGCTAGCACGTTGCGATTCTTCCACAACGTCGTGGACAGCTCCATGATAAGTACAGTCCAGAGAAAAACACCAACTAAATCGAACGCTCGCCAGCAGGGCTCTGAAAGTATATGGCTTGGCGTTTCAGACAAACTCATCACACAAGTTACTGTGGCTATATCACAAGCCTGCGTGGACACATTGGAAAGTTCGACTACGTGGCGGTTTTCGTCTGAACTGCAACGTACAGTACTTATCCGGGACCTTGTCCCCATTCTCAACAAGTTCATACTATATACCTACAGTATGGGCGAGATTGAAAACAAGAAGAAATTGGCGGCGCCGTTAGAGCCAGCCGCCAAGTATATAATTGATAGCTTCTTAGCGCCGTCGGCAGGAAGCCTACGTATTCAACCACTTTTGGCAACTCTTGCCGTAGCAGTTCATTGGCCTGGAACAACTATATATGCCAATGGCTTGAAAGCGCTGAGCGATCGAACGATCGCCGTTTTAGAGCTTGCCACGACTCTAGTTCGGGTGGCAAATTTCTTCGACCAATCTTCGACCACCATAGAGTTGCAGTTATTCAAAGCGTCGCCCTTTGTGGCTAGGGTATGTGCTGCCCATGAAGGTTTCAGGGCGGCCACAATTGCACTCTTGGAAGCGTTAGTTGTCAGTGCTGGGAAAGCGACGGGCGAGCCACCGTCATTACTTGGATATCTAGGTCCCCAGACTTCGAGATCCTTCTTACAGCTGCTGTCCTCTTTGGACAGGCCTTTTGACCAGGCAGAAGAAGTCAGCATTATCTGGCGGTTCTTCTCCACCATTGTTAGGAACAGACAGCAGTGGATGGCAAACTGTCTCCTCACCGGCAAGACTCCGCGCGACGCGCGAAATGGCCACGACAAGACATCCCAGCCGGCATCAGACGCAGTTCTGACTTCCGCGCTCAACAGACTCTCCAACATGGATACAATCCCTGCCTCTGAAGCTTTATCGATACTTGACTTCATAACATCCGCTCAAAATTATTGGCCGTGGACAATTTTCAGTCTGCAGAAAAACACAGGATTCCTCTTAGGCCTACGGAAGTATGTGAAAGGGCTCGAGTCATTTCACATTACTTCCAAGACCAGCATGCTCCAAGCCTGCGACGAAGCTCGTTTAGCAGCATACATCGCCGAGACGTTTGCCATGCAGCTCTTCCACCTGCGTCAAATGGGACAAGCTGATAACTTGGCCAACGAGTTAGCTGGAGATCTTGATTACTTCTTGAGAGACGGCGTGCTGGTATCTGGCTACAACAATTCCTTGCACGCAAACTTTGCGAGAAATTTTGCAAACAAGTATCCCAGTTGCAAGCTCGATGATTTCAAACGTACACTCCTCGAACCTCGTGCGCTTGGCAATGGGTACTACTATGCCCTCAACTTCGCCGACACAATGTTGCAGTTTGACCCTGGGTGGGTAGGAATCCGTGGCAACGGGTTCAAGAGCGAAATGGAGAAGGCAAACGCGAACTTGTCTCTCGTAGATGCCCAAATAGTAAGTATACCCTACCCACGTTGGACAGAACTTTGCTAATAGCCAACAGGCTCTTTTCCATGCTTGGGAATTCCTGCTGCTTGAGTTGAGCCACTGTCTTCCCACTAATAGTATCCTTAAGAAACACACTCTCCAGGTCGCTGAGCAGTGTTTGGCAGCCAACGAAGCCACCCAAGGCCACGAGCAGATTTTCGAGAGGCTCACCGAGTCCCGAGTCGATTTGGCCCTTCTGCTCGTGCAGCGAGTTGTCGACAATACACCATCCGCTGCCGATGTCGCGAAACTTCTGAATGCCCTTTGGTCAACAGTCAGCACTTTTGAAGAGCCTTATGCACCCGGCAGCCTCTCACTCTACCGAACACTTCTTAAACTTCTCTACGTGACATTGCGGGCTCAGGTCAAAGCGTCGGATCCCAAGCTTTCCAACAGTGTTGCAGAGAAGCGTGCTCTGAATGACTCTTCGTTGAATGTGTCGCAGACGGTTCTTGGAATACTGGATGGTGTTGTCGGGAAAGGTCTCCGGACACTGGTGTCGCTGATTCACGACTCAGACGCAACCATCTTCCCAGAGGATGTTGCCATTGTGAACGCCATTTTGCAGGCATGCCTTTGCATACCGGGCATCAGTCAGAGTCAGACACAGATTGTGAACATCATGGCTGCGCACGATGCCGTACATGTGGCCGTGTCGTTGTACTCTTGGGCGGATAAACTGGCGGAAAAGGGCGACCCGATCTATGGCGAACTGTCCATACTCTTTCTGCTCGAGCTGTCGGCCCTGCCCTTAGTGGCGGAACAACTCGCCTGCGATGGCCTGCTCAACCATTTGACGTCTGCCAGCTTAGCCAACTACCTCAACCGGCCCAACGTGTCACCATTTGCAGACTCGGTTGGCCCACAAAGGTGCTACAGCATTTGGGCCAAGGGCATTGTCCCACTGCTGCTCAACATCTTGACAGCGCTGGGTCAGACAATTGCTCCGGAGGTAGCGTATGTGCTGAATCAATTCCCCAACCTGACGGCGTCGAGCATCGAGAGGTTCGAGGCGCCAGGGGCGAGTCGCACGCAGGCGGCGCGCAGCAAATCGGCGTACATCACCCTACTCTCGGTTTCCGAGATCCATGATCTGGCACTGATCACGCGCGTGCTTGGTGCCCTCCGCGCAAGCAACGGCCGAGACATACCCCAAGTGGAGTGGGACTCTGCAGGCGCACTCGAGAATGTCGAGTTCTGGTTGGGTAGCCGAAAGATCCTCCGGGAACGGCTGGTGCCGCTGGGACAGAGAGAAATCGAGTGGAAAGGGACGAGGCCTAGCGACGCTGGAAAGGCCAGGGGCTACGAGAGCAAGCTCGAGGAAAAGGTTGTAGAGCAGCTGGAAGGGGTGAGGGCCGTGCTTGGTGAGGAACTGGAGTGAAAAGTGCCTGTTGTACAGGGTGGAATTGCGGAAAGAGGGTGCGAAGGAAGGCGCGTGGCGAACCAAGAAATAAGGAGTATATTTCACATGATATATCGCGGAGATGCATTGGAGATATATCTGGAGCACTCTGATGATGGCAGCGGAGGACGCTCATGGGCGTTTACGGCATCATCTCATTAGAGATAGTGGTGAGGTTTGATCCAGGGCTTGTCAACACAAAAAAAAAAGTGTCCTTTCAGCATTACAAGCATGACATGCTCAACTGTGAAGTATTGTGATGCAGTGTGTTATACGAGGCGTCTAGAGTGTCGTGAACAGAGTTGAATATTTCGGGATCTTCTCCTGCCCACACATGCGAGCAATGCACCGGCCTCTTTACCTTTTATTATAGTACAAATATACAGGGAGGACCTGCAACACATCTCCGTCCCTTTTTCTTTTGGCCCCCAAAAAGACGTGAACCCGAGTCAACCGTTACGGCTCTGTCGAGGTTTTTATGATACACTTTGACACACGCGGCTGCAAGCATTCCGCAACAGCCCCTTCACAGGTCATTCATGGCGAGGAAGATGTTGTTGTTGTTTGCTGTTTTTGCCTGCATCCCATTCCTTCCTTCCGTCCTTCCGTTCTTCTTTTTTCTTCTTCTGTTCTTCTTCTTCTTCGTTCCTCTACCGCTGCTGCTGCGACTGGGCGAGCTGGGCGTTGTGCTCGGCGAAGCGCTCGCTCAGGCGCTGGGACTGGGCCATCTGCTTCTGGACGCACCGCGTGATGCAGCCCGTCTCCCGGTTCGAGAGCGACTTGGACGTGAAGTCGTCGATGCACGACACGAAGCAGTGGTCCACCAGGTTTCCGAAGATCTTTTGTGGCGGGAGCGTGGTCAGCTTCCCTCTCCCCGGGGGGGACGTTTCTACTCGTCGAGGGGGGGTTTTTCCCCGAGACTTAGGGAAGAAAAACACTCACGTTCATGAAATCCTTCATCTGGCGCTTCTGCAGGCGTTGCTCGAGCGTGCGCTGCTCGGCTGCTGTGAGACTGTTGCAGGTTTGTCCATGGTCAGTCTTACTGGTGAACGATTGGTGAACGTTGACGGTGTGCGGCTGTCCTTACCCCATGCCATCCATTTTGAGTAGGAGTTTTATATAGAGAGGTCGAAACAAGTGGGTGTGTTTGTGGTTCGGTTGATAGTTCTGGTTTGTCGCAAATCCAAGGTGGTTGTTTTCTTGGTCTGAAGCTTATGATGCTATGGCAATTGCAGCGGCTCTCTCTCTCGCTCTCTCTCTTTTTCCAGAGGCTAGCGCGTGCCAAGTTACAGGGGAGATCCATTGGAAGCTTTCGACCCGAGAATTGCGACAGATAAGATAAGCGGTGCGCTAGCATCCGCACATACAAACTGCAGTGCAGTACAATGGCAGATGCACCTACGGAGATGTCACGTGACTGATGAATCGCCCCGCTTTCTTTGCTGCGCACGGTTACAGTATATCTTGAAGAGACCAAGAGGTTCCCTTTCGCTCTTAGTTCGCCAATCTTGCAAGATGGTGATCGGATAGCGCATTCAGCAGCATGGTCAGGAGGGTAGTTAGCCAAGGAATGCAATGGCTTCCACGTCTACTGATTTAGCCGATCAATTCGCCTACTCGCTTACTTTTCCTGCGACCTGCTTGGTTTACCGTTGTGGCGCCGCTGACCGCCGCTGTGATCCCGGTGGACAGTAGTAATGATGATCGACTGCTTCGATATCTGTCATGGCAATTCAAAGTCTAGACAATGAAATTTCCGTGCTCCAATTCAAAATATATTCTGGGCTTTGTGATGCAGAATGACTGTGTGTTTGGCGGGCTTGTAGAAAGGTAGGCAATAAGGCATCCCCATGGAATAGATGTAGAAAGTGCTTGTCTGTAAATAGATCCATCCACCACTGCTCTCACTGATTATAACATAATTAACAGGCTTCTACCAGCTTTGATCAAGAGGTGATATCCCTAAGGCGTACACAAAGTGACAAGGGATAATAGTTTATGCGCCCAGTTTATACTACACTGTACTCAGCGTTATACGGATCGTCAGATAGATGCTTAAGCCCTGGCCAATGATATCAACACCCGTATTTGACTTATAAGCCCAGTAGTTGTTGCCCAGATCACGCATATTACAGCCGATCGTACTATATCACATCGTAACGCTTTCGAAACTTTCACTAGACCTTCAATAATAGAATAAGGCCTCAATCAAGCTGTCATTAGTTTATTCTATGGCGTTGTGTTAAGGATCAAGGTAAGCTAGAACCTCATAAGTCTACAGTGGGTCCTTTACGATACTTTACTGTAGATGAGTCACGTTACACGTACTGTGTATTTAATAATAAATAATCACAGGTGTTTAAAGTCACTAGACTTCGGCAGAACTCTTGAGGAAACCTGACCGTATGTCATAATGTGTTACATCTATTTCATGTGACTGTGAGCTTTGTGGGTGGCCTCTCCCCAACTGTTGGAACAGTGGAAAATTACACGCAGCACCACATTTCTCTCAAAACTATGTGCTGACTTGTTTTTTTTATTAAATCTACCAAAACGTCCATAAATGATGAAGACAAGCGCCAACCGGCAAGTATGTATAAAATCCAACCATTCCTTCGTTCGTTGACAGGCAGTGAATCAAAAAGCAGTAAAATCTCACTTCGCTGTACTGAAAGGTTGGGCGTTTGTAGGGTCAACTATAAGCTTGATCTGGTCTGTACCGTCCTCATGACAAGCAGTCAAAGCATCTTGTCAAGTTTAGACAGCCTTATGGGGGTGACCGACTGGGATCGTAGCACTATCAGCTCGTAGCCAAGGTGGCTACCCTCTGCCACATCGATGTCTTGAGTCGCCACTGCAGCAATCATAATTATAGGGCCGGATCCGGGAGCAGTTTGAGTGCCGGCGAGATACAGGGCCAGGGCCAGTCTGGACATTTTGCCTGTCGAGGCATTGCTTGAGCCGCAGCTGTCGTGGTAACAGTACCGATAATGGTGGTGACGGTGCCATTATTGGTGCAAGATGGAGCATTGTGCTGCCAAACCCAGTTGGGGCATACGTTGTAAGTGCCATCTGGAGACTGCGAGTTAGTTGTTGGTTAGTTCAAAGTCTCCACACATGGTGGATGCAACGGCGATAGGGGTTGAACCCGTGGGAGCGAAATGGGGGCTTGTAAAAGGCAAACGTGGAGAAAGGGTGTGTATGGTTGTATGTCAATCAACTTGTGCCGTTAGAACATCACCCCTGACATCTGCTTTCCGAAACGATGGCCGTAGACGCGTGGGAGTAATGTTTTGGCGAGGAGTTTTGCATATAGGAACATACCTCAGAGGCGACAGGCAGAGCTTGAACAGTGCTGAAGAGACTGACGATGGCCACAATGACGATGGTGACTTTCATTGCGAGAGTGTCGAGTCTCGGCCTGATGGTAAGGTGTGGGGTAGCTTCTGGTTCGTGTTGTGGAATGAAGATTTCAGAAGAGTTGAAAGTGAGTGTTATTTGTATTGTGGAATCTAAGTTTCCGCAGAGCTGAGGCTGAGTGTCATTGGTGCTCTGAAGAGGAAAGCTGTTCTCATAGTTTGGCAACCGCGTGGGCTTACAATAATTGTTTGAGAAACTTCGAGAGGCAATGAGTGCACCTTCAAGCTTCAATGAGGCAAGGTCAATGGGTAGGCTCATAAACGAATAGCTATTATTCAATTACCGTCTTGTTGTGCTCTACTTATCACATTCAGCCTGAGGCTTCTAAATACCTGGAGTGTCAATGCCTTTTCTGCCAATCGTTTCCACCTAGCTACATATTTACCAATCTTCAACCGATCTTCTACCATCTTAAGCATCTATTTTCTCATCCTTTTACCTCTTACGTATCCATTTTCCACCTTGAACCTTTCTACCTTGAACCTTTCTACCTTTCTACCTTTCTACCTTTTCCCCTCTAAATTACCCAACTTTCATCTTTCATCTTCCATAATCTTTTACCTTTCACCTTTATCTTTCATCTTTGTACCTCTTACCTATCTAATTTTTTTTTCCATCTTTTGCCTATGTCATCCTTATATTCACTTCATGTCACCTTCATTTCATGTCTTTTTCGCATTCATACTCTATTGCGAAATGACTCACGAAAATCCTAGATGAAGAGCAACAACAGCGTGTCTCGACGCGATGACAACAACATCCCTGATGGCGCTACTGCCACATATCTCATGGTAAGCAACCCCACCCCGTCTTCCTTGTCTGGGTCTCTCTGCCGGCCTGTCATCACTGAGCGGTTGCCATCACTCAACAACACGAGACTTGCTGAGGGTCCCCCCACAGCCAGCTCTGTACTAGGTCATGTGTGTGCGCTGGGTACCGTTAGGACCCAACCTCCCAACTTTGGGCAGGAGCGACACCAATTGGTACACTTCGCTGTGGTCAGGAAATGAGTCCGTGTTGGGTAATCCGCCTCGTGGGCTCGTTCTTTTCAAGTCATCCATTTGGTTGGGTTCAGCCTGGCTAGGTCGTCGCCTTCTCGCCGGCGACTCTAGGTGTGTATTGAAAACGTAGTCGGGGATCCTTGTAATGAGGCGCCTTTCGTGGGAATAATTTTTGGCTACGCGGAGCATTGCTTTGCGGGGTACTGTTGTGGAAAGAACGACGGTGATGCTGGAGAGATCTTGACTTCTGAGGATTTTGGGGCTCGCCTACTCAGTCTTTTGCCATACATTTTACTGACGGGGTTGTAACACAGACTACCGAACCTGCTACAAGCGGCCTGGTTTCTGCTCAGCACAACATCATGATGGGCAATGTTCAGGCTATCCACAGCCAGACTGATGAGTCCATGAGCGTCATCTCTGGCTTCCTGGCCTCCCAGCACGTTATGATGGAGCATTTCGAGGCTACCTCCGAGAGAACAACAGAACATATTGAGTCTATGAAAGAGACCTTCGACAGAACAACAGAGCGCATTCTGGGAATTATGGAGCGCCTTGAGGTCATGCTTCAAGAGCAGAAGGCCAAGAATGTGCGTGAGGCGAAGAGCATGAAGCGATCGGACAAAAAGGAGGAGAAGGCTCATGTGCAGTAGGTGAGTAAGAGCACACCCATAAATATGGCGACGGAAACTAACTAACCTATTGGTATAGTACGTCGCCGGCTACGCGCTTGTTTTTTCTACTGTTGTCATTCTGTTGGTCTTGTCAGCATGCATTGGTGCAATCCACCACATTCGTCACACATGGTTAATGGGATGGAAGAGGGCAAAGATTGAAGAGGACATGCTACCTATAATGGAAGATGGTAATGACTGGATAGCACGAGAGCTTGCAACAAACAGGGAGACGTGTTACTTGCTTATATGGTAGTCAAGCAGCGCACTTCATGAATGCTGTAATCAATTTCCAGCAGGCATTCACTAAGACAAAACAGAATAACCTGACACGCCACTAGATTCTATACGGTTTCTTCTTCTTTAGAAAGCTAATAAGATAATCTGGGTTGTTTGCATATACACCAGTAAAAACCAGTGAAAGCTCGGGGTTATGTGTGATATGCGACGTCGTGAATTTCTACATCAGCTGTTTGGACGGTGGTGCTGCTTCAACCAACCTCACGGACCTCCGTGCACATTGAAGTACTAGGAACCACTCGTGATTTGAACACAAAACTTACGTTTATATGTAATAGTCCGTACGGGGAGGAATAGAGCCACTAACTGCCCAAGACAGCCGACGGAAGCATGAACTTGCCGTTGATCAGTATGTTAAACTTAAGGTATGACGCCCGCAGCCCTATGACGCCGAGTTGAAGGCGCTGGTAGTGGGTTTTAGCGGGGGTTTTTGAGAGAGCTCTTCAAACAACCCCGCCATGAGCTTCCGGTTCCTGGCGAGGAGTCCAGGACATACGACTTGGGGCGGGCACTCTCTTCTACTTTCTTGCTCTTACAACTTCTTTTCAGCAATTGAACAGATACGAATTACTCTTACTCTACAACACCTCTCCAGGCTTATTACTCATCACTATTGCCCAAAATGGCCCGCAAGTTCTTCGTCGGTGGTAACTTCAAGATGTGAGCCCCTCGTCGCCGGACCCTTGGCAGCTTCGAAAAAGGCGCAGGGATAAGTTGAGAGGACGTGAGAGCTGATTGGAACCCAGGAACGGCACCAAGTCGTCCATCAAGGAGATCGTTGACAACCTGAACAAGGCTGAGCTCGACTCCAACACAGGTATGTTCTGCAGATTGCATCACCGGCGCTCTCTCGAGGCGATGGCCGAAGTAAACGAAACTTACACAGCACTGCAGAGACCGTCATCGCCCCCCCTGCCCTGTACCTTCTCTTTGTGCGTGAGCACCTCCAGAACAAGCACGTTGAGGTTGCCGCCCAAAACGTCTTCGACAAGCCCAACGGTGCCTTCACCGGTGAGACGTCGGTCTCGCAATTGGTTGACTCGGGCATCCACTGGACCATCCTCGGCCACTCGGAGCGCCGCACCATCCTGAACGAGACGGACGAGACGGTTGCCTCCAAGACCAAGTTCGCAACCGAGAACGGCGTCAGCGTCATCTGGTGCTGCGGCGAGTCCCTGGAGCAGCGTGAGTCTGGCAAGACCCTCGAGGTCATTGCCGGCCAGCTCTCGGCCCTGAAGAAGCAGATCAACGACTGGAGCAAGATCGTGATTGCCTACGAGCCCATCTGGGCCATCGGCACTGGCAAGGTTGCCACCACCGAGCAGGCACAGGAGGTCCACGCCTCCATCCGCCAGTGGTTGAAGAAGGAGGTCAGCGACAAGGTCGCCGAAGAGACCCGCATTCTGTACGGTGGCAGTGTCAGCGAGAAGAACTGCAAGGAGCTCAGCAAGCAGGCTGACATTGACGGTTTCTTGGTTGGTGGTGCTTCCCTGAAGCCTGCTTGTAAGTGCCCCCCTTGTCTTATGAAAGGCCATGCACGATATGATATGCTAACTAATCATTACCAGTCGTCGATATCATCAACTCCAAGTTGTAAGGATGTGCTCCGACGCTACTGTCATCGACGATGGCAAAACCAGCTAGAAGAAAATAAAAAAGGCTGAGGTCATGAATGATGAGAAAGGTTTCGGTTTGGATCGGGAACGGATTCAGTGGATAGAATGACCCAAAATATAATATACCCTTTACAAACTGATCTCTTTCCAACCATGTCATGCATCTGAATCTCGTACTGCTGCCGAAGCAACGATAATTCTGCGTAATATTGTATTTGTTCTTCTTCTTCTGCTTATTCTTCTTCTTATTCTCCTCGCATGGTTGAATGCTTGCTTGCATGCATGCCACTGGGTTATGCTCGTCCATATGATACACGCTGAGCCCAGCTGCCCAGGAGATTGTACATTTGATATACAAAGCCGCGGCTTGAACACGACTGACATTCCAAGCTCTTGGGTAAAATGCAACACGGTGCACCCCAACTATACCGGCATTCCGTTTCCATGGTATGGAGACCACACACCTCTGACACTTTCGGCAATACTCGTGACTGGCTTGTTGACCTTCTTCAGCCTCTCGCCGCTGGCGTCCCGCAAGAGCTCAGCCTTCTTCACGATGGTCGAGGCCTCCATGTTCTTGACGCAGATGGCCTTCTGGTTGCCGTTTATGTAGTGGCCGATCATGACAGGGTGTTTCCGGGGTTTCGGCGATACGGCGAACTCAATCTGTGGGTGTGCTTTGGCGAATTGTGGTAGTTGGTGCTTTATGAAGGCGCTGGGACGAGGGTCAGCGACTGATGGGCCCGATCCCCGAGGGAGAGAAAATGCTTACTTCATGCCCTTTGAGCTGCCGGAGTAATCACAGTAGTGAATATCCAGGCGCTTGCACTGCAGGATGAAAGCACCGAGGCCATTCTGTAGAGCGCTATCAGTACGCTTGCTCGAGATTGCTTTGTGCGAGATGGCACAGAAGGGGGCCGGATTACCTGGCCCTTGGAGACCTTCTCGATCGCCCTTATCGTCATGTTGTCTTGATTGGAGGTTGAACTATTTGCACTCAGCCTCTCTCTCACCAGACCCAAACAACGGCTTGAAGTCGACGGCCTGTCGCGAAATTTTGGGAGCTCTAGGGGGGGTGCTGCCGCTAGCCTACTTGAAGACTAGACCCACGAGCAGCAGTCCAAGGAGTACTCCGTACATGCGGATCCGTAACAGAGTAGTCAGAGACACGCAACATGCTCACAGCGGAAGGCTCTGACAGGGTGGGGTCTCTTGTCCCCCTTTGCCGCGTCGGATAATTGCCGGAGAATTGATCAGGCTCGCGATGAAATGAGTGAAATGGGAGAGGAATTTCCTGGCCTTGGCTTGAAGCTCCCGGTTCTAGACTAGACTAACGAAACGCGACGGCAGCCTGTGGACCCGGGACATAACTTAGACAGACACAAGATTCAGACACAGCTGCTTCATCAATCTCGAGCCCTCTCACCAATCCATCACAAGGTGACTGCGCTCCCTTGGTTCGTGGCTTTCCGAGAGTCGCATCATCCCTGTCTCGTCCTGTCCTTCTTTTTATTTTATTTCGTTCATCTATACGCTTCACGCAGTATAGCGGTACCGAGACCAAGATGACAGACAAGCTCCCTCCCCAGCTCCTCGCCCTCTTCGCACCTCGACCTCCCCTGAGATGGGTGCCCCATGTCGACGAAGCGCCCGAAAACCGACGCACCGCCGGCCCGGCTGGTGTCGCCCAATATCTGCCTGCCCTCAACGTCTACAAGGACAACGATGGATACGTCCCAACTGAGAGTTGGCTGCAGATGAAGGACCGCAAGAAGCGCGAGGCCAAGGAGAGACGCGAAAACCTCTTGACCGAAACCCCAAAGGACTGTGCGTCTCCCCGTTGTCGATATCCCCGTCTCCTGGCGCTTTTACGCCCCGACCATACATGCTGACTGATGCGATACAGACAACCCAGACCAAGACCCCAACATTCGTGGCGATGCCTTCAAGACCCTCGTGGTGGCGCGATTGAGCTACGACGCCAACGAGTCTGACCTGGAAAGGGAGTTTGGACGCTTTGGTCCAATTGAGCGCGTATGTTGTCGTCCCCATGATGAATATCACGAAACCAGCTGCTGACTTTCTCTAGATTCGAATCATCACAGATACCCATGCCCACGAGAAACCCAACAAGAAGAAGAAGCCCCACCGCGGGTATGCTTTCGTCGTATTCGAGCGTGAGAAAGACATGAGAGGTAAAGCCACCATTGATTTTTTCCAGAAACATTCACACCATGTCCCTCACCTGAGATTTGGCCCTCAAGCTTGCCTATCTCTCCCCCCTCTCCCCCCCTTTCTCCACCCTCGCAAGGTATGACTTATTATGGTAAGGATTTACTGACAATGGCGCGTTGCTGCGCACGTGTGAATAGCTGCTCTAGATGGTTGCGATGGCATCCGTATCAAAGACCGTCGAATCAAGGTAGATGTCGAAAGAGGCCGAACCGTCAAAGGCTGGAGACCTCTTCGCCTGGGCGGCGGACTTGGTGGCCGTGGCTACACCAAGGCTGTCGGTCCCCGCCCTAGCGGTCCCGGTGGGTTTGGCGGCGGCGGCGGCGGTCCCGGTGGCGGCTTTGGAGGACCACGCGATGGCTTCCGCGGAGGCTTCCAGGGAGGTCGAGCCCGCGGTGGCTTCGGCGGTGGCCGCGGCGATCGTGGTGGTGGCTTTGGAAGTCGAGGAGGCGGTGGCGGCTTTGGTGGTGGTCGCGACCGTGGTTTCGGCCAGCAGAACGGCTTTGGCGCTCCTCCTAACGCACCTGCAGGTCCTGGCTTTGGCGGCCGCGATCGAGACCGAGGTGACCGCAATGGTCCAAGTGGTGGTGGGTATGACCGTGGTGGTCGCTCATTTGATGACAGGTCTGGACGTGACAGCGGTAGATACGGCGACCGTGACCGACGAGGAGGCGGCGCCGGCCCCGGTGCCGGTAGCAATGCCAACTACGAACCTGTCCGAGGCGACCGTGGAGACCGTGGAGATCGTGGAGACCGCGGAGATCGTGGAGACCGCGGAGATCGTGGAGACCGCGGAGATCGTGGAGACCGCGGTGACCGTGGTGACCGAGGAGACCGTGGAGATCGAGACCGAGGCGGTCGCGACTTTGACAAGCCCAGAGACGACGACAGATTCGACAGTCGCAAACGTGGATTTGAGGGAGGATATGAAGATCCTCGCAAGTTGCGTCGCTACTAGCTTAGCTTGGTGTCTCGGTGGTGGGTTTCTTCTGTCTTCACACACTCTCACATCTACTACATCATTGTATCTCCTTCTCCCTTTGGCCACCAAGGGTAAGCAAGGGTAAGATCAAGTCCAGCCCAGCCCATGTCATCCGAACAAAGGCCACACACATCTCAGATGAAGGTAACACCAGTCACCGGATTCCAGTCGACGATCAACAATCTTGCATCAAATCGTGCGCCCTTGGTAATCGGTAATGCCTGGTGTGGCATCTACTCGTTCTTGTTGGCGACGACTTCCAGACCCGGCGCTGTTCCCATTCAGCAACTCCAGATGCCTATGGGACTTGACCGCCTAGGATTAGCCAGGTAATATCGTTCATGTACACTATAACGTCGCTACAGAGCTAGGCACCGACATCTTCAGGAAAGGCCGAAATGGTCACGTAATAAATTGCATAGTTTTTTTTCTTTTCTTGGAAGGTAAGGTCAGAGGTAAGGAATGTAACTCAACCTGCTGACCACTGTGTTGGGGTGGCTTATAAAAGTGAAAAAGACCAGAAGAAGAAAAAAAAAATAAAGATTTGAAAGGGAAAAGGCAACAGGACCCTTTGTCTTCGTGTAAGATAGCGGAGACATTTTTGCTTAAAATAATTGATTTTGTACCCAGTTTTGAATTGTGCCAGTTTGGATTGTGTTTGTACCCGAATTGAGTGATGAACAAAGTACGAGTTTTAGACCAAAAATAAGTATTTGAGAATCAGTTCCGGGAACCGCAACGAACAGTGTGTGATATATATATATATATATAGCTCAACCGATCACTTATCGGAGGTGGATTTGATTGAGTATTTATGAATTCAAGTCCCTTTTCCCTGATCTCTACCGGAACGCCAGTGACCAAACCGTGATGGTATCGCCCTATGCACATGAACAAGAAACATCAAAACCATTTATAGAGTGCGCGCCATACATCCACACCCCCGTTGGTTCGGCTCGTGGGCACACAAACAAGACATTTGACATCCCCTACTCCTCCATAGCACCCTCGCCGGCGCTGGGCTCGACCACGGTGACCTCGCCGCTGGCAGCGGTCCAGTACGCCCTGACGTGGACGGCGAACTCGCTCAGGCACACGCTGAACAGCTTCAGCAGCCTCGTCTGCCGCGAGTCCAGCACGTCGCCCTCCTTGCACACCGTGTAGCCGTCGCCGGAGCCGTCCTCCTCGCCCAGCACGATCTTGCCGCGCACCATGCGCGTGGGCATGCCCAGCCGCCGCAGCTCGGGCTCGATCGTGTGGCCTAGGTGCACGTCGTGCTCGGCGGGGACCTCGCCGCCCGTGCTCATGACGTAGCCGGCGGGAATCTCGAAGCCGCGCGAGGCCACGGTGCCCGCCCGCGCAAAGTCGGCGAACTGCACGCCCGACAGGTACGACAGCACCGCCGCCGGCTCCCGGTTCGTCAGCAGCAGGCCTACCGACCCCGACATGTGCGGGTTCAGCTTCTCGATGTTCTCCAGGATCGCCTCCTCCGGGGTCTTGCCCAGGGCGCGCGACATGAGGGTGGTCTTGCCGAGGAAGATTCTGTGACGAGGACAGGCATTGTTAGCAATCTTCTCTTCTGCCTTTATCTAGAGCCATTGTCACACAGACACAAATCACACGCAAGGTGAGAGGGACCCTGCAGTCGTGGTGGTAGGTCTGGAGGCGGGGAAACGAATAATAAAAATAAAAATAACAGCTAAAACTTACCGACAGTCGTTGAGCTCTTTCCGCACCTCCTGGATGTGTGTGTTGCGCATGTTCTCGACGCTGATGACAAAGACGTGCTGGTAGTTGGGGACGGCTTCGCGGATGGTCTCGAATAGCTTGTCCTTGTGCTCGCGCGTCTTCTTGCTGACCTGGGTCATGTGCACCACTCTGTTGCGCTTTGATTTAGGCATTTTGTCGTTGTTGTGATTATTACAATTCTTCTTCTCTTTTTGCTTGTTCGAAGATTGTGCCAGAGACGAACCGTGTGCGAAAGTGAGACGGGGGGAGGGAGAGAGAGAGAGAGTTGTCGTTGACGTTGAAGCGTCGAGGGTTGTGCTGCTGCGTCTTCTTTCTCAGGTATTGAGTATAATCGAAAGCCGCTCCCGCTATCGATATGAACTTTTTTTTCCGAGAGAGCCCCGTCAAAATCCCAAAAATTTACTTATCGAGAAAACGGGCGGTCAGCTACTTTTCTCCCCGCGGTGGGCTGACAAGGGGGGGCTAGTAACCAATTAGAGAATCGTTCAACTTCTGAGCTTTCAGCGGTACCAAAGGTACTGGAGCAGCTAGCGATCCGTGCAGTCGAAGGAAACTCCGCGACTGGTCAAATACGGTTTGTGTCTAGACTCCCCAGAGATGTAGAATACCCCCCCGAGCCTATATAAATAAGTATTGTAGATAGTATGAACTCTAGCTACAGAGCGGAGTGTTATGATAATTTAAAATAAAATAAGAAATTCCTCATATCATCCTTAATTTGACCTATCATGGTAACCCCAAACCCCGACAGCTGTAAAATCATCAACTCTGTCCTCCATACTACATAGCCTCTCAAAAATCGCCTCGAGCAATGGCCCGTGGAGAAAGTAGTAGAGATACAAAATATAGTCACACATATCCCCTATCACTGGTTCTGTTCCATCTCAATTACCACAGTCGTAGCTCTCAAGTCACAAGTCTCCTATCGAGAGTCGAAGATGAACCTCAACACCAGTCTTCCAGTCAATAGCATGTAACCGTAGACCAGAAGCAAAGAATTCTCTCCCACCGCAGGAAGTGGTAGCGCCTCCAGAACTGTCGTGTCCAGCATCTCCTTTGCCGTGACTAGCAGGTCAATATGCCAACCGGGCTCAGTGAGGCAGCAAGCAGCGCGGCGAGCGGACATCTCCAAACTAAATACTGCGAACGCAGCCTCGCGGGGGCTGCGTATCGAAGCTCTGATCTGTGCCATTACAGTTGCTTGATGAGCTTCACGTGGCCCACAGGTAATTAGCCCATATCGCTGCGATGATATTGGCCTACGATGTCTACCTGACGGCGATAGGGTGAACTCCAAAAGCTCAAGGCTAAACAGTATACGTGGACCGTGCCACTTCGTAAGACATTCATTGACTCCTCGAGGACATTTTGTAGGAGGAAATGGCAATGGTGACTAAATTTGGTGAACAGTGATGTATTAGGATCCTTTGTACATCTATCTGCTCAGGTGGGTGAAGACTTCTTCTATAAAAACAGTTTCTGAAACTCTGGTAATGGCCAGAATCCCTCTGCATAGCCAGAGACTGGTGGATCAAAAGAGCCGAAAGGATCCCGCAGTGTGCGAGTATCTACGTAGGACCATTAATCGTGGTTCGACTCAACTGGAGCGGTACAGTTGGTTGTGGATTACCTAGGGAGCGTAATCCACGATATAGTCTCCGACGTCGGTGGCGTATTGACGCAGATTTTCGCGTTCGGAGCTGAAATTTTGCCTTGCTTATAGTATGATTCAAGCAAGTTGATAAATACTGTATGATTAGCCTTATCAAGGGCTTTTAGTCTGTCCAGGCGGGTCGACTAGAGGAGTATCTCGCATAACCAACCCAGCTCCCAACACCACGACTGAAGTGACTGTTCATACTCGCCAAGTTTCAGTGATTGCGGCGAGATCTAACTATAGCAACGCCAGCATTACAGAGACTTCTGTGTGTTTCCAAAGAGTCCAAATTTCTGCTATTACCTGACAGTTTCACAAAAGCCTTCTGCACAAATATCCTTGGAAGAGCTCGATCTCCCGGCTTATCAAGATTCTTTTCGACGGCTGTTCAACTATACAGCAGCTGACCTGCCCCATCGTCTTCGGTTGCTTAGAGCTTTTGGATTGGGTAGAAATAGCTAAGAGATCCGCCATCCACGAACTCACTGCACAAAGCTTTCAGAGTGTTTTAGCCTTGCCCTTCTGGCTTCTCAACTCGACCAACTGGGAAACACTCAGTTGCAGGAGAACTAGACTATCTTTTCTCTGCCTTCTTGACTTCTATGCTACCGCATATCGCGTAGCACCTTGTGTCAAGATCAAATTCGACTTTACAACGTTTGTTATGTTTCTATTCTTCAGTCTTCAGTCTTCGGCCATGGCATTTGCGCTTGAAGTAATGATATGGGTCTGGTCCAGGTCCACAGTGCCATTAAAGACCTCCAATTTCCCACTGCACAATATTTGGGTCAAGGTCGAGGTTCGCAGAGTTCATGAGGCAGAAGGTCAGATGGCAGCGAAAGACTCCGAGGTTGTCAAGGAAATGAAGGAAGCATGAGTCTTCCCACGATAAAGATTTGATCTTCGTCGAGTCCTTGCACATCACAGGCAAACATGAGGAAACCACGGCACTGTGAGAGAACTTTTCAGTAAATAATACAGCTGAGCCGTTGCTTAGCATTAAGTGCTGTGGTGAAGAATTAATGCATGGATCAAATTGTGCTTGGTAAATGGGTCTCCACATCTCATCATCATGTGATCTGTCTTTCTCTCGCAATGACACCTGCAGCGCCTCGTAGATCCATGAAAGAGACTCAATTGACTCCTTAATGCTTAATATTTATGATTTTCGTCTAGACATTGTATTCCGACATAAGGCTTTTGACTTCCATAAGCTTGTCTCTTCGTAGCAACTGGAGAGCTTCGATATTCATCCCGGAGAGCTTGTAATGCGATCGCTTCTTAAGAAGAAGTCAAAAGACCTTTACATCTTCCGGCACGCTATAAAGAACTTGACTGGACACTAAATAGCAAAGACAGAACTAATTACTTAGGGTATGCTGGCTAGCTAGACAGGGTGGATCGGGAGCTCCTGGGCCTCGAGTGCAGGATGATCTCTTATAGCTTACGCTGCAACGCAGAAATTACTCAAAGAGGCATATAGTGTTGGCCATTCTATTAGCAAGTGACGCCCCGTCGATCCCACACCAGAATAAGCGATATCCATCACCTCTCATCCTCATATCCGCAAATTGGCAGCAGAACTTGACAAGCTAGAGCGCAGATCAGAAAATTATTAGCGAACCCATCTCAAGCTACGAAGTGAGAAGCAAGTACTCAAAAGAGCGTTGAAGAAGCACATTCGAGCAAAGTGGACAGATGAGCAAGCGGTTCGGGATATTAAGTTCTACGGTAGCTACAGGATTGTAAATTCCTAGAGTATGTTGCTACGACAGCCAGAGAGAAGATCCGTAGGCGTCCGTTTTGAAAGACCTAGTTAGCTCTCCAGCGCCGAAGGTAGTTCTGAGCTATTTAATTAATAGACATCACAGATGATAACATGGACGGTGTTCCAGATGTTACAAGAGGCACATCGCACGGAGGCTCAAACAAGAAAGACATACGTAGGTCGCAAATGTTGATATACGAGCAAGCTTGGGTGAGCATTATATTACTAGAAACGAAATATCGTAAGTGATTTGGGACTACATGATGGTTGACTCTGAGCTAAGGATTTATCTCAGTTTACTCATGTGCGTAAGACTATGGCCCCATGGGATGCATAAGTCATGTTGTGGAATATTATGTGCGAAATTGAGAGACTCAGCTCAAAGACCGTACCAGGTATAAGCATAAATGACGAGCATGGGAACTATCAAAATTGTCTCTCTCTGACACGCATTATATTTAGCGTTTTATCACCGTCACATGCCTCAGAGCTCCTGTTCAACAATGAACCAAGCATTGGAGTAGCCGATGCAGCTATCGCACGCGAAGGGCTCCGATCCAACCATGACAGTATTACAATTGCTGTCGGAATAGAATGGCCCGCACTCATTCAGATCTTCACCTGAAACTTGCAGAACGCCAATTCCATTTGCCTCCACACACTTAAACACGTCGCTGCCAAAGTCGATTTCCGTGCTCTTCGAGTCACCAGAGCACTCATTTTTCCCATCGAAGAAATCCACCGTGAAGGATGCGGCCAGAGCCGAGCTCACAGCCGTGGCGGCCAAGACGAACATAGACGAACGCATGATTTGTTACGTAGCTATGGTTTCGGTTAGATACAACAAGGCACTAATGCTTAAAGTAGAGTTCGAAGTACCTTTGAGATGTCGATATTTGTGACTCGATTCCGGATAGAAACTGTTGTTTGTGTTTAAAAACGAAGAGACTTAGACCATCTGCTGGCAGTAACTTATATAGACGGTTAGAACTCCATCCTACAAACAGAATTACATGACAGACAATAACTTTTTCCCATATCTGGCTAGCTCTGCGTTCGGTTCATATCGCTGCACTTCGAGCATGTTGATCACGATCCCAGGCTTCAAACCATACCTCGAAGAAACGAGGTCTCAGTTTCTCTGGAAAATACATGTCGACATGTATATCGTCCAAAAGAACCTGTCAGTGAATTGGAGCAGATATTGAAATACCAATCCAATGACATCACAGTAGGCGGAAGTCACGGCAACAACAGATCCATAACTTAAAACCGATTAGGTCTTATGAGATTAGGTGCTGCCGGAGCATATCTAGTTGATCGGCAATGCTGAAATCTATCATCCATCCAATCAGAAAGTACATTTATAGAAAAAGGGGGGCTATGGAGCCGCTAATAACATCCTGCTGTGGAATTCGTATAGTAGCTTCACCACCCTCTTCATGGCCAGTCACGAAGGATTTACTGATCCATAAATCTCTAGGCAGAATTAAAGCCTCAAAACAAGCTCATGCGGAGATCGGGTGCCAAGCGGAGATCGGGAGCTAGCGTTAGATCAAGGTTTATACGAGACTCCGGTAACAACAGGAAGGCCGTCAGCGCCGTATACATCAATCATAACGGCACTCAAAACTCGCCAGTTGGAAACGCCGTTATAGGGCTTGACATCTCCATGTGAAGACACTTTGACCCGGGTTTAGTTATCGACAAACAGTAGTAACAGAAAGACAATCTTTTATCCATGAGCCGCGAAAAGCAGGTTGCGCAGTCCTATACCTGGGCAGCCAGGAATCACACTAGCAGTGGCGTGAGACTGACATCATGATACCTAGAGATATAGTTGCTAAATCGTCATGGGCGATGTATCGGGTATAGAACTGTCCGGCGGTCCACAGGACTCAGGGACTCCCGGCTGGGAAGGATGGGCATCAGACAAGCTGTTCGGGTCTCGACGCTGTTGCAAGGGTGAGCGAATGTAGTCCAACCTCCTAAGCGATTGATATCACCAGATGACCGAGGTTACATAATATCAGCACAGAGCTGGAGCTTGTGCATGCTGATGTTGATTAAAATATGTCCCTGGAAGTCCTCTGGCGTCTAGCTGTGGAACCAAACGAAAATCTGATGTCTAAGAGCCATTGAAAAATGGCAGTTGATATTAATGTGATACAAACCTGTCTGCAGGTAGAAAAACTGGATAGATATGGATATGCCTGGAAGCGAAGTTGCAGCGAACATAAATGCTGCCACAAAAGTATTGTTAATAGCCAATAAGAGGGGGTGGATGGCAAGTATGTGATATGTTTTCTGCGAACCTGGGCACTTAAATTGGGGCGAATGTGGACTCGCTTCCGCTTATGATGCAATTGAACGCCGAAGTTGCGATGTTGGAAGATACTGTGATGTAGCTTTCTTAATTGGTCTTATTATCGAGCGGCACTAATCTTTGCCGGGGCATCTCGTTTAATTGGGATATCCCGCCTTGCAACGCAAGCATACAGTGATGTTCCGAGCCAATCAGACAAAGATGGGTGCTAGTACTCGTCCATCATCGCTCGGCGAAAGTTTACGCAGCGACCGTTCCGGGTGGTGGGTCACAGGATAAGTTATACACGTACTGAGGCTGACCTAAACAAGATCAGTCCTCGACTGGATTCGTTTTAGACCAAATCATTCGTAGGTACAGCATGTTAGTTACGGATCCGTACAGTCCTAAGTCAGCCCTCCTGCACGTCGGTTACGACCTATACCCTGGGGTGCTCTCTCCTATAGTACATCCCAGCTATCACCACCCAATTCAGAACAAACGATGACAGCAGCAAATTGCAGTGCTCTAATTAGCAGCTCGAATGCTACAGCGCGATACTGCAACGAGTCCTGCGAAGCCTCAACGTACAAGAGGCCCCTGACACGTTTGACGTTTATCCAGTTGCGTCTGGAAGTCAAGCGCCGCCATGCTTCAGCGTTTACAGCTCAGGTCTCACTACTTGTAGTCAGACCTGCTTTTACAACATGGTGGCTCGGTACTGGGCTTTGGGTTGCGCCAGCCCCGAGCCTTCTTGTCTCTGTAAGAATGTCAACATTGGATACGGTCTGAGAGATTGCTCGAATGGCGCTTTTGGCACGACTGTTGCTTCGACGGTTATTGCTTATGGAAGCTCGTATTGTGGGTCTGTAATAGCGGCTCCTTAATTCATTGCAGGGTAACGCAGGAGATGCTTACTGTCTATTGGAATGCTTATAGTAATCTACACTCTAGTTTACTGAATGTATGTAGTTTGAAAGATGACTTACTGCTTTGAATGTTATGGTAAAACTTCATATAAAGATTCGACCTTCATAACGTTATACTATATGTAGACCTGCAAAAACGTTGCGCACCATCTATTCGTCATCCGTAAAAGTTGGTTGATCAGTCCTGTTTCGAGTAAGGCTAGGTGATAGACTAGACGACAATATAGACACTAAACTACCTGTTCCTATTCGCACGTATCCTATTGAGGATCGCGGCAGTTGAGCCAGGTATCATACGAGGCGGGCCACTCCGATGCTTCTCAATCCAGCTTTGCTTTTCTTCTATTTTGTGATCCGGTCCCTTATCTACCATCCATTCAGTCCTCGCCGACACAGAGTAAGCCTGGAATCGTGCAACCGTCTTAGCTCTCAAAACATCATCTCGTAAGCTCACGAGCCAGGGATGAACAGCTGAAACGATCATTAGGAAAAGTCGCCATCTCTTAGAGCGCAAGACTTACCGCTAACCCAGTCGTGCACCGTGACAAAGTGATTTCCTGCAGAAGGCGTGACCACCAACTTGAGCCCCCTCTTCCTGGGCGGTCTGTCTTCTCCACAACATCTCAGAAGAAACTTCGTGTCCTCCTCCTCCTCCCAGCTGCCGTCCTCCTTGGGCTCCTTCGCGTAAGGTCGGTCCTCATCGCTGAGATCTCCGTACGTGACATACTCAGGGTCGAACTCGCCTCCTTCGTGAACCCCGTGCCACGCGATACAATCAGACTCCCACTGGTCGAGGCCGTAGACTGAAGCCTCGACAGATGAGACCTTTGGCTCGGTGACAGGCAGCTGTGAGATCTCGTGCCACGTACCGCTGCCACTACCTCCAGTGTCTGGCTGGAAGTATGGTTCAAGATCTTCCGGACTGCGAGGGATCTTCATGACGGAAATTGCGGTGAGAAAGACACCATCGAGAGGCCAGAAGAGACGTCTGGTGGCGGGAGAGAAGATGACCTCATCGCTTCGAAGCTCTTTGAACGAGGTGTAAGGAGGCTCGTCCAAATTTCCTGATTGTGAAGTTGCCATTGTTATGTTGATGGTTGAGGCTGTGAAGTGAGATTGATTCACGAATATGAACCCCCTAGATGGTGTGAAGGTGAGCTTGGAACCGAAAAGCTGTCGACTGCGCCAAGTCTTTTTTAAAATATTGGAAGTCGAGTAGAAATTCAATTGCGCGTTCGCACTAGCGCTCATTCGCTTGGCGGACAAATAAATCCATCACGTGCAGGTTTCAGCTTGCATCCTCAGCAGGAATATATTTGAAATTCATGGTCGCATAAATTGCTATGTTGGGTGGTACGAGTCGAGGTCAAGACGTTGGAGCTCGCTTTATTTTGCGACTTACTCGTTAGTATGGGGCGACATTTCTTCAAATGAAGGACGAGAGCAAGGAGTCAAGTAACATCACCGTCACCAGACAAAATTTGACTGCCCTGTAGCGATGCAGACCGTTGTGAGTGCTTGGATCGTCGCCTTGGTTCTCCGAGTGAAGCAATCGGGCTAAAGTTCTCGCCCGTGATGAGCGGTCTTCATCTGCCGTCCGGAATTTCGAACATGCCAATGGTATTGGTAGGCCAGTCATCCGGGTGGTACGAATCACTGCTGACGATAGTTATGTACCCGACTTCAGTGTCGAGGCTCCGTAGTAGCATTATCATGAGCAGCCAGTGGCCCAAATAGCTTGCTATAAAGGCTATGTCGAAGCATTTTCTTTCGCCCATCTCTGGGTCTCGAACTTAACAAAGGAGGCATCGAGCACCAGCACACAGATCTGGGGGATATTTCCAGCAGAGATGCACCCGTTGATGGTCGCGGCCACTTGGCGGACGTTGGAAAGGATAGCCAGATCCAGAGAAGACGACCTCGTGCGAAGCTTCCTCGCTCGCTGCCTTTAATGCGAACCTGAGTCCGGTGTTTTCTGCAGCTCTGTCTCGGACTATGAAAACGGAATAGTAGACTTGTAGTTCCGGCGACGAGACGATGTAGCGAACGATGGCGCTGTGGAGATGACCATTTGCGCCAGTGACGATAATGGTAGCTTTCTGGCGCGTCGTCATGATGGATCAATGCAAGGATTGCGCCAAGTCCCGTTGACAGCTTTCTCCGATGGGCGGGATGGGCTTCTTGACCTTGAAATGGTGCGAATTGCTATCGGGGGATGCCAGGTTCGGGCGGCAAACAATTATTTTTGTCTAAAGACGACCGGCTGACACTGTTCCCTTTTTGCAGTGAATGTAGGCCGAAAGGCCGACATTGGTTTAGTGAGATGACCATTCAGTCAATTGTTCTTTCCAGATAAATGTTGTGCTGGTTTGCATTGCGATGATGGTAGAGAACCCCAACACCAAAATACGTGTGGGTAGGCTATAAAATAAGGGCCTACGCTGCTCGTTAAATGTGGCAATGTAAACGACTATAATGGGTCACAGTTAACGTAGAGCACTCCGTATGGTAAGGCGAGGAGCTCTCGGATCACCTAGCCTTGGAATGGGTGATCGTGTGACTTAGCCAGTGGGCATATGCCCACTTTCTGTACACCAATATTCTCTCCGGAAGACTCAGACTTCTATATACTACTTGGCATTACCCATACTATCATTCCACGCTCATGCGAGCACCGCATGTGCTATCCTATGCTCGAGTAGAATCAGGCCTTCCTTTCGGTGCATCAGAACTATCCTCTAGCACACAGATTTCTATAACAACAGTTGAAACTGTCATATTAAACTGCCAACACATGTAGCGCATGAATTAGGAAAACTTATTACGGTCGTCAAAGATATCATGAACGAGTTATTAAGAGGAGTCCGGGGCGATAATACGTTTACTATTACTTGAATTAAATTAAATATTCCTACACCCTCTTACTTTCAAGAAAGCGATGCGCATCAATTCAACTATCAGCTCTTCCCGCAAAGCATGCAGGGCCATCATCGGCTGGACAATAGATACTCGTCAAGAAAGAGAGTACTAGCATGATGCCGCTAATGGTACAGCATGATAGTCGTCGAGTCTGGGGCAATACAGTGGATGAATTCGACAACAGACGATTTGTGCCAGGCGCGAAACGCGTCAATTCAAGTGCACTTCAAGGCTGAGGAGGAAAGACTTTGTGTCACGGACAACTATTTGCAGCTACCGAAAGCTTGATGTTTTCAGCTTTCCTTTCTTTTAGGATGAATCTCTACCTGATGATGACGAGTTGACTGTACCTTCGACTATCAATGAGTCTATGGCGAATGCAGTTCTTGTGCCTGTTTCGGACTTTAAAATTGAGCTGGATGCCGAAGAAAATAAAACCTGGAAGATGTTATCTTCGGAATCGGGAAATGAAATGGAGACAGCGACGGAAGATATAAAAGGCTCTATCCTTAAATCAGTTCATTACCGTTCGAGCTTGAACTTATTATGATGTTACTACCGAAAACCTAGCCTCGTCACGTAGGCTGATAAGGAGGTAAAAGTGTTTTTTTTCCCCCGCCGTCAGGCATACTTGGACCGCCGGATCAGTAGTTCGGTGTGATGACTACCGGCGGTTCCCTGCTGTTGTATTGTTCTAATTTATTTTGGACTTAGAACTTTTTTCGGGTCTTTTATCCTTGTTCTTTTCTTTCATTCTCCACTTCGCCCCCTTTTACATGAATGTTGAGAACTCTACTCTAGTCAGTCATGTGGGCTAGGTTGAAGTCCGAGTCATGTAAAGTCTCGCGTTTGATGAACAATCACTATGGTAAGAAATTGTATACAATAGCACTGGCGGCAACTGGGAACATATCATTCATCATCTCTATGAAAAGACCGTAACTAATTAAGATGGCAGCCAGCGCACATATACAGAATCATTTAGAGCGCTATAGAGAGTCTGATCTGACAGCAAATTATAAAACTCATTCAGTACTGGAATCTCGAGGCCGCTGAAATAGCTCTCGCAGCCAGCCTTCTGTGATGAATCAACTGAACTGACCACCACTATTAGGAAAATCTGTATTCAGCCGGCGAGACTGCCCTAAAGTTTCCGAATCTCACTGCTCCGCGACTCATTCATTCACAAAGAGTGGTGAGATGCCTGTAGCCTTGCTAGACTGTTGCCAAGAATAGACGAAGACATCAGATTACACACACCACTTCAGGCGTTAGCAATTCTTCCCAATATTGGTGGACTGTCTGACAAAGATTGCACTGAGGCATTATTGAACTTTTCAGCCATAGTCAACATGGCGTAAGGCTCTCTGCCAATGCAGGCTGGGATTGCGTAGGTGTCTGCGATGTACTTGTACCTGCGAGTAAGCCCGACCTGTAACATCCCCCGAAGCCATGCACTATCTATTGCTCGGATAAAGGATCCCCGCTGCTAAATACAGTGTCTCATTTATGTCCCGTTCCCACAATCCATTTCCTGTATCCTCGTTGCCCGAGGGCTGAGGATACAGTCAGCCATGCACATTACTTCGACATACCAGAGCATCATTCTATGAAGTTAAGATACTAGATTATTACTCAAGTTTACTAGCTGGCATGATGATAGCCTAAGTTGCCCTGTCACTTAGCGATTGGTGATTACCATCATTTTTCATCGTGGGTGGGGGCTAAATACGTCCACGCGGCGGACCGGTGTAGGCTTTCATTCGAGTTGACGTGTACCATGATAGGGAGGGTAAGAGAGCACCACGGGGCAGGTACCGGGTCGAGAGCAGGGGAGTTTTTTCGACACATTATGCAACCCAAAGGTTTGTACGGATCCGTACCTCTTCTAGTAAAAAGCCCGCCCAGCCGCCGCACTGTGATCTTCAAGGCCTGATACCATAGTGTCAAAGCTCCTTTTGTTGGGGTATTCATGCATGTGATCCTGTGGGTTCCAGCCTATTTAACGACGCCACATGTCTTTACCGCGCATGTTGTAATCTCACACCCAGGGGTCTGAGGTAGCACTTCAGCTTGAACTGACAGCACGGAAAACTCTGAGAGCGACCCGCCACTGATTTATGTGAGGTCTTTACCATTGCACATATCGCACTGAGATCTATCATCACTCACAGTCTGCTGTAGTCAAACGGGTCATCGGTAGCTAAGTAAAAGAAAACTCATGATTTTACCGCAGTCCGACACCAAACAATTATTTGTAGGAGATGTCTTGGGACGTTTTCAACAAGCATTTTCGGCGGATACAGAACAAGACAGTTCCGGCGGCACAAATGAGGATCTGAAAATCGAATGGCACAACCCAAGTGTCGTCGTGGGAACGGTTCTCATGGTAGTTGGTAGCAAGGCTGTTCAGGATGCGTTGGCGCAAGCGTCAGGTGCATTGTTCACTCCGGTTTGCTTTTCGTTCGGATGGGTTTCCTACGCGCTGTCGACTCTGGTGGGGATTTTTGGAGATGGGAGGCTGCTTCCAACGCCGGACTATGCCGTGAAGGTTTTCAATCTCGACTCTGGATATTATCGAAATAACAGAAACTGGGTCATTGGCAGGATTGTCAGAGACCACGAGACCTTGATGTCGTCTCAAGAAGATGCAAAAACCAAAGCAATCAGAATCTCCATCTTTGATGCCGAGAGTAATAACAACGGAGCGCACAAGTTTGTTTACAACAGTCTACACATTTGGGGTGCTGTGGTAATATTCATTCAACTCGCCATCGCTTCTATTCCAGCAGCCATAAGCCAAGGACGCGAATGGGGGCCCCTTGCGCTCACGGCATTCGGAACTGCGCTAGCCCTGATGGTGGGAGCATTGCCTCAATGGGCTGCTGAGAAGCTTCCGAAACGTTCTGCGTCCAAGGCGACCTATGCACTGACTGCAGGCAACGGATCCAGGGACATAATGGTTATCAAAGGTCAAGGCAACTGCATAGATTTGGAAGAACTGGCAATTTCAGAGTCGCCAAGAAATGGCTATCCGTGGACTAAATTCCCAGCATTCTCCTCCGCGCAGAAGCACTCATCTCAGCCTCGTGCCAAAGAAGCCTGGGGTTTTCCAACGGGCTTTCTCATGACCTGTATAGTGACTACAGTATCTGCCGTTTTGTGGCTCCTTGTGATGATCAGTCTTGCTGGCTTGGATGAGCACACATGGGCGTTGATTCTTGTTGGATTCGTTGGTACCCTCCACAACACTCTTCTTGGGGGCATGGCGCGAGATCCGAAGCACAGAAATCTCCCGCTGAATCTCATCGACACTATCACCGCCAGTAAAGTCATGGACGGACTAATGGATCTTGAAGTTACCCATCCTGGATGCGCACACGCGCTTGTGACAGAATTCTTCCCTGGGGTGATCAGACCGAACGAGAAAGATTGGTGGCATGCCACGGGAGATCGATCGCTCACGGATTATGACCGGCAACGATCAAAAGACGCTAAGAATAAGGCAGTTTTTCCTCCAAGGTCGCCTCCTCGATCATCAATGCCGCATTATAAACTACATAGCAGTACTACTGGTGGCCTTCCGACATTCGTCACTACGACCGAACATCCCTCAGTAGTTTTGCATTCAAGACCTTCAGATGACGGTTTATCTCAGCCTGTCATCATAATCCCCCGAAATGATATATGCGATTTGGGCGAGCAGATCAATGATACAGACCGCCTTATGAGTGATGCTGCGGGAGCTGCTCCGCAAGAACAAAATGAACAGGGTTTGAGAACCGAATCTGCGCGAAAACCGCGATCTCCAAGTCCAGAGCCGAAGGGCCCTGGCGCTGTGATTGGTACACTTTCTCCCATCATAGAAGTCAGCTCGGGCGGCGAACAGAGGAGAATAGATCGGAATATGTCTGGAAGAGCAGGGTTGAGTGGGAGTTTGACAGACTCAGGAGAATCGACCAAGCGGCTGAGCTGGCGAGAAATGTCAAAGGACTTCTCTAAGCGACCGGATTGGGACTAACGAATCACTCTCGATGATCGCATGAGATTTATAGCTTTCTGAAGTATTTCGGCATATGGAACCGAGTTGTTACCGCCGGCGTTTTCCTTTTGTTGGTGAACCGTCAGTGGAAGCTTCTTTCATGTATAAATTTCGTCTGTATCGTCATCAGGTAGGTATTGGTTTGAGATGCTCGATTATATTTAAATGCACTCTATTTCATCTTGACTGAGGCACTGTAAACCTTCGGAAAAGTTGCCACCTGCCACCAGTGGTGTCTTCTAGACTAGGTCTCTCTCCAAATACTTCGCCTGTGGCACTGTTCTCCGTAGGTTGAGGAGTTGTTTCTTGCCACGATGGTCCTAAATATCCCAAAAACTTCACCAGCATGCTTGATTTCTGATTATCAGCTGCTGTGTCAGAATCAGATGTCTCATTCTGGTCTTCCTGGTCATTACCATCTGCAAAATCTTCCTCGATAGAAACGTCCTCCTGGGTCACATACCCGTCAACCCACCAGGATTGAGAAGGACCCAATACTTCTCCGAGGCATACACTTGGTTCATCCGGGCCTTGGAAAAATCCTTTCCTGTACTGTAGTCTATTCTCTTGAGTATGAAGATGATTTGGCTCCTTCCATATCATGATACGATGAATGATACGGGTATGGTACACTGGTTGCTGCATACTATCTGGATTGCCGGACTTCTCAACCTCGACCAGCAAGGCAATCTCCCGAGGCCACTCCCTTGGCTGCGGCCCTGATAGTATGATGGCGAGAGTCGATTCTGCGGTTTGCAATCTGTTCAGCTGGTCGTTTGTTTTCTCATCTGCTGGCTTGAAACTATACCATTCACTGAGACTTCGGTCGACTGGGAAGGAGAACTTCACCTCATGCCCGTCTGAGTCTGTTCCTGCGGTCGTTCCAAGTATTTGCCCACGGGTCTTGGATGAATCAGGATAGAGAAGAAAGCCGGGATACTGGACTTGAAGCCCAAGGTTCTGGTCCAAAACAGTAGCTTGTTTCCAAACTCGTAATGGATCCGGGTAGTCAATTTCGTGTGCTGATAACCAGGTCTTTGGTGCCCAACCAAACCCTTGACGATTAATCCTTTCACCTGGGAGAAAAATCATCCCTGATGGGATTGATCCCCTGTACTGCTGTTCTAGCAAGGTCCAGAATTCAACAGACAGACTCTCCAATCTGTTCGCATCCTGGTGACAGTTTTCTTTGTTTGGGTCATCCAAACCGGCTTTTTCAATCTCAGTATCTTCGTATTTAAGATTCAAAAGGGTAGCGAGCGCCAAAACCTCATGCTCTGGTTTACCGGTAGACTAAGGACAGAAGATTAGCATTTTTAGATACCAAGGTACATAAAACTCACCCTCCATCTAGTGGCCCGCCACGTGTTAGAAACCAGGTTGGCAGTTATGGCAGGATTGTTCTCCCGATGATCTACTACTGGCGTGTTTCTCCTGTCTCGACGCTCTTGCCCCATCATGATGTGGGATAACTGATCCTTGACGAGTCTAATGATACCCGACGTAGGACTCTGAATAGCCTTACTCAGTTGCTCTTCAAGAGCATCGAGTTTGAGTAAATTCATTGTGCCTCTCTCAGCCTCCTCAAATGGTATGATTATCTGGCGACTCAGATATGCTTCTTGTAGTGTCCACAGTCGCCGCATCCAGACGCTGGACAATATGCGCATGGCGGCTTCAGCAGGGTTGTTCGGGTTTCCTCTATTCATGGCCTTCAAGCCATTGTCGAGAACAATAGTGTAATTGGACTTATCAAACACTTGGAAAATTTGTCGGATAGCCTTTTTTTTGAGACGTTGTTCCACAGAAGGGCCTACTGGCACAACGAGCGTGTCCATCCAGAACAGAGCCTTCTCGGTCCTAGTTGCTCGCCCAATCTGCCTTCGGATAAATTTCAATCTGCAAGTGCTCAACTCATTCTTGTCCTCATTTCCCCAACCGTCTGACCATACGTGTGACATTGTGACAAAGTCAGTTTTCCCGGCGCTGTTCAGATCAAAAGACTCGACCTCGAGGCTGGGAGGGTCAGGTCTATCAGATGTTGTGCGGAACCGGAGTAGTGGAATTATGTCTCCGTCCTCCCTCAGGATCTCCATGATCTTTTCCTGAGTTGGTCCAAGTGACTCGCAGCCTTGGCAGTTCCCTATATGTCCTGAGTAAGATCCACGCTTATCGTCCCTGGGATTGAATTTGCACATATCTGCGGTACAATCTCTGTGATCCTCTTCCATGCGGGAGGAAGTGAAATACGCCTCGTAAGCCGACGTCAGCATGGTTGCATTTGATCTCAGCTGTCCCTTGAGAAGTTGCATCGCCCGCTTGCACCACCCTTTTTTCTTCATTCCCTCAAAAACATATCTTGGAGCTCCCCACCCAGCATGGTCGTCGGCGTGCCATCCGTCTAGCTTGACCTTTAATTTCAATTCCTTCGAGGCCATGATACTTGCTTTGGCCTCTGATAGCGTTTCGCCAAGGCACATCAATACGAGTGCATGCTTGTCGTCCATATAGAGGGCGTCCTCGATATCATAAGCGTAGCCAACAGAATTTCCGATGTAGGCACAATTCGTTCGTATAACCTGGCGTGCGTGATCCAGAACCCAGCCGACCTGGATCATACGAAATCTTAGGCCGTCAAAATGTGCCTTCTCCCAGTTCGCCCATTCATTGAGCTTTCGGTTCAGGCAGCTAGTTGACAAGTATGTCTCGGCGACGAGGTCTTCAAGACTGAGACTCGGTACTCCTCCTTGTTGAACCACTGTGAATGCAAGTCCAAAGAACAACCAGCTTTGCAGAAAAACAGCAAGGTTGGTGATTGGTTGTTCTTCCCCCAACGGCTGAATCTTAAAATCCTCGCCGATCTTCCAACCGCAACTCTTTGGAAAGGACCAAAATGCTTCGAAATTACTTGGTGGTTTCAGTTTTTTCGTCAGTATATCAGTTTGGCACTGAACCTTCACGCGTTCGGCAATGCCTTGACCATGCTGTTCCGCGACATGCTCCATCGTGTGGCAAGTGGCCAATACATCAGCTTTTGCTCAAACAAGATCAATGATATTGAGGGCCTGGCTGTTTGTGACTTTGTTTCCGCTACAATTTCTCTTGAGTTGGGTTTAAAGTAGGACAGATCACCAGGCATGATCTCTGAAAGTTATCAGCCTTTTTAGCAGCATCAGGGGGGCCAGAGCCTCATGGCAATACTTGCATCCTTGGTTTGATCAGTGCCTGTAAGATCACGCGTAGGTGACCTTGCACCCTTTCCTGATTCGACAGCTGAACAATGCCAAGTAGGAAGGTGGTACCACATTCGCTGCAGGTCAATCCACCTATGGTTTGTATCTATGTGTACCCGTACTCGAAAGGTTAATCACCACCGGGGGACCCTGAACTGACCAGGTACAAAAGCGCACTGACCAGATACAAAGCCTTGTGGCTTGGCATGACTTGGCAATAGTTCCACAGGTACAAAAATCAGCACTAGCCCAACGGTATACATATGCTTGACATATGTTCAACATTATGTATACACAGTACCTGCGGAACTATTGCCAAGCCACGGCAAGCCATCAGGCTTTGTACCCGACCAGTGTGCTTTTGTACCTGGTCGAGCAAATCCTCGATTCAGACGCACGTCAGCCATTCGAGTTGATTGCCACACGCGCGTAGTGAGCCTTGTGAGCCCACCCGGCAATAGCCAGTGTCACGGGTGCATGCAATACGGGTGATGGCTGTCGCCCCGTCAGCAAGAAACTCTTTCAACAGTTTTCTTGTATCACTTGGGTCATGGTTGTAGAGGGCCCCTTTGCAAAGCAACTGGCAGTCGCATTTATGGTTTGCCTGCTTGGAATGGGAACGGGACCCAGGGACATGGATCGCAAAAGGCTGCGCCCACCTGAAAAGAGTACCGTGCCGCCCTGCAATGGAATGCATGGTAGAAAATCTGATCACCGACCCTCTCGCCCTACGCTCGAGTTGATTAATAAAGACACCCCCCTCCCCACCCCACCCCAACACAACAGGTTCTTCTACTTGCTAAGGGTATGGCTGAGAGTTTCAGTTGGGTCTGACCATATCGATCATGGCTCTGACGAGAGCTTTGTGCTCCGCTGAGGCGTAGCAAGGGAGAAGTGAAAACCTCCCCTCTATCTCGTCGAAATCCTGAGCAGTCGTTCAATGCCATTGCACTCAAAAGATCTTCACAATGCAGTCAATGGTGAAGATCCCCGAGCTCCCTGTGATGTGTTCTGTTGCTAATATGGCTTAGGAGGATGCATTCACGACAATATTTGAGACACCCGAGCGCAACGGTCAAACACACAAGTACGTGAGTTATTGGCAACAAGGATACTCTTCGCTAATCTATAGTTTTTCAAGCATCTTCTTGATCCACGGGTTTGCGACGAATAAGTTCATCTATTTCCGCGAGGTTTTAGAGAACTGGGTTTCAAAGTCCTCCAGAACCGCGAATAAGCCTGTGCTCGTTCGTGCCTTCAGGTTCGATGCGACGAGCGTCATCGAAGATGGTTCCAAGGCTCTATTAGGAGAGTCCAAACGTCTTCGGGACTCCTTGACGAGATGGGTAGAAGACTCTCAAAGCGAAGGCTCCACTGCTGCCACCGCAGCGATGTCGATGGATACGCGTTCGGAAACCATATTTTTCATTGCTCATGGCCTAGGTTCCTGGATTGTGAAAGATGTTCTAGCCTCGCCAAGCAGCGGAAGCATTACATCGGCCCCTATAGATGTAGCCCTCATGGACGCTGCAGTCGTGCAAAATTCATCAGACAAACCATACGTGGATTATCTACAACGTATGAGCAACAAAATCGGCTTTGGGGATTCTGTAAAGGATTCCTATGAAAGCCTATCATTAATCTCACGCGAAATTGACGACAATTTCGAGAAATTTAAGAAGCATCACGTTAGCGAACATCCTCATTTACACATCCGATACTATCCAGTTATCGAAAAATCAATATGGCTTGCAGAACCACCTTTGGTCGAAGCTAGAGAGACAATAAGTCACCCAACGAATTAAGAGCCAACTTTTGAGACTAACACTCATAGCAAACACTAACGGATCGCTTTCTACGCTTATTTTGGCCGCCCAATTACGACAAAGAAGTCGCAAGATTGGACTCTATCAAACTTGTCGAGGCTATTGAAAAAGTGTTTACTCCTGTCTCTAGCGAGCAAAGCACGCAGGCTGCCCCGGTAAACCATGCAGTTCTCGACTCATCAACCCGACGAACATTGGATAGACAAAGCTCGCCTACAAACCTGAATGCCGTGGAAACCCACAAGATTGACTCAGCACCACTGATGATGAATGGTGTTGATATCAACACTTGGCTTGGTATGAGCCGGGTTGATGAGATGAAAAAGCATATGAATGCAGGAGATGAAATACAATCAGTTGTATCGGCAACACTGCGACCAGCACTTACCTCGAGCCCCGAAAATCTTCGATTGGCGTCTCGTCTGGCATCATCATTCTTCCATAGGGGAGAGCTCCAGAATGCCAAAGTTCTATTTGACCAGGTTCTTCGGGCTATGGAAGAATCAAGCCCCCAGCCCATCATAGACATCATCGCCACTCGAATGCAAATCACTATTACCATGATGTATGGCGGCATACAGAGTGGTATACAGAGCGAGGATGGCCCCAAAGGTTTATACTCGGAGGCCCTAGAAGGTCTCGACCGAGTGCTCGATGACCTACAATTTCTGCATATTCAAAATGAGTCCAATGAGGATAGAACGAGAAAAGCCGAGATCAAGGAGGACTGCCACAAATGGCGAGCGCGTTGCATGCTCCGTGCAGGTAAATGGAAGGATTCAGAAGAACTTATATCAAGCTTGATCGACGCGGACTTGGGTACTTCAGACGAAAAGCTACATAGAGATTTGGCTTTAGCGTACGCAAACATGGGGGAATATACTCTCGCAAAGGACCGCATAAAAGTAGCCGAGACCTGTTTGTTTCCAGAAAGCCCCAAAGATAACTCAGAAGGGTCATCGAACACGGATGAATTGAACCGAGTCGGCAACGAAGAAAGACCGGAAGAAAAATCGGCTACTGCGAGATCTACCGAGCTGAAGCACATTCAGATTCGTCTCGCAGATGCGACAATATCTATGTTTGCTGGCGAATATGTACCTGCATTGAAGATATCCTCCGAAACTACGACATCATTGAAAGAGGCTATTGGTGCCACACATTTTAGAACACTCGCTGCCTTGAACCTGCAGGCTAGGTGTAAGGCATACATGGGCGAATACAAGGAGGCAGCAACTTTAGCATCTAACACTTACGAAACGGTTGCGAATACTCTTGGGCGCCGACATCCGTTGGCTCTAGAATCTATGGACTGTTTGGTGCACGTATACAGAGCTCAGCATCGTTTTGCAGAGGCAATAGCCACAGCAAAATCCCTCGCAGAGAATTCCAAGAAGACTCTTGGAAGTAAACATCCCCAGACCATTCGTGCTGACTATCAAGTCGCAGTATCACAGCTTGCCAACGGCGATTATTTTACCTCGGAAAAGGGCCTTCGGAAAGTCGTCATCAGTGCTGGGGACCACGTGGGCGAAAATCACCCGGAGACATTGAAATACACGTCCAAGTTGGCACACGCACTCCTTGAAACGGGTAAAGTCGATGAAGCATGGGGGGTCGCAATTGATGTAGCCAAACGTCAGGCAATTCATTATTGGAAGCCACAGGTGAGTGCACGCAACATTCAACTGAAATAGCGTGGAACTAACTGAGAGGGGGAAAAAAAGGAAAGGATTTCTGAGCCATTGGAGTATATATGTGGTCACTTGTGTAGTCTCTCGAACCACAAAGATTCGACGTTAATTCACCCCCTCCTCGCTACTACCATCCAATTATTGGCAGTCACGCAAACAAGAAAGCTTGATTACAAGCCCGAGACTGAGCTTTCAGAAGCTCGGCTATTGCTTGAATGCCTCCACTCCTACTTCGCAACAAGACACCTTGACGGATCGAATGAGTTGAAGCCAAGTCAATCGTCAATAACGACGGACTTCGAATTTGCCATGGTTCTCAAAAAGCTTCATTCCAGAATAAAAGACCCTCGAGAGGCACTTGATAGCATCGAGAAGATTGCCGTTCTTCTCAAGGGGGTCGTAGTCAATCGGAGGGAAGCACTCGGGCCGGACAACCTGGAAACTCTGTGGGCGTACCGCGAGTTGATAAACGTGAGGACCATGCGCAACATGCTCCGAGTTCGCCGAGGAGTAATCAAGCGTATTGACTGGAAAAAGCTCGAGAAGCGATCTCAGCAGATCTACCTATCCTTTGATTCGCGGCTAGGATCATACCATCCACGGACCCTTACTTGTCGCTTATGGTGGTTTGCATTTGCGGTACTCAATGAGCCTAAAGGCTCAAAGCAAGTTGAGGAAAAGTCGAAGGAAATTCTCCAAATACTATCCACTCCAGGGGTCACAGATGAACGTTTGGTCGAATCTATGCAGATGCGGAATGTCCTTGCCGACTTGCTGGTACAGGCAGGGTACAATTCTGTTGCATTAGAGTTAATGAAGCCAGTTAAATACCGTATGAAAACAGAAGCAGGGGAAACGAAGACCGATGAGGATAACTCTCTTTCATTCATTCTAGAAAGTCTGGACGATGGTCTGGAGACTACCCTTAAGTCGATCGTTTGGCACTAAGTACTGTAAAATAGCTCAATTAGGTTAACAAAGATAATTATGCCCCTATTTTCTTAGGCCACTCTTGCGAATGAATCTGTTAGTTCCCTAACACCTTTCATAGAGAGACTAGTCCCTAGGACGAGGAATAAGTACCATTTCATACATGTCGTATTATATGTGATCCAAGATAGAGTCACATCGCGGGTCGCTTTCGCTATAGAGGACGATATCTGGGCAGAGAAGGCTTAGTTCCCGCCTACGTAATCCCGTAGCCGCCGGCCCTATATAATGCTCTATATACAAAACACACTGGTTTGGCTCTATATCTTTGGCGTTAACCTTAATCCCCTTGTCGAGACCACCTCTCGCGCTTACCATAACTTAAGCATCGCGTATTGTCAATGGACCCGTGTAGTTAAACACATTCAATTCCTCGGTCCCGAATTTGCATATTGTTCCTAGCCTTGTTTCATAGCTTACATTTTCGTGCCCTCAATAGGCGTCGACGTTTAAAGCCCTTGTCTAAATTAATATAGAAATTAAGCTTGTCTTCGATATAATTAACATTTTTAGTATAGACCTTTAGGAGCATGCTAGTTCCACTGTAGTCTTCAATCAGCCGATATATTGTGCTCGGAAGGCTTTTGTCCGCTTATTACAAAAAGCTACGAGAGCAGGCCCACCCGGAAGATGAGACAATGTAGTGACGTAAAAGAGATTTCGAACATTCGATGGTCTATTAGCGTATATTCCGCCTCGGGAACGGAAGTCCTACGCTTAATTAATAAAAGAAGAGAAGTAAGGTACCAAGGAGCTTACCGGGATGCTAATGTTAGTACTTATTCCCATACTAGTCACGATGACGATATTATTAAATAGTGACACCATACCGGCGATCCGTTACAAATAGTTATCGGACGGACTTACAACGTAAATTATTTTCACCGTAAGAGCTATGATTATAACAGAGAATTAAACTCGTAAACGGGCGAGAGGTAGAGTAGATATCATAGCTAATGTATTAATATAAAGTGAAAAAGGAGAGCAATTACAGGGAGCTAGATAAGGATCCAGGAGGTTTAAATAACCCGATTTATGGTTACACGAAGATCTCGTTGCTTTAAGCCGACCTAAAAGAGTTATCTCTCGATAATGAGATGGGTCCAAACACTAGTGACTTACGTTGTTACGCCTAACGTACCCCACGGGCGAACGGATCACACGGGCGAACGAACCACTTTAGATCATTTTCTTACTATCTGACTTTATTCCTTAATACTACCATAACGCAACATGGTCGGTACTTATAATAAAGGCCAAATTAATCTAGCGCTCTAAGCGCTTCGTACGAACCTAAAATTAAGTTTGCGACATACCGCTACGACGTATAATATATTATATAATACCTTACGTAGCCGATAATGCGGTAGAATTACACGGCGCGAAATCTCCGTAAATAATCGAAAAATTAAGCGATTCTAAAGAACTAGTAATTATACGATATATAATTAACTTAGATTCGCGATCATTTCCTCCTCGAATAAGTAGTATCGAAGATATGGCGAACCGACTCCTTTCCTAACGCGCCGCGGGACGCGTCGGAGTAAACTGGGCGTTAACCTTCGTACGACGACAACCATAACTCCGGACGCGTTTTAATCGACGGATCGATTACTAAAGGGTCCTTTACGAAGATCTAAACGCGTATCGCGCGTGGTTTACCCTCGTACGAAACGTAATCTAAAAATACCTAGGACCTCGTCTAGTCTTTCTCTTATTTAAGAATTAAAGACCCCGAATAACCTAATCGAGGAATTATAACAAAGCGAATATATACGAAATAGTATCGTATAATACTAGAATAGCTCTTTTACGGCTATAGACCAATTTGCGAAGGGTATAACGTAAGTAATATACCGGCTCGTTCTTTTAAAAGGCGAGAATCTTACACTTCGAAAGGCGAATAATCTATTAAGCCGACGCCGTTTTACGAAAAAGACCTAATTATAAGATAGAAGGTCACTTAGTATACAAGCTATAAAAGACTTACAGTCTTAAAAAGAGGTAGACGGGCAATTATAAGGTGAATCACGTTAAGGTAGTAGTCGTACGAAAAGGGTTAAGACGCAGCTATAGCGCTATAAAAGGTGCGGAGAGCCCGGACATAATACGCGCACTTGTTAAAATGTTATAGAATCGTCCTCTTTAAACGAGGACGATTAATTTGAATTGATTTTTAGCGTTGTTGTAAAGATGACTTATACTTTATGGTACGAGGTTGTAAGAAGTGGTTCGTTCGCCCGTGTGATCTGTTCGCCCGTGGGGTACGTTATATCACGACTTATTTCATTGTCTAGGGGTAATACTACAGCAAATTTAATACGCTTTATTAACTAGGCCCTAATAGCGGATGGTTCCTAATTATGATCCGTGGTTAGTTGTATCCATAAGATGCAAGATATTTCTACCGAATTATCCAAACTTGAGAACCGTAGCCAGTACATTAAAGCTGAGTGTGACGCCTAAGCTATCGGTCCAAACGAAGAGGACTTAGTAAACATGAAATATGTGATTAGAATATTACTTGCTATCTGTCGACTTGAGTGAGATGTTTCGGCATAACAGAGTGTAGTGGCTCGCTAAATGCATCCTGCCCGTCCGTTATAGCACGAACGTTTCGTAAGCTAAACTTCTATCGGTAGTAAGGCTTGAGCAGGCAACGAGCTTGAAATATCACGGACTAAAGCCGATTGCTCTGCTTTAGCTCGCGACCGTTTCCTCGGTACGTGGTCGGGATGTTAAAGTCGTCTAAATGGGCCCCCGCCTTTATGCTAATCAACGAGATATATATATCACGACTAGGCACCCTTGATCTTAACCATAGAGGCCCCGTTACGAAGGCATATATGGTACAGAAATGTTTGTTAGACAATATTTTCTTTATGCTTTGCATAGTGGTTCAAAAAGCCGCCTCCCTGCGCAGACTCGTTGCAACAATGTAGCAACAGCTTTTGCCGTGTTTCGTGCCGCTTCGACCTCCTTTACGATATGCAGTAACCGGAGAATACTCTGCCAGCCAATTCGCACGATTAGTGTTAGTATCAAGAGGCGGCGTTGGCGAGCATTCAATACCGTGCACCAACTTGGTACAATTGCTCGTCAGCTTCCAAAAAGCAACATTCCAGACATCTCAATAGCTTCCCAGATAGATTTCCCGGCTTTCCGTACCTATAGTGTTCGCCGATATTATGCCTACTGAGGGGATGGCACAAAGAAAAACCAGCTATAGCCGAGGACGTGTCTGAACGGTTCATTGAGAGGCGCCATCGTAGGGAGGTTTGGTATTACTGTGGAAGGCCGCGTATGGTCTATGAGCAGCTTAACTTCCTTAGCTCTATCGGCGAGAAAAGTTGTTTTGCGACTCTGTCGAAGTTCGCATTAAGGGTCGCTTGTGAGTACATCACGAACTCTAGACTAAGAAGATTGGGCTTACGGTGACTCCTTGGTATTGAACCAGAAGATGCTGGTATTGTTACATCATAAGTAGTGTTATGGCAATCGCAGACTGGCTTAGGATTATCCGCGCAATCTGTCTTCCGTAGTTTAGGGGTACCTTCTAGGGACATACTTGATGATAGATAATTATATGAAACGTCAGCCTCATTGATCACTCCACAGGCCATATATTATATAATTCAGGTACTATGATACTAGAAGGAGAGAAGCTGAAACTTAAGTCTGGTTGCACCAACCTTGTAGAGAACATAAAACGGATGCAGGTGCAGCTGAAACTCCTGCCAAGCATTAGATATCGGCATTTCGAGGCCAGGAGCATCTACTTGGTAATAATTTTTGCACTACTATCCACTTTATGCGATGGAGGCATATATAATTCAACAAATAAGGATGTCTATGACTTCCAATACCGGATGGCATCCAGACTGGCTTAGCAAGTACCATTGATATATAATGTACATAAAATTTCATAGAGACAATACAGTGATAGCTACCAGAATAGCATGAGCATGAAGGGTTGTGTGCGTCAAGACATCGTTATTTCTTTGACACTTCATGATTTTCATTACTTTTCCAATACGGCACTACCTATTTTGATCCAGTAGATAAAAGGAAGCCATGGACAAAAGAGAAGGTTACCTCCAGCCTGAGTTTTCTGATACGTAAACCTCTTCCGTCTATGCCATCCTCGTTGAACTCTCTTCTCCCATGCCCTCTTCTCTCACACTCTCATCTTCGACATTCGCTTCCTTCTTTAATCTTCGATCCTTCAACTCGTTACCCTCTATAGTACTATTTCTGTCCACAGTCTGTCAGAGCTTATCCGGTATCGGATTGCAATAGGATATATAAGGGCTGGAATCCTCCATACCTGATAGAGAGAAGGGCTCAGCGCGTCAATACTAGCACCCTAGCACTCCCTTGCAACACCAACGTCTGATAACCGTGTCATTGCTGCCGATCGTCAAGTTATCTCCAGCTGCGGTTGAGTACAATGTCGAGTCAATCAGCAGATAGTACTCGTCAGTGGTGATGTTGTCAATGTATCGCAGAGTTGTTGAAGCCAGGAAGTTGATATTTATAGCTCACTAAACAATGCGTCAATCCTTGCGTCAACCCCCTGGTGATCTGTCTGACGACGCGGCTTCAGTAGACGAAGTGAAGAGATGGATCGCGGCGTAAAGTGGCATCGTGGCCGCGTATCCAAAGGCCTGTATGGCACAACCCCACAAAACAGAACTAGATAACGAGTTGGTAATCAAAGCACTGTGTGACTAAGGAATAAGGACATATTGACTAGTATAGTGCGTGATCACTGTTGCCGGACTTGAATCCTTCAATCATCATAATCATGAAGATGGGTACCAGTTGTCCGCCAAACTGGAACGCGTAGAGAGAAAGTGCGGGATATGAACCATCTGTAATGTTCGCCCAAAGCACGGTGGCAAGCTTGAATACGTCATCCGCATAAGGCAGTCCCAACAAACAGATCAAAAGCGGCGCCTCAGGGCCCGGCAAGACGGGATTTGGAGACGCGAAGGATGTCGACGAGGCGGCTAATGTAGCCATTGCGAGATGTTTGGCCATGGTTTGGGTCATGCGGAGTTTGCACTCCCCCTCATAAAAAATGTGGGAATGGTTTGTTTCTAAATAGGGTTAAAATCAGGCTTGAGCTTACGAAGAACCCTATCCTCGTGGAGCGAGTTGTTTTGAGCTTCGCTCATGAGTTGCATTCGATACTGGCAAATATTGTAGGGACTATTGAATGGGAGATTGCCCGTGGCTCTCTAAGCGAGAGCAGGAGGGAAATAACCCCATATACAAATGAAAGTATACCAGCCAAGCCACGAAGTTAATGCATACACAAGCCTTCGATTTTGTAGCGGTTCTACAGGATATCTTGCTTATTTGACAGTCATAGATCGAGTATGGACGCGGCCCGGGAGCTAACTATCTAGGTGATTGCATGTACACTTGTACCACATGATATGTCCATGAACATGCCTTAACGTCTAAGTAGCTAGCTCTTCATAGCCTGGCTGAGAAAAGTACTGATATTGAAGGCATATTTTGAAAGGCCCATTTGTGATAGAAAGCACGACGTGCGCTTAGTCGTCTATTGTTGCATCCGACGTAGTTTTCCACCGGTGAAAAATGGTGGAAAATATGCCTCAATAATAAAGGATTTAATCAGATTAGAATATTATGGTATCGTATTATAAATGTAGCGAGAAAAAAGTGTAGTTTTATTAAGTGTTGAGCAACAAGTGAGTGTGAAGGACGTGGTCGCATTTAGTCTAACCTTGCTATGTATCGTTAGCTATGGAAGCGGGCGGGGTTAGGCCAGTATTTTGGAGATACGTCGGATCGGAGATAAGTACACACGAAAGACCGGTCCTTATATCCGACCAAGGTAAGACCAAACCAAGTGCCACATGGAGAAACCTTGATATGGCAATCAGAAGTGTAACAAAACTTGAGAAATGCCACAGCTCAGATTTATCTCCGTAGAAGGTAGGGACGGAAAGGCATCAAAATTGACCAGTTCCGTCAGGAGTCATGCGATACGCGCAGGTCTTCGGAAAACCACGCATCCGCGAAGGGTCAAGACGGCAGCAGAACAGTCCTACCGTTCTGCGAAATGCAGGGATGACCTGATGGCCCACTTCAAATTTCCTGAAGAATTCCAATCACTGACGGGCCTGTCTGGGCCTGGCAATGCGTCCGCTAGACTGGCACTCCAAGAGTGCAGAACTGCACACACCAATTCTGTACCCCAGACATTTGTGGAGGTGGGGCTTCGTCTTAGTTACGATCCGTATCGATACATGAGCTGATGCTACTTCGACACCAGACTTCGACACAACTGCGGGCATATCACATACAGGCTGTGTGTGCAGGCAGCATTGATCCATTCAATAGTCTCCCAATACCGACAAATCCAGAGGTAGACTGCCTAATCAAGTACTGTAGGTCCTCGGAGTACTTACCATCAGGATATGATCATGGGCTGATTTCCCCGGCTCGGCTCGCTAGTAATTACTAAGTTCGGCCTCAACTTGGCCACAGTCGACCGCAGGAAGTCGTGGTTCCCCTATGCATTACAGAACGCGCCGATGATGCACAGCACTCTCGCAATGACTGCGGCATTGTGGCGAGCAGAACATTCAGCTCTAGAGTATTCGATTCAGGTGGAGGGCATACACCAGAAAGGCGAGGCGATGCGAGAGATCAGGACCAAGCTCGCACATGCTGAGTCTGTCGGCAATGATGACGATATGAATTTCTTGATGGCCACCATGTCAACTTTGGGAATTGTCGAGGTGAATGAGGCGCGTACAGTGAACCCTGCAGTGGACTAACACGACTCTAGACCTGCGATGGTGACTTCGAGGCCGCTGAGACGCATCTACGAGGCGTGCAAGATCTTTTCAGCTCACGAGGCGGTCATGACAGCCTCAAAGACGATTTCGTGCTTTGCAAGTCAATCAACCTGTAAGATTCAGCAATCCCTTCTTCCTGAACCTCACTAACGTAAAAGAATTAGGGCCGACATCCAGGTCGCCGTCGCACTGGGCCATCGACTCAAATTTCCTCTTCTGCACACAGACCAGGCATATCTCCCGGCATCAATAATAGAGCAGGCTTGGTACCCGCCACTGGATCATTCAATACTCAACGATAGCTCGTACTATCATGTTCGGATATTCGTCCAGATAAGACAGCTGCTTTTGGCACGCCAGTCATCAGTGGTCTCTCTGGATGCCCTACGGACTCTATTAAATATGGCGGATGATGCAATCTTAAGGCACCTCTACCAAGACTCGACCGACGTGTCGGATGCCAGCAGACGCTCACGTGCGCTCGTCCTAGCTGCGCACGTCTTCACGTACGTCACGTTGCGTCAGGTGCCGCCATCGAGCCCCTTAGTTCGCCGAATGTGCGCTAGACTTCAAAGTATAGTCGGGTTGACATCATCTGCCAGGGAAATCTGGACAGAGAACATGGCGGCACTGTTGTGGGTAGCTTTCGTCGGGCTGCTCGGGATGGGGACGGGGACGGGGGCGAAAACCCCTCCGGGAGGGCAGTGGTTCCTGGCCCTTTTTCAATGCACTGTACAAAGGCATCCACAAGGATGTTCTCCGGGTGATGGCAGCATTCGCAGGTTGTTGTCTTCGTTTCTTTGGGATGAGCTTTGTTGCCAGCCACTCCTAGCTGGGTTAGAGGAGCGGTTAGGTCAGGCACTATAGCTGAGTAAGCCCGGTGATTGGAAAAGCATTTTGACCCACCCTTCCGAAATAGGAAATATGTTTGAGTAGGATTTGTGACACTGTGCTCGAGTGGAGTGTATCATATTGCCTAAACAGGCGAAACTGACGCATGCAGCCTTTCCAGCGCGTATAGCCAAGCGTTTAATAAGTATAAAAGAGACAGATCAATCACAAATATCGCCACGAAAACATCATAAACGAGGTCCTTAACCTTTCTAGTAGATAACACTGTGCATTTCTATTAACCATGACCGGAGAACTCGTTTTGCTTACCGGAGGCACTGGCTTCCTTGGGTACGCTATTCTAGTAGACCTCCTAAAGAGCGGTTATCGAGTCCGCGTCGCGGCCCGCTCACAAGCCAAGATCGACAAGGTGCAGGCAGCCCCCTCCATCACCGACCTGAACCCCTCCGCGACGCAGCTGATGTTTGTGATCGTGCCGGACATGGCAGTGGCCGGCGCGTACGATGAAGCCGTGCAGGGCGTCGACTTCATCATTCACACCGCCGCACCTATCAGTAGCGCAGGGGAGGGCTCGGCCGCGCCGAAGGACCACCTGGCGGCGCTCCTGGTCGCATCCTCCGTAGAGGGCACCCTCGGCATCCTCAAGTCTGCACACGAGAAGGGCGGGACGGTAAGACGCATCGTCATGACGAGCTCCACAGTAGCCATCGCGCCCGCGAGCGTGTACACCGACGCCGGCGCCACGGGGCGCGAGGAGGTCGTGCGCGGGCCCGGGCACCGCGTGCCCGTCCCGCCACCGCCGTACGACTCGGAGCTCCAGGCGTACTGCGCGGGCAAGGCGGCGGCCCTGGACGCCTCCGAGGCGTTCATGAGGAGCAGGGCCGGGACGACGGCGAGCTTCGACCTCGTGTCCATCATGCCGTCCTGGATCTTCGGCAGGGACGAGCTCGTCGCTGACGCCAAGGAAATGCTCTCCAACGGTGCGACGGGCATGCTGATCGGCGGCCTGCTGACCGGCGACCGCGGCGTGGGCATGGTCGGAAACGCCGTCCTCTGTGCGAACGTGGCTCGAGCGCATGTCAGGGCGCTGGACCCCGCCGTTGAGGGGAACCAGTCCTTTCTCCTCAATGCCGAGCCAAGGTGGGAGGACACGGTTCCGATTGCCAAGAAGCATTTCCCGGAGGCTTTCAGATCAGGCCTCTTTCGGGAGGGTGGTTGGCAGCCGCCGACTATACCCCTGAAGTGGGACTCAAGTAAGGTATGTGCTCGTGATTGTATCGATACGTCTTTGTCTTGGGTGGTGTTAATTTGAGATTCAACAGGCGCGAGACGTTCTTGGCATTGACCTTGCACCATATGACACGATGGTGAAGGAGGTGGTTGGGCAATACTTAGAACTAGCGAAGAGAAAGGACCAATGAGACAAAAGGTGTTGCTTTTGGCATGTGGTTAGCAAGCAGTGTTTCTGTTCTATAGTTGGGCAATCCAAATAAAATAGGCTTCACCCTATGACTATTTTCAACTCGCTGAAAGATACCAGCTCGAACCCATCTATGTCTATACACCACTCCACTTGCCGAACTTCTTCCACTCTGTGAACAAGCTTCTAAAGATAGCCCGTCCACTCTCATCCACAGCCTCGCTCAGTATCCTCCGATTGCTGTCTGGTGTAATACCCAAGATTGAGTACACACCTGTAGCCAATTCTTTACGCACATCCCTCGACACATCGCCCTCCAACTGGAGCTTGATGTAGAGTGCAATGACCCAGAACATGTGCTGTCCCGCCGATCGTTTCACGGCATCAGTTGCAGAGTCGAGGCTGTTGTGCTTGCCACGGGCAACCGAGGCAGCACTTGGCTCGCAGACCAAGGTAAGAAGACGGGCAAACTTGGCGCCGTGGCGGGCTTTGAGACGAGTGTCTAACCAAGGAGGGTACAAAAAGCTACTGTTGGTCTGCTTGGACTTGGCAGGGTTGGCAAGCAGAACACGGAGTAGGGTCTGGAGGGTTGACACCAAGAGGTGGTGATGTCCCTCCAGACGCAGCCTGTGGCGCTTGATGATAATGGCCGTTAAGCGGTAGAGGGTGTCGAACACTCCTCCGGCTACGCTAGACTCCGGATCGCTCAATCTGGGGCCTTCTGACGAACAAACGGCGGCAACAACTGCCATAGTATGTTCAATATTGACTTGAGTCATTGAACTGGCATGTTTGTCGAGCAGAAGCTCAATTACTTGGGCGGTGTTTTGGAATTGCTCCAATGTCCTTGTCTTTCTGGCAAGTGAGTTACAAAGAATGACTTGAACCGAGGCAAGGTCAAAGGTCTTGCCCTCTTCGGTTACCGCGGATAATGGGGCTGAGACTATATGACCAGTTAGCAATTTGTAGCCGAATACATTTGGTAAGGCATACCTTGAATGGCCTCGATGATCCTGCCCAAGACCGTGTAGGGAATGCTAGGATTCTGCCATGATGAACAGTCCTTCAGTAAGTCATGAAGCAGACTAGTTCTGGCTGATGCATCGAGGTCTTTGATTGACGCATCAACAAATTCGTTGATAGCCAGAGAATCGGCACTCGAAGAATATTCTTGGCTCATTTGCTTCAACAAAATATCAGAACTGGACACTCCCTTGTTGTAAGTCAAAAAAGTAAAGAGTTTCCATCCTGTAGGGACGCCTTCAGAGGAGAGTGTATGGCCAGCGTCCTGCAGCCTCGCGACGACCTTTGAAGATAGCTTGATTGGCTGGGCTGACAATCTGTCCCCAATAACGGCGGCCGCGCGCAACGTCAGATCTAGCACCATCAGATCGTCTTCGGATTTGGCAAACTTTCCAGGCTTCTTGAGTTTTGACGAAAATTCGGCGATACTGTGGCCGACAAGCTCGCGTAGTTTTTCGGCGACCTGTTCCTGGTTCAGGCCATGTTTGGCCTTGGTAGATGACCCCTGCAAAGCAATGACCACACTCTTCAGAACTATTAACGGCATGATTGGGTTGTCGGTTTGCTCTATGTCAAGTCCTTCGATGTAGCGAAGAATCTGGTCGAGGTAGGTGGCCGAGGACTCAACATTGCGAACCATTTGACCAATCATGAGCAGGGCCAGTTTCTCTAGGAAGGGCAGTAGTTCAGAAGATATGTTCACGAGGAGGCCTTGGACATCGTCGAATGCCATACCCTATATCTCATTTAGTTAACCAAATCACGTTTGACATACAGGGAGAGGGAAGAGATGTTTCTCTGTTTCGGAATTGACAATCACAGACAGTTTACTTACGTCGTAGAAGGTCGGTTGCGTCATGACCAAGATTAACAGGCGTAGAATGCGTTCATGAGCAATGGGGAATTCTCTTGAGCCAGCCTCAACCTCTGTTTTCCGATTCCTCCACGATGACATGATCCTCTTGCGGCGATCTTTCGTGAACACTTCTGGTGGAAAGTCAAGAAGAGCCGAGATCGTCGTTGAGCTCGTCGCAGAGCCAGTCCAGCCACACACATCAGAGCTCTCTAGTTTAGATATTAGAGGTTGAATTAACGCCTCCACGATTTCCTCGTCGTCCTGCACAGCATCGTCTTTGGGAACACGCTGAAGAATAGTCTCGCTAGGCCGCACCATGATTTTGGCGGCGTTGGACTCAATGCGGTTGAACAGTATTCCAAGCAAATTGCTGATTTGTTCTTCCCCACTAGATGCTTGGCTGATGGCTGGGAACTGGTTAAAAACAAGATCTATGTATCTAGACACCACCGGAAAGCGATTTTCGTCTTTGACTTCTGCGATGATGCGCTTCAAAAAGGTGCAAGCCTCGGCTAGCGTATCCTTCAGCTTGTCCCCTTGGGGGTAGTTCGCATGAGATAATTCACAACAGCAAGCAAAAGCCTCGAAGGTTGCAGTATCGGATAGCGATCCACTCGAGAGCAGTCGAGACAAATTTGCCTTGACGTGATCCCAGATGCGATTCACATCAGCAGCGGCAACCCAAGATGTAGTTTTCCTCGTGATGCGCCACCGAGGAGTCAGTACCGAAGAAACCTGAGCTGGATTGTTTGAGGGCTGTAGGACTATGTCGAGCAAATTTGACTTGATAGCGTCAATATAATCCTCATCGGTGATCCCCTGACAAATGGCGTCAAGAACGATCAAGTACGCCTCGGAGTCGTCCTCCTCTTGCAACCTGTCAACCAGGGACGATACTTGTTGGATGGAAAGTGTCCCTTGCAAAAGGTCCGCGCACTGCTCCCGGGCACGAGCGTCGTACCAGGGCGACTGATCGAGGGATTCGCCTTTCGAAAGCAGTTGAGAAATTTGACCATGCCATTTCTTAATGAAATTGATCAGGTTGCGGGCCTTGGCGGCAGCTTTCATGAGCGGATTAATGACACCTTCCACTATTTCTTCAAGTTCAAATTCCTCAGCTTTTGTGACAGATGTGACCGAAGCGAGTAGTGCATCAAAAAGCTCCTCATCGAGAAGGAAAGTATCTGAATCGCATGAGATAATGTCGGCCACCAGGCTCCAATTAGTCGCGGCTTGAAGGGCATAGCTTTTGCACACGTGCCTGAGGGTCTCCAGATCCGGCTGGCAACCACGCGTGGCGTTGCTCATCAAGTTTGTGATGACGTGCTCTGCAACATTATGCTCTTCGGCAAAGGTAAGTAGCAGCTTGAAGACGGCGGACGTCCAGGTGAGTCTCTCCCTTTTGGTGATGGGGTCGTCAAGGCCTTGCTGTGACAGGGATAAAAGGTGTGAAAGGATCTTAATGGAGGGCGCCGGGTCCTTCAGAGTAGTAGAATTGGCTATTTCGAGAGCGCCAAGTCCCTTGCCATTTGTGAAAGTACTCCTCGCCGGGTTGATCAGGTTCTTTGTGACGAACTGCCTCATCTGCTGCAACCACGAGCCTTTTCTAAGCAGGTTTCCCTTTACTTTGTCGGGCCCAGAGAGAGCGTCGAGGATGGTGCAGCAAGGATTGTATAAGCTTGCTGCGAACTCGTGGGAATCTTCTGCGCTTCCCAGGTGCAAATCCCAAAAGGCAACAACAGTTTTTGGCCAAGTCTCCTGCTGTTCCACGATACCGTCATGCGGGAGAAGGCTCAGTGAGTGAGCACAGATCCAAAGCAAAGGCGCGACTAAGTCTTTGGCAGCTTCGGCAGGGACGCGGAAAAGCGATTTGATGTGTTCGGCGCCAATCAGGACATGTTCGGAGTGCCGGTCTCTTGTCGTATTCAGACGCTGTAGGAGCTTTTCGAGGGCTCCAAAGAGCTCCGACGCAGATTGCAACAGCGTCTCGGGCAAGCGCAGGGTGGCAAGGTCGAAGGTAAGGGGCTCGTCTCGCTTCCTCTTCTTTTCTTTGGACGGTCTTGTCTTTTCTTGAGATTGGGGCCGTGAAATATCTCTGGCACTCTGCTGCAACACGGCGATGAATTTGCGCTCCAGGAAGATCCTCGAGAGGGAGAAGAGGGAAATCCTCTCAAATAGGCAGCCGATGGTGGTCCATGTCGCAGGATATCGTCGAAGCTGTTCTGCGATGTCGCTACTGCTGTCCATGTGCTTCAACAGCCAGCGCAGGATTGTCTCTTCGGCGGCGCACGATTTGCCGCCTTTCGCAGCGGATAGCTGTTGCCATATATCATTGATTTTGTGGTCGAACGGGCGGGCATCGGATTCGAGAGACCTGGCGGACTTGATGAGGGCCAGTTGCCTCGCCTTGGTAGGGATTAATTTTGTTTCCAGCGCCTCGACCAGTGGCAGTCGACTTACATTGAAGTCCCCGCGGGCCATGGTGAGCAAAATGGCCAAATGGTTATGGCGCTTTGGTCGAAGGCCTGTCTATATCTCCGCCCCAGCTTGATGAATCTCACAACGCTGTCGCTCTTCATGGGCACTTTTGGCTTAGAGCTCCAAGTCCCCGCCAGACCCTCCGTCTCCCAAAATTTCCCAGATTCTGCCATTGCCGAACTCTGCGCTAGGCTATTTACAGCACCGCAGCGAGATGCCATGTGGATATCCATGTCACCGCCTGCGGAATGTAGCGACGACAATTGCAATGGCATGGGGTCGCGGGTACTTTACTGTGCTTAGTGGACTGCTGTAGCTACGCCCTGTAGCCACGCCTAACCTCGCAGGCCTGGTGGGTGAGAGTGCTGTGCGCTTCGGGACAGAGGCAGAGCGGCAAAGGAGGCTCGTGCCCCCCGTCAAAAGTCCCGGTTTTGGCACGGAATCACAAGCGTGGGAGAGCAACAAGCTTGAGCTTTCTCTGAGCTTTCACTACTAGATCGACGACACCACTCTACCACAACAGTCAATTGACTCAATTGCACCACGTATGTATCCATCAAGCTGCACAGCTGCCCGTCCATGCTGATACCGCATTCAGAACCCCCCAAGAAAATGTCCAGCACATCCGTTCCTCCCCCACCGCCCGCGGTCGCACGACCTGTCAGCGAGGCACTTTTGAACGAGAAGGTACCACGCAACACGCCCCCCCCATTGCTCCCTACGCGGCTAACATTCCTCAGTGGGACCGCTGCCTTTCCAACATGCTCATCAAGTCCTCCCTCGGCCTCGGATTCGGTGTCGTCTTCTCAGTCCTCCTCTTCAAGCGCAGGGCGTGGCCCGCCTGGGTCGGTGTCGGTTTCGGCGCTGGAAGGGCATATGAGGAGTGCAACTGGAGTCTGAAGCAGGCCTCGAGGGATCTCAAGAGGGCAGCATAAACCCACCGTCGCGCTTCGCATCGCACCGACCATGGGGGGAAACGTATAACAAACTAGACTCGAGCGCAGACGCAGCGGCCGGAGGAGCGTGACCAAAGGGCCATGTAGAAAAGCAGGGCGGATGCTGTACTACCATTATACAAACCAATAGACGACATTTTCTTTCTCCTTCATGGCCATGACACGACAGGCAATATGCGACAGCTCCAGCGCTTTCCCTAGCTGATAACCCCCTAGGTGATGCGGACTTGGCCGTGGATGGGTGAGTGTTCGTGTTCCCATCACTCTGTTGACAAGTGTAGCGTCCTTTGAACGCATTTGGTCACTCTGACGGGGCAGGCCATGTTTGTTACCCTTGCGAAAGATCCCTCTTAGGTGTCTAAACATGACCACAACTCTCCAAATTCGCGTGGTGAATAAGCTCCATTGCGATGCTATAAATCCAAGTTGAACTCTTGCCTCGAGAAACCGCCAATTTTACACCCAGCCGTACACATTATTGCGGCATATGTCTGACCACTCGGGTTTGAGTATGACTACAATCATCGAAAGAGCGCGAACCTCGCGTACATTCGGTACTGCCGCCCCTCTTCACCTTTCCATGCCCAGATTGCCTCATCATGCTACTCGTCCCGCTCCTTCATTCTTACATTGCCGCCGCCTTGACCGGTTGTACTCGCAGCAGCGATTCCATGAACATCGTAGCTGTAAGTATCGGCATCATCATACTGTGCTCTGCGATATCCTCAGTCCGAAGACAAGATCGAAGGACGAAGGAGATGGTCCGCTTCAAGACTATTCTGCCGACGATTCGTTTCAGAATCAGGGGACCACTTCCAAACACCCGGATGACATCCTGCAACCTAGCGAGCCCATCATGACACCCACAAAGCCAATGTGGGACCAGCCAAACACCATGTCTACGGTGCAAATATCCCCGTATCTTGGAACAAAATACCAAACAGCAGCCTCAGTAGCTGTACTGTTAACTCTAATTCTGGTCGTGGGGCTCGTCCTCTCGAAGTGCTACCGCAAACCGCCGAGATCGGATACAGACAATCTGGAAAAGGTAGACACCGGTAAGCATGACCTGGATGATACCTCGGCGGGGCGGCTCGAAGCTTGGAACGAGCGGAACCTCGATAAGCTCAGAGCACAGCTCCCCTCGCTGCGATCGCGTGCCGCAGTGTACCGCTCCATCACAGAGCCGGATCCAGTAGGCTGTGGCCAAAAGGTCGATGAGGATGCCTGGCGCCGATTCCGCATGCTTTTCGCCGCAAAGGCAGCGTCACGTGATGGGAGCCCTGCCCGAAGGTCCTCCGGGTCCTACAAATCGGACCCAGAAAGTAGTGCCGTAAGTGGTGTGGTGCTCAATATATCTGGGGAGCTGAGGCGCAGGACAAACACCTAGAATGTTGGCGTAGTGTGTGATCCAGGACGAGAAGACGCCGAGAATGGGCCCCTCGATGAGTGAATACAAATGGAATGAAACTCTAGAGATTTGAGAATCGTAGCTATTTCCGCAGGATCCTTCACGAGAAATTACTGCTCTTCTTTCAAATTCTCCATATGAAATTGCTCTTGTCAATTCAGCATTGTCTGCCAGGAGTTATTCATGTCCCCCTGCGGTTTCCTGTAGAAAAGAAGTCGTGTTTTATCGAAGATTGCAAAGAAAGGACCTTTTCCAGGGGAAGGGGAAAGTCAAACATAAAAGCCCTAACTTCGTATGTGTGCATGCCTGTGTACATTCTGCAGTTCTAGGTTTAGTCTATAATTTCATGTCATCGGTTCACCTAGTCAAAAGATAGATACAAGATATTACGGTACGTGATAATATACTTGTACTCTGGAATTGTAGATGATAAGCTATGGTAGTGACACTAACGAATCAAAGCTATCAAGCAGTGGATGAGTCAAGATGGACGGCAAACGCCGCCTCATTTACGTTCATACATCCGTAGCCGTATCGCCGGTAGCTCGACGTATCTCGTCAAGCATGGCTTGAGCACTCAGCGACCCTCTCGGTGTGCCCATGGGAAACTTGTACCTCCCATCCGGCCCACCAGGTGGGTCAACCAACCCGCCCCTGGGCGAGCCATCATACAACGGTATCTGTCCCTCATAACTCCTGGTAGGACAGATCTCTTGTGCCAAGTCCATAGCATCGAGGTCCTCGGTCAAGTTGTACAAAGATGTCACACAAGCTCGCATCCAGCCCATGTACGGGCCGCCTCCACAGTAGGGCGCACACGCAGGATCCTCGGCATCGATGACGACGACGAAAGGTTCAGCGCCGCGAACACCTCTTTGGGGCATCTGAGCCGCATGGGGCGCTTGCAGTAGAGATGCCAACGCGGCCTCGTCTACAACCAAGACGCAGTCCATCCGCACCCCAGATTCCCGTCGCTCCTCGTCAACTGACCCCCGCTGCCTATAACGTGCATACTCCTTTGCCCAGGCAGCGAAGGACGTCCGCACCGAGCCATAGCTTGCTCCCGCCAGAGCAGAACGGTTCGACATGACCGCAAGTGCGAAAGCATTGGATTCCAACGCCGCAGCATCGCCACGTCCGGGGCGCCATAACGCATGCGCGCGTATCTTGGCCAACGCGGAGGACCACTGCTCCTCATCTGTTGTCTCGTCGGCCGCATAAGCGGTGCGGACGAGCACGAAACCCCACTCGCCGGCGAGGTTGTCCATAAGTGAACAAAACGCGGCGGATAGCTCAAGAGCCCCTAGGGCCTTCTTTGATTCGCGATGATCCATCTCGACAATACTAGGCAATAATTCTCTGTGGACCCGCCGATTTGTACAAATCTGAAGAACTGCAGAAGGCACCCGTGGACGAACTAACCTTAGCATATATACCCCACTCTGTTACCGATCAACGTCCTAATTCTGGGAGGCTTGCCGACTCGGCATTATTTTACGCAGCCAAGTCCTCAACCAGCAGAAACCGTCCGCCGTCTTTCTCGAATTGGAAATGAGCATACGATGTCAAGGAAAGAGGGTTGACATTGAGAGTATCACTCGTAGACTTTGAGCTGATCCTCTAAACTTGTCCAAAAGTCCATCTCAAACTCCCAGGGCTGGAACCTCACGGTCGAATCCGGCATGGTACTGAAGTCGAATTGTGCGGCCTGCGTCGAGCCTGTGTCGGTCCCCAGTTGCCTCGACATGACAGCATCAAGTAACGACTGTATAGTCTGCGTGGCCTGCGTGAACAACGCAAAATTTGGATGTCCCTTCTGAATCCAGGCTCCTAGTCTTATCTCCACGACAAGTACGTTCAGATCTTGTATCAGCTGTGAAAAGGACGGGGCGCCATCTGCTTGGAAATGCGTTTGGGGCCCCAAGAGTGCTACCGAACAGATTCCGGCGGCTGGAAGCCCGCATAATGCGACCTATGTGGCTGTCAGCCTAGATTATTCGTCATAATAGGTGCAGTAGAGCGAAATACGCACTTTCCATGTTAAAGAGGTCCCAGAATTGACCAGATGATCTCGGATCACAATGACCTCTACCATGAGGGAGAGCATCTGGGCAGCAACCTTAAGAGTCGAGCTAGTAAGCTCACACATGCTGTTCTGGCCAGCTATGTCAAGAAGCAGGAGTGTATGTAAGTAATCAAGGCGAACCGAAGCAAGAAAGTCCCGGCCGAACGCGCTAGAGTGACAGTCTCGAAGACGCGTGCCCAATTTGAAGTGTGATGGCAACGCATCCCACTGATTTTCTATCCTTGAGCGAAGATTCCTGACAAAGGCATGAGTTTACAAGATTTAGACTGACACTCGAGGATACCTACCTCGTGTGGTCATCATTTCGGCGAGTCGGTCGACTGCAAAATATTTGGAGGATCTCTTCCTTCAAGAGTGCAAAGAGGGCACAACAGCGGACCTCTGCTGTATAACTGATAGCCTCCACGCCGCTCTGCCCACGATCATGGCTAACATCGCTGCTCCCTGGTGTTACCGAGATTGTGGATTCATGTGTGTAGTAATCGTTCCTCGGTGTATAGAATCTGCCACTTGGCATCTGGAAATAGCAATAGTCTTTCACGACGCGCGGCGGCCGACCTAAGAATATCGCTATCATCTTGTCCAATGAGTATATGCGAGCAAAGCAAGTCCTCCGCATCTCTGCGAGGAAGACTGGGATGATAGACGTATTTTCATCAATTTTCTCGTGCAAGCCTAAGGCAAAAAGAGAACTTGTCAGATCTCCTACCCGGCGCCACGAGCGGTAGCCTGTTCACTTTCATCAGTCCACAAGGACGCATTGCGGAAACGGAACATGACGTATCATCAGATGTCCGATATCAACTCACTCTGATCCCCATCGACATGAGTATGAACCATGAAGTTTTCATACTGAAGTATGAGCTGCAGATCATTCAAGCAGTCGAGCGCGAGGCATAACTCTAGGCAGGAATCGCACATATGTGTCAGGGTTCTCATAAGCGACATCCGCTGCTCTTCGCTATCATAAAGGGGAACGAAGGCAGTTGTATCAAGAACGGCCCTGCTTGCGGCCGCCAGAAATATCCCGAGTGTCTCCCAACGCAGATTCTCGTCCACGATCTGTGAAATGAAGTCGCGAAACGTCGAATCCCTGGAAGTTTGAATCGGTTTATTGGAGTTCTCGAGTAGAGTCCTGGCACTCGATGGAAGGGTCAGTTGATTGTCGGGCGGACCAATCGTTGCTACAGCCTCCACGCATGCTGGCACCAACGGTTCAGCTATGTTTAGGTTGACGCCCTTCTTCAACCACGAACGGACTAGATGACAGAGATCTAAGATGTTGAGTTGGTTGAAACGATTCGCGCATCTGATGGCCCGCTCAAGCGTGTCTGGATCCTTGAACAAAGCCACGCCAGCCGGCGATGATACCGCGGCTAGTCGGACATTCATTGCGCTCCGCATTCGGACAGATCAATTCGTTGCTGAAAGAGTCACAGAATCAATCGATTGATGAGAGACTTCTGGTGAACCCGGAATTCATTGGGTCAAAGTTCGCGACACGCCGGTCACGCCGAACAGCCCGATAGCGCCGATTACGACCTTGGTGGGTATACTAGCAATTGACGCGACTAACAAACCAAAGTCCCGACAATGTCTCAGAACAAATTATATATGACTGGTTTCGACGGTCCCACCTTTGCAAACCATGTAGTAATCAGTTTGGATTTGCCTTCAGTCAGGATGGCCAAAGAATCGATGTTGAAAATTAGTGACGGCCACCAATGCTGGAGTTTCCAGCCTCGACGCATGGAGGTCGATCCAGCACAATGGGGCGTCGCGATGTCTTGCACAAGCCAGACCTTTAAAACAAAGAACCATGATCACAAGCCATCCGCAAAAGTTTGGGATTGCAAGTGATATTCCATAGTTTCACTATATACGGAACTGATGCCCCACGGGCTCTGTCCAGAGTCTCGAACGTCGTAAGGAGATATATTGCGTGATACAGGAGCACGACTTGCTCATCATCGAAGACGATTCCTACTATTATCTCGAGCTGGCTCCGTATCACCGGACTGGACATAATCCCCAGACATGCGCCACGTTGTCAGCGGAACGGCTTTTGGAGTCGCTCCTGCCATCATATGTCACCATTGATATCGATGGTTGTGTCATCAGGATGGATTTCTTCAGCAACCGGCCCGGCGCGTGTTCTGATGTCTTCTACAGTATCACATTCGCGGCTGCGTCTCTGGAAAAGATGGAAGAAGCAATCGTGAGGCTTTGTAAAGCTTTAAGAACGAGTTTCTGGTTAGAATCAAGATCATTGTGATTCATGTTTCGTTCAGAAACGCCGGGCCACAACCACGACGGAACCGGCGACAATGTCCTAGGTCGTAGCTCTAATGACTCGATAGAAGCAATGCATCCGGCACTTGATGCTGGCGGTTCGGTGGGGAGGATGAGCAAGTGACAGCCGTTCATACTAAGGCGAATAGCAGGAATGCTCGCGCCTCGGACTTTATCTAAGGTAGAGCAGGTGGGATACTAAGCTCTCTGAAAGCTCCAGTCTTACATACTTCATAGTTCGCAGTGACAGCGAAAGACAAAAGCCCCGAGGACTTGCTAGACATTAATTGAGACGATAAATACCAATACTTACTCATAAAACGAATTTAATACTCGATACCGCGCCTCTGCTTCTTGGCAAACTTATCCATTGGCCCTTGTTTCTCGTGCTTCATCGGCTTCCGCTTCAGTTCAGGATGTCCAGCATCATCGGCGTATTCGCCATTGTCATCATGGTCGCTCCCTGCGAACTGCTCCATCTCCGTCTCGCCTGCCGCCTCAAACAGTTGCCTCCACTCGCCGTTCTTCACCCTCTCGTCATCCCCACGGAGACCAATCGAATACGCCGTCTTGAGCGCCGCAATGCAAACGCCTCTTCTCTCGCCAAAGTCCAGCATAGGCGGCGGGTACGTTCCCTTCCTGCGCTCCCCCAACCCGTCGCCTTCGATCTTGATACCAGCCTTGTCGAGAGCGGCCTTGGGTGCCTTCCAGGGCTCATAGATGTACTTTGCGTCGAGGTTTCTCAACTCAGGCACATATTCTCTGATCAGCTTGCCTTCCTTGTCCCACTTCTGCCCAAAGGCGACGGGGCTGTAACAACGGTAATACTGCGAGAAGAACGCGGTGCAGCTTAGCCACTGCCAATTCCCGGCATTGCATGCGGGCTCATGATCGATGAGAAGCTCTTCGAACACGTCTGCACCGCGCTCCCAGTGGATATAACATCCACCCCTTGTCAGAAAACATGCGACGGCATGTCGGCCCAGATGGTGTATCCAGCCTTCCTGGCGGAGCTGGCGCATGAGCGCGTCGATCCAGGGGAAACCGGTGACGCCGATCTTGTACCGCTGGAACCAGTGCTCTGCTTTCTGGGAATCGATGTGATACTCACCGCTGATCGCGTTCATACCCGTCTCGGTGCCCTCTTCCAGCTTGGAGGGAAGGTGCCACGGTACGAAGCGAACGTATGGATTGTTGGTCGTTTGAATAAATGGTGAGCCGATGGCAGCCTGCGCAGCAAAATACATGTCGCGAAAAAGAAGTTGGCCTGTTAGGCTTTCGGGCGGCGTGGAAGCGCCCTTATATTTGGTGACCAGATCTTGAACGCGCCAGTAAAACAGACGAACAGAGAGCGACCCGAAGTGCATATGCGGGGATAGGAGAGTTGTAGCTTGTGGCCTGAACTCTGCAGGATTTGTCTTCGGCTTCTCGAAGGTGGCAGCGTACTCTTCGTCGGCAATAATATGATCAAGAGTCTTGAGCGCATGGGTTTCTCCGCCCCGATGGGGCGTCGTTGCAGCTGGGAAGCCGAGCTCCTCCAATGTCTCGATGGCGAAGTCACCGTTTGGACCAGCAATACTGTTATACGCCCTTTCCTCCTTATCGCGCAGCGGCGCGCTGAGGTCTGGCTTGCTGTTTGGCTGCTCATAATCAAAGTCCACAGGCATTTCCCCGGGGTCAGGGAGGCTCTTGGGCGCGGGTATGGGTCTGGGAATACCTCCAACCTTCTTGCCCGCGGCTTGAAGCTGCGTAATGGTCATTGTTGGCTTGCCGCCATTCTTCTTGACTACGTCTTCCGAATCCCATAATGTTCTGCCATAAGGACTGATGACCTTGACGCCAGCATACTTGGCTGCCTCTGCGACAGCACTGTCTCGCTCCCGAGCATAAGAATCTGTGTCTTTCTCATAAACCAGATGAGTAACCTTCCAAGCTTTAAAGACCTTGGGAAGCACTGTTTGTGGAGCCTCGCGCAAAACAAAGAGTTTCGACTTCGGATTGAGTTTGGTGATGGACTCCGAAAGGTCATTTTGACAGTCGAGTCTGAGTTTGTGTTTAGTAACGAGTGTCCTTGGCATCGTGATTTCGACTTACAGATATTGCCATCTATTCACACCTCCTTTGGCTCTGTAAACATAATGTGGGTCCCACGTAAAGATGGGCCATAGGACTTCGGGGTCTAAGTCTAAGGCGGCTTTGAGCGCAGGCGAATCATGCAGACGGAGATCAGTCCGGAACCAGTATACTACTCTTGGTCTGCCCATCTTCGTATGCTTAACGTCACCTTGACGAGTGATTGACGAAACGCGGTTTGGCAAAACAATGCCTCATTTGGTGCGAAGCGGTTGTGCGGGCATACAGCGGTCTCAGAAACTTACGCTAGCCTCGTTTTTTAGAAGTCCATGATGTCAACATCCTAAGGTTAGCGACGGTTTGAGCGTTCGAGCGCTAGAAACCGAAAAGAAGCCAGGACGAGTGAAGGTAATGATCAGGCTGAAACCAAAGTAGTATGCATAGGTCTTATCACGTAACGATTACAAACTATACGAGCGCCCTTCTGACGTTTGCTCAAGTTACCATAGTGGCTTATTCCCAAAGACGTATATACATCTTGGATACATCGTGATGATAGAATTGATGATACCCCGTATCAACGACGCCTGCTAGTTTACAGCAACTGTTTGGTTCTCGGTTGCATCTACACACGAATATGAGATTCTGATCTGGACTTTTTGCGAACGGCGAAGAATAAGTTTATATGCATCATGGATCGCGTCGGACCACTCCGTACATGTTCCCCAGAATTCCCTTACAGTATGTAGTTGGTTAGCGCAGGAACAACTGCGGGAAGCGACAAACCCCTGACGATCGCCTTGCATAAAGGGAAAGCAAGTTTCAGCGACTCTTTAGTTAGAAAGCTGACTGGCTAGGTGGATGAGGGATCTTGCGCGTTACTCCAAAGAAAGGCGCATAGCACACCACGGGGGCAGCAGAATGCTCTTCTGAAAAGTAATTGTAGACGTTGGTTGTCCATGTCGATTTTCGTTGTTATAGAACTTAAGTAAAGGATGACCCTTGACTGATGGGCTTGCCGGCCGAGAAATCACGCGATCTAGGGCATTTTGATATTGCGATTTTATGCAACAGCTTTGGTCCCCGCAAGCTCCAGGGAATGCGCAGGCTGTATATACATACAGTATTCTGATTCTGTATACAGGCGGGATCCGTAGCATGGTGCCCTGCGGTTCCGGGTCCGCATTAATCTGGAGGTACAGTACTAGTAGGCAGCATGACTGCAATGTCCTCAATAATAATGGGCCGACGGATGGGGCATGACCAAGCGCTGACTTGCTCAAGAGTGCTAACCTAGCGAAGACAAGCAGAACGTAGCTGTAGAATACAAAAGGCATACTGCACATGGGCCCAAGCACTTGACTCGTGGTTCCATTGAGGGTGTGATTCGCAATCTGCAGATGTAATGATACTTTAAGGGTAGCATCCTACTCCAGTTCATGTGCGCCTTTGCCGGTCGTAGTTTATGGATGGTTTTGTTTCTTGTTGTTTCTTGTTGAAACCTGTCTCGAGTCGGTCGCAATCGCAGTCGCCAGTTGCAGTCCGTTGCATATGTACAGCGAGAGCAGCCAAGGGTCGCCATCAGCGCCTTTGTGCGGGCATGAATGTCAAGCGGGATGGTTGCACCCTGTTGATTACTGGTTAACAAGCCGCAAGTCAATGATCGATGCAACAACAACAGACTGGCAGATCAGCACAAGTTACTTACTCGCAGCAGTAAGGTTAGCACTACGGCATGTAATAGTAGACGTCTGCGTGCTGGGCTCTTCCCTGTACTTCCCTCTAGTAGCGTCCCTTGGAAATTCAGTAGTGCTACCTTGGGCCAAAAGGCCCAGGGAGGAAGGCAGCACAAAGGCAAACGCAGGGTGCCGCGAATGTCCCGTGCACCTTGGGAATTGGCTCGGCCCCGCTTGGCTCCCAGATTCCCTTCACACCGGCCAATTAGAATCCTGGTTGGCACTGTTTCACGAGACTCCTTTTGATGAATTTCTGTCCCCCAGCTTGCCCAGATCCCTTCCCCCTGGCTGTCAACTCCTAGCAAGATTCCCTCTGCCGATGACCACTTTACAGGCGACGGGGCCTTTTTTTATTTTAAGATAAATTTTTTTAATTGTCTCGCCTTGCCCGTCAGAACATGTATGCATGCTGTGTCCGTGGTCTTGGTCTTGCAGTTCTTGGTCTTGGGTTTTTCTATCGCGCAGTACCACTTGGCCACTGCGGAAAGGCACTATTGTTTACTATTCGCGTCTCTCGTTCGTCGGTTCATTGATTCATTCATTCATTCGTTCATCCTTCTAACCCAAATTAATCAAAAGCATCTGGATCCAATACTCTCACTTTCACTCCTTTCAATTCCCATCACGCCAGCCCGTAGCGCTGCCGCGGAAAGAACTAAGGGCTCAAGGTACCCGGTCAACCTTTTATTTTAAGTAACACATACTGGGAAGACATCTGTCATCGAAAGCCTCCAAAAGTGGGAATTCTTGGAATTCACACCAGCTCCCAGCGCCCAGCGCCCAGCCCCTTGCGACACTCAATACAGCTACTTGCAATAAACAGCCCAAACACCACATGGTAGCACGCCGCAGCTTCCCTACAGTACAGCAAGTCCGCGAATGGTCCAGATGAGCGAGGGAGCACCTGCAGAGCTGCTGAATTGATTCTGGAAAGGTCTCGGGAGAGCAGAGGAGAGACCAACGGCCGAAACAGCCCAATCTTTGCATCTGATCGCAGTCTCCTCGACCCGCCACGATCATCTCAATATTAGGAACCAAACTCCAACCTACGAGACTTTTATGATACGATTCCGCAGCAGAAATAGCGGCCCAAGATGACGAGGCCGCACATCATTCGCGCCGGTACGTTCTGATACATTGAGCCCCCCCGACCCCCTGCGCCGCATTCACTTCTTTTCCTGGGAGCATGTCGTCCCGAGGATCGACTTGGCTTACAGAGGATCCCTTACTTCTGTCTTGTCGCGTCATTTCCACCCTCTCTCGTGCTCTCCCTCTCCTTCTCTTTGTCTCCCTCACGCTCTCCCAACTGAACCACAAGGACTAACTCCCCATTCTTCTCGCCTCTAGACTCTATTGATCTGCAAGATCACGACGCTCCTTCTGCAAAAGACCACAAGCAGTCTGCTTCCGCCAATGGCCAGTCAGTAGCACCGCATCAAGCAGAGACCCTCCGCGAAGTGGCCGCAGAGACCAAGGAGGACAGAAGAGTTTCATGGACCAACGGAGACATTGATATCCAGCAGTACGCTGATGACGCCACAATGCAGCAGCAGCAGGATGCTCTCGCCATCGCACAGAACGGCGGAGGCGCCGCATCAGATGACGGCAATATCGACACCGACGACGACCTGGACGACGACGATGATGATATGGACAAGATCTCGAGTTCCCCTTCAATTGATGATGGTGAGGACGCCCACACCCCCAAGCTGCCACTCTTTTGGCCAGCACGCATCGACTCTTTGCGCAATCAGCCTTCACCTACAAGTTCTTCGGTATCCAGCGAACCAAGATCGTCCTCGCCGTATATGGAGAGGCCTGTTTACCTACCTATTCCTTTGCGTCTTCCTATTGGGCAGTCAAGCAAGGCTTCTGCTCAAACAACCACTTCGCGTCATCATTCTACGGGTGAGTATACCGGAAACGACCTACCCGACACCACGGACGACATCTTTAGTGACCCTTCGCACAACGACGACCCATCGAACTAGGAAACCGATGAACCCGACGTGCCCGAGACTAGCCAAGATGAAGTCAGGGAAGGCGGGACAGGCGAGGAAAAGGACGAGAACGACAGTGGTATCAAGTCAGACGATGCCAACCTAGAGCCTACACTCAGCCTCGGGTCCACGGAAACAATCATGAGCGAATTGACAGGACCGGACGAACCTATCTCGCCTTACGATTTCTTGATACCCTACACGGCTTCCGAAGATGATGACGACGATGACTTTTCCTTGACCGATGATTCCAAATATATTGATTGTGGCTGGAGTGGCAAATGCTTACAAGACGTAGAGGATATCGATTTCGAATTCGTCTATGCCCTGCACACTTTTGTCGCGACCGTCGAAGGTCAGGCCAACGCCACGAAAGGTGACACCATGGTGCTACTCGACGACAGCAACAGCTACTGGTGGCTTGTGAGGGTTGTAAAAGACAGTAGCATCGGTATGTGTATTCTGCTGATCAAGAACTCGTTCAGCGTTTTAATCGCGATTACAGGATATTTGCCGGCAGAACATATTGAGACACCAACTGAAAGATTGGCACGTCTCAACAAACATAGGAACATCGACCTATCGCAGAGCATGTTGGGTGACACCGCAGGAGAGAAGAGCAAGAGTACTCTCAAAGTGGCTCTCAGGGGCAAGAGAAAGAAGACAGTGGTCTTCACTGCACCTACGTATGTTGAAGCATCTGATGTGGACTACTCATCCGAGGAAGAAGAAGAATTCGATGGCGAGCCTGGTCAACAGCAAGCAGCACAGCAGCAACAGCAGCAGCAGCAGCAGCAGGCCCAGCAAGCAACAACCGTGGACAATGTGGAGGATGATTCCGCCAAGGTTGAGCCTCTGAAACCTCGGGTTAGGAGCAATTCCGAGGAAAAGGAAGAAATCGATGAGGATGAGGCCGAATCCAGGGATAGCGATGAGATATTTGAGGGCAAATCCGACAACCGCGCTAGGACCACCAGGAACGGCACTGTCAGAAACACGGACTCTTTTTTCAAAGACGAGACGGTGGAAACCAAGAAGATCACACTTACACCTAATCTTCTACGCGATGATGACTCTCGAGATTCAAACTCACTTGACTCTCAAGGTTTGCGACAACGCCCAAGTTTCGACAGATTAGAGAAGGAATTGGTCACGGATAAGCAGAAGAAGAAGGAAAAAGACAAGAAAGAGAAGGACAAGAAGCCGAGCGTAATTCGGAGTTTCTTCTCACGTAAGGACAAGAAGAAGTCGGTCGATGATGACGATGATTCCTTCGGCAAACGATCGTTGGATGCAAGTCTGGATGGCGCCGAAGAGGACGCCAAATCTGTCGAGGTCGACGGGTCGCCAGAAAAGGTTGCCTCGCCTCAGAGAAACCCGAGCAAACTCCAGAAATCGCAACCGAGGGCGGAGTCTTCGCCCAGCAGGAAGAACAGCAACGCAAGAGACACGCAAGCTGCTGCTGTCGAGGCAACGCAGGCTCTGGCAGCGGCTGGAAAGGCGAAGGAGGGTTCGAATGGAACTTCGGCTTCCCTTAGAATGGTGGAGTCGGACCCCATTGATGCCGCAGACAGGTCGCCACCCAAAGAATCCAAGATTTCTAAGATACTGCATCCGCCACCCAGGGTTAGCAAGTCCAAGTCGCGGGTTGAATTGGATGATTTCGATTCGTCTGAGGATGGGGAAATTATTGCTGCCCTAGAACCCAGCCGGGAGGCACCGCTTTCGCCCGAGGCTTCTCAGAGGCAAACCCCTGAAGAAAAACAGACACGACCTGTGTTGCCGGGATCGTACCCAGACAGCTACCTTGGCACTGCGCAACCTCCAACGCCGCAACCGACTGCACCAAACGCACGCTTACAGCAACCTTTGGAACGACTTTCGGAATCACCTGTCCAAGTTTCGCCTATCACGTCGTCTAATCCTCCAGCATTGATGGGCGACACATCAAGCCAGGAGGATCGCTCGTCACCGATATCATCGCCTTCGCCTGAACCGGCCGATGTTCGTGGCCATCAAAACCAAGACTCGATGACATCTACTTCGGCCACAGGCGCAGCAACCTGGAATGATAACAACCTAAGGGCTTTCTTCGACTCTAGCTCCGAGATCCGGGATCTGCTCACTGTTGTTTACGACAAGACAGATGTGCCGCCGGCTGGCCCTGACCATCCCGTTGTAGGAACGTTGTTCAAAGAACAGAACGCCAAGTTGGCTGAGATCACCTCGGTAAGTTTCCCCCTAACCGGCGGATTCGCACGATTTTTCTAACATGATGCCACAGCAACTCGACAACATGCTCGGAGACTGGTTAGCCCGCAAGCAGCGCCTTCGCGGCACCGTTTAGAATTGTTTTCATGCATCACTCATTCGCATAGCGTTTCCAGCACAAGTCACCTCGCTAGGTTTGTGGCTAGGGGCTGGAGCAACAAATTACCCTGCACTTTTCGATACTTGGGTTCCTATTCCGTATAATCGGCTGGCGTATGGGGGCTTCTAAGGATATTACGGGCAAACGGCTTGGGGTGAAGCACAAGATATACCACGGACACTTTGTTCCGGCTTTTTTGAATTTTTCTTTTCTTGCTTAGAGACAAATGAGTCAACGACCTGTATTTTTTTTGACACGGTATGAAATGAAGGTGGATTGGAGGTTTGTCTTTTTTTTGCATCTTCTCGGTCTTTTAAGCACTAGAGGAGCTTCTACACAAAGGTCTCACAAATCCCTGGCGCCTAAGTGCTAGGGCTCTATGATAAGAGGTGTTGTGAGACGTGTACTATACCGTCGCATATAGCAACCGCAATGTACATATTGTTGCTTTTTCTGGCGTGTTCATGCGTCTTTGCATTGATGTTGATTGGAGCTGTCAGGTACTGGAACTTAGGGAATGATATGCGATTGTTTGTTCCATTGATATACACCCATGGATCCGTCTGATGTGACCGGGGCCAAAAAAAATTTCAACTTTTTACGAGTGAGGACGAGATGTTTAGATTATCCGACTGAGTGTTTCACAGGCTTGCCTTGAAGCGATTGCATTGCACGAGATCATGTCCAACGATCGGGAGCTGGCTCTGTGCCAGCATCCAATGTCTGTCTACCCTTCCCTGTAAAGATGTTGTAGCACCAGAGTATAGAAAAGGTGGTACAAGAAACTATTGCGTAGTGAAGCGGGCATCATAGTAAGTGACTCACTATTCACGTATAAATGGCCATCCACGATACATACGTAGTGTACGACTCAAGTTGGAGAGCCACTTCCGACGCGAGTACGATATACTGCTAGCTAGTTCTGACTGACATTTGTTTGAGTTAATGAAAGAACACCAAAGCAAAGACCATAACACAGCCGCGGTATATATCGAGCTTTTTATTACTAAAAGCAATGCTGCTCATGTCAAGCAATGCGCAAGCCGCCAATTTACATGTGGTTTCAAGGCAGGCCCGCCAAATTGGTAGCGAGATCCAAATCGGTCGTCAGCGCCTACGACTCGGCTGTGAATGGTCAACAATACCCACCCAAACCCCCTCTCGCAGGAGCCATCGCCCCTTTGCTATACCATAAAGACGCAACATGTTGCTCGAGTCAATTAATAATGTGTCTAGACTGTTTTAATATAATATTCCTTTTAATATGTCGCAACAACAGGCCTTGAGTGATGAACGATATGCCCAAGTACACAGGATTGAGAGCCATGGTCCGCCGATCAAGTCAGAAAGCGAGAGCCCTGACCTAGGAGCCAGACAGTTCCAGCCCAACGTCGGATCACCACAGTATCGCAGCTATGAGGACTCTTATTCACCTCCTGCGCAGGTCGGGTGGTACCCAGCGGTTCTTCTACCTTCAGAACTTCGCAAATATCACCAACCGCCCACTTACCTGTTCTCCGAAATCATTCCTATCGCGGACCCTTCATCTTTCCATGATCTTCCTGCGGAATACACGCACATCCTGCCGATGACTACCCTAGTCGAGCCGAGATTTGCTGCTCGTGCAAATGAGCTCATCAATCAAAGACTTAATCGCCAGCCGGGTGGCACTTCAGTCGTTGATCCAGACTCAATCCTGGGCGAGTCGGGTCGCCTGTATCATGGTTACAAGGACGGAAAATATTATTTACCTAACGACGCTGTAAGCACAGTTCATCTGAATATGGGTACGTAAATGCTGAATTTGAATAGGCTGAGCAAGAACGTCTCGATTTGCAGCATGAGATGTACCGGCTACTATTCGACGGCTGGCTGGCTCTTGGTACGTTCATTGGCCTTCCGGTATCGGCTGAACTAATCAACTGTATCAGCCCCCATGTCAAGGCCTCCGAGATATGTGCTTGATATTGGAACAGGAACAGGATTATGGGCAAGAGACTTTGCGGAACAGAACCCATCGTCTTATGTCATTGGTAGCGACCTGAGCGTTATCCAGCCAGATACGACGTTGTCCAATCTTGTGTGGTCAAAGGACGATGCTGAGGATGCGTGGCTATTTCCACTGCCCACGTCGCATCTCGTGTCGGAGCATCTCAGAGATTCGAACGTGCAAGCACACCTGATACAATTCGATTATATCCACCTTCGACTCGTTTTTACTTGCTTCAATAGCCCACAGACTGTCATCAAGCACGCTTTTGATAACCTCAGTCCAGGTGGACTGTTGGAGTTCCAGGACCTTTCTCCTGAAATCTATCAGAATAATCCAGCGTTCGAAGGAAATTATACCCCCAATCTCACTGCGATATGGTATCGTCCACTGACACGGCACAGGGGATGCACTACAGCGTTGGTCGGAAGCATGTAGTCGCGGAGCAATGAGCGTCGGCCGCGATCTTCATGTGGCAGAGAAATACAAACAATGGCTCGAAGAAGCCGGTTGTGAGCCGTACTCCGATATAGCCGGAGGTAGAACAGTTTTGCTAATGCCCGCAGTTGTCGAGGTCGTGGAGACTCGATTCGTGCTGCCATGTCACCAGTGGATGAAAGACCCCAAGTTCAAGCAAATCGGTGCTTTCAATCAGCAAAACTTCACAGAGGGCGTCCGCGGAGGCGGATGGAAGATGCTGAAGGCATCGGGCATGACGACGGAAGAGATCGAGCTCCTCATATCTCAGGTGAAAACCGAGCTGAGGATCAGAAAAAACCATATATACGGCTATGTGTAGGCTTGAAGCACTTTGCGGTGTGAAATTCCCGTCATGGCTAACTATCTTGAACAGTTATGTTGTGTATGGACGCAAACCTCACCCCAGCGAACTGCACGCCTCTGCTTCATCAGTGCCGGCGCGCAGTTGATCTAGTTCTAGACAGTGCTGAGTTCTTCTCGAAAACGAAGCTCGACTATAGCGAATTATTCGCGAAAAGTCAGATGATCATGCACTGTCATGGCGCAAGAACATGCGTGGATCTGGATGATGTGTTATGGTGGAACCTATGACTTGTGTTTTATATGATAGCTGCATCTTTAATTTCGCGCGGAAGTTATACATGTGTGTTAAAATTGATCTCGAAGAATAATACTGTGTGTGAGAACCTTGAAAGATATGGGGAAGCGGAAGTGGCAGGGGTGGATACTTGATTAAAAGATTGTAGTATGCTGAATGCGATTGCACCTGTTTCTCACACTGCGAAGCTGAATAGTTAATATACCAACTATTTATAGAAGTAGAAACTTATAGGCCACACCCTCATATAATATATATACCTACATAAATGTAATATTTCCTAGGGGACATACCGTACTGCTACGAGTACAGAACGGGTGTATCGGCCGTTTTACCATATACTGTTTGAGTACTCGAATAAAATCTTCATACATCTTGAAGAGCATGCTCCTCTACTATCGCAGGTTCGTTTTCCCTCCTGAACACCCATAGCCCAATTTGCTTAACCCGTTGCGGAACGGCTATCAAACTCTGTCTTCCATCATCCCGATGAAGCCGATGCTTGGTCCTTCGTCCCTGAGCCCTGCCTCCGTACGACCAGTTCCAGTTCGTTACTGAGCAGCCCCTGCCAGCGGCGGCGCTCTTCTGGACCTCGAGCTCCTCGAGCAAGCGGATGTCGTCGAGATGCAACTCCCCGTCGATGCTTGATGACGTGAAACAGCCGCGCCGGTACACCGTGTAGACCACAATGCCCGTCCACGTCAGCGGCCAGAATGCGATGTCTTCATACGCGATGCTACCACCGATGCGGTAATCCATGTATCGCCTATGCCACTTGCGCAGCTCATACCACGACTCCTGGTGCGCGCCGATGAGGCACAGGGTCAGACCGACCAAGAGGTAGATTATGGTGGTGATGGTGGTGAGAAAGTAGGATACCCACGGGGCCTGGAAGATTGAAGACATATCTGCGAAAATTATTCTGAGCGTTTCGAGAAATAGTTATGGGGGGTGGGTCGGATAATAGCGACAGCTGGTCGTTAGAGGTACTCCATCGACGGTAGATTCGTGGAGGCTAGACTGAGGCCATCCCAGTGTATCCTGATCTTGAGGTGTAGTTAGCAACGAGAGAAGCTTGACCCAGATGTAGGTGATGCTTTACACTCTTGTTAACTTCGGGTCTTACGATTCTCTTGGGCAGGGCGATGCTTGAAAGTCTCTCGTACCGCTGATACTAATGAATGAAGGGCGGTGCAACTGAGCCAGATTCAAGCTGAGTTTGAGTCCTTCAGATGCGATGGGATAGGTCGATCGCGCAATTTTGTTAGAATATTGTACTTGTTACTCCTTTGCGTTGAAAAGCTGGACCAGCAAACGATGTCCTTGTTTGAACCATTTCGTTTGATTCGTTAGATAATTGTCCAAAATACACATCAACTCTATTTCGGGCGCATGAGCATAGTTCGAGGAGATTGCGGTGGAGCTGCAGGCAGTAGATTGTCAGAGATGTACAGGTGAAGCTCGCTGCAGGAAAGTGTGGAGGTTCTACGGGACAGTTGAAGCTTATTCTCTGGCTTCTGACCAAGCAAGAAACGTGCATCGGCCGAAGCGGACGAATCGCATAAGCATGAATGACCAGCTGAGGCAAGTCCGCTAACTCACCAACGACGACGACAACGGTTCGGTACAAACTAGTGTGGCTGAGAGAAAATTCTCAAGTTCAGGTTTAGTGGTATCGAGAGCGAACCACGAACAATATCTCGAACATGCATTTGGTGTGTGAATTACCTGCAGCGTAAGCGAGATACACGTAGAATGAGAAGGTAAGTTAAACAAAGGACGTCTTTTGAGGCTGGCCAATACTCGGAAGAGTTTGATAGCATATTTGAGGGGCACATCCGCCCAACGAGACTTTTGTGAAAGAAAAGGACCTCACTAAGTATCGGATCCATCATTGGCACAATATCCGCACTTTACTAAATGAGCTCATGTGTGGGAGAATCTAAGACTTCAAAGAGCTAATGGACGATATCGTGTGATACAGCCTCTGCTTTTACACAATTGTGTAACTGTGCCTCGAGTACCCAAGGTGGGATATGATATATCCTTAATCGCGTCGAATGCAGGGCGTTCATGTTTATGTAGTATGAAGCTCCACGTATGATTTAGCAGATCTTATGCAATATTGAGCTTGGTCATCCAAGTTCCTAAGATAAATTATGGCGATTGAACATCGTATATTGATGGAACGAAACCGTGAATATGGATTCATTTGATTAAAATGCCAAGGTATATCCTCTAGTGGATACTGTTATATCCTAACGTTTGCATCCATATGTAACGTGCTTTCAATCTTGTAGTTTGCGAACGTTTTGTAAGCTATTTTAATTGAGATATGGAATTGTCAATGCAGCATAAAAAAAAGGTAGCGTATCAATAGGAGTCGGCTGGTCTTTATTTCATTGCAGGTTCTGTCTAAAAAGAGAACGCCTTCTCGAAACAATTTGCAAGGATTGGCTGATCAGTTGCTATGAACAAAATGAATATCGAGCAGATGAGGCTCGGAAGTCTGAAAACTGAACTAAAGCTGCATGAATGAGCAGCCTATGTACAAAGGGAGCTGGCAGCACTCAATTTACAGCATATCGGAGCCTCGCGCCAGCCACGGCACGAAACAGGCGGATGTCCAACCATGGAACTAGCCGGGCCACGGCATTGCAACCGTCAAAGCGTTGTCTGGTCGCCTGCAGACGGAAACCAGTAAGGTCCATCCGGTCAAGATTGATGTGATGGGTGAGGGTGTAGATAAGAGCGGATCCGATCATAACACACATGATGTGTTTTTTGGTGCTATGTATGGCTTTGCGCGGTTCCTTTTTTCGGCTGCACGCATGTCGGTGTTGCCCGAGAGTGACACAAACCGGGCTTGTCGATGAGCAATTGGCATCGCAGGTCATACAAAGTTAGATAGAAACTTCCGCAGCTGAGTAATGTGCGACTGCTTGACACGGATTAATAGAGAGCAGATCGTAGCTCAAAAATATGTGTCATAGTCGGACTGCGATTGCGCGCTGGTCTCGCTCCACCCATCGGAAGGAGGGGAAAACAAGTTGTTGTAAGACGCCGGATACTGCGCTAGGCCAAGAGGTCTTGGAAAGGTTCGACTAAGATTGATAGAGAGTATTTCTCCCAGGTAAAAACCTGGTACGGTTATGCTTCCACTGTCGCGGTTTGTTGAGCGAGAACTACGATTATATCGCTGTACACGTTACATGTGGCTGACTGCAGATAGAGGACTGTGCGGCAATCGGTTGTTGATTGTTGCAGGGTCGGGGAGTGGTGTCATTATGGCTTGCAGATGACGCCCGCATAGAAGCCATCTCATGTGTTGAAGCCTAATCGTCCCGAGTGTCCGGATTGAGCCACACATCATAGAACAGTGAAGATGGTCACAAAAACTGAGATTCCAAAGAACCAGAGCCGCAACGAGTCAAAAGTAGCGGTAAGGGCCTCCGAGTAAGGGATTGGCGGATGCAAAAACACCAACGTAGAGACAGCGTAGTTGTCGGCGTGATCTTTTTTTGATAGCCAATCGTCAAGACATATGCGGCCGATACACAAGGTGCGTCTGATTACGCCCAGCTTCGCAATAGATCAGATCCCTGAAGGCTATCCAATTGGATGGTGTGACAGGAGTCCCCACGCGGAGCCTCATTTCATTGTTTCTCGGGACCTCTTCCCTATGGAGAAACACCATGTCATAGCTTGATTAGTCGGGTTGCCCGACAGAAGAGCATGTATCGTCTAGGCGGTGGAGGTGAAATTTGCGCTATATGCATGCAGAGATTAGTACACTCAGAATGCTGTCTTTTATGAAAACCGGATGCTGAATCTAGAGACCTGGGGTACGTGGAAGCTGCGATAAAACTGCCGGCGGTAACCAAACAAGCACACCGAAGAGCGGGTACTAACATGACAGATTAGTAAAGAGCATGGCGAGAATGCGTAGAAGAGGACTGACTTAATTGGGCCGCTAACGAAATCGTGAGGGCTGCATTCTTTATGCACCTCAATGTTGGGGTCGAAGTTTCAACGCCCGGTGGAGCTGCAACCTTGCATGAACTGTATCCACGGATAGGCTACGGCTTGAAATAAGGCAACCGTCTGTCTTCGATTGGTTCGCGAACCATTTCGACATAGTTGTCGAAAAAACTCTTATTGGATAGCTCTCAGAAAAGTCCAATCAGGTCCGCTCATGGTATGATAAAACTGCGACATGGAGTATCGAGACCTCTTGGTTATATGCAACGATCGTAGAGAGCATCAAAAAGAGAAGCTTCGTTTGGGCCAAATACAGATACCGCTTTGTCGTTGCTATACTCTACGGTATCAAGGGAGTTTCCAACGCCACGGATTTGCTTGTGAGTAAGGGCGACTCCTCAGTTGCTCCAGCAAGGCGGGCAATGGCTGCTGACGGCTTGCGATAAAGAGTGTCATTGAAGATCTCCTGCAGCAGGGGTTGGATAAGATACTTAGAAATTCGAACGAGGTTCTACGGCATCCCATGTGCGAATTAACCACAGTCCTTGGATCGGGTTGCAAGAGCGGGCAACAAACTCAAAGAAGGAATGCTTTACAAAGTAAACAGGTTTTGATTCTTAAAACGCAGTGCAACATAATTGAAAATTGTTGCTGCATTGGCTGTATCGCACAGCTGGAGCGGGCGTGGTGGCGTCGAGATCCTGGTCGATAGTTCGACCCGGGAAATCATTATACAACCCCGCTCGAAGTTATAGATATATCGATGATGCCCTGCGACTTCGAGGACGTAGACAGTCGTCCGCCTCATTCGTGTCCCCGCTCCCACTAAGTCCAAGGCCTGGTCCTTGACCTTTGCTTGTGAGCACAGCTTGACAGTTCCATTGTTTTGGGGAAACGGTAAGAGATATATATATATGCTTATTGCTCGCCCGACTGGAACGCTTTCATACCCAACATTCCTTTCATCTTTTTACAAATTTATCACATTCAGGCCTCATTTATGACTCATTGAAAACATGACTGCACCTCCGTTCATCCAATTGAAGAATGGTGGAGGTCAGCGGCCGCCGCCTCCCCCCCAACCAGCACGGCAAGGATACCCTCCGCCAGCAGGAGGACAGAGACCAATGCCGTCCAATCTACCACCTTCGCACCATAATGCAGGGTTTCGAGGCCCAATGCAGCCCCAGATTGTTCAAAACATGTTTCCACCAGGTCTACCCAGAGCTGAACTACCAGTGGAGCTGCGCCTCAATCGACCAGTAATACAGGTTTCTGATATCAACCAGCGCTTCTTGTCCGAAGATGATATGCGCGTACAATGTACTGAGTACTTGCCCGTTCGTTTCGAAAAGGTTCAGAGCCATGACCTCTACGACGACAATGGCCAGCTTGTGCAGCCCAACTGGGACAAGGCAGTATGCACACAAGTGCAGGGTATGTCGATAAAGGATATCACCAAAGAGATACGATGGTTAGATATGAATACGCATGATGTTGTATCGAAAAAGGCGACTTTACCACCGGCACTGCTTCGCCAGCTCGATGTCGCCATGGACGATCTCATCAAGGCAGACTATGACACTGCCAACTACGTGTGGACTTTAGCACAGATTGACCAACAACTCAAGAAGGTTGACACGCACACAACGGTGTACCATCATACAGTGCCTCGAGGCCACAAATCACTTAACTCGAAACACCACCACTCGAGCAAGAAGAGGAGATATTCCACTTCAGGGAAACCAAAGAAGAAGTGCATGGAAAGGGTTACACTCACGGCATACTTCAAACGTTCACCACGACCTCAGGCACCAATCCGACAACTTTACGAGGCTAAAGAGAGGGCACGGGCTATGACACAAGGTGGAGGAGCACCGATGGGTGTAGGCCCTCCAGGATTCCCACCTGCGCCAGGCGGTCCCCCAAATGTTCCGCTCAGATGGCCCGCTCCGCCTCCAAACCCACAACCCCAGGGCGGCGGTGGACGCGGTGTGCCACAGATGGCTCAGCCAGGTCAACGACCACCTGTGAAAGGGCGACCACCAGGGAATGGGCGACCACCAGTTGCTGCCAACATTGCAGCAGCCGGCCGAAAAAAGCAGAAATCCTACAAGGATTCAGAATCGGACAGTGGTTCGGAGACTTCGTCCAGTTCTGGCTTCTCAAACAGCTCAAACTCAACAAACACTTCAGAAACCCAGTCATCGCACTCTTACAAGAAACGTGGCCGCGGGCGAGACAGGAGCCAACATCGCAATCATAACCAGCCGCGAGAATCCAGCCGAGCCTATGGTATCGCCTCTCCGAAACAGCACAGCAGACATGAGAGGAATTATATACTCGACCCTGGCAGTCGAATTCCTCCCCCAACGGCGCTGCATGCATTACCCGTATTCACGGAAGATCTTGACAGGGTCAGAGATGAAGCATTCCGTGCTGGACGTGCAGCTGAGGCGTACAGCCGACAATCTCCACCTCCGCCGCCGCCACCGCCGCCGCCTGCGGTCACGACTTCAGCGAGTGATATAGACAGGCTCCAAGAGGATGCCTATAGAGCGGGAGCGCGCGATGCTCGGGCTCGCGATATCGTGGACGAGTATGAAATCCAGCCCAGGCCGAGATATGGCCCTAGGATCATTCAACCTCCACGAAACATTGTTCGGGCTGTTGATCCCAGGTTCCTCCCTAAAGAAGCATTGCACAGTATGCGTTCTCCAGGTTACTCAGATGATGACCTACCACCCCTCGAGCGCCTTTCCATGAATGACCCTGAAAGGTTATATCACCAGCAACAGTCACGGCGCTATTCAGCGTTTAAACCACGGAACTATGACTTCAATAGCGATGTCAGTGTGGATGACTACGACAATGATTTCGTTACAGAGATCCGGGGACGGCCATATTCAGGACGGAGGCATATAGCAACCAATGACTACATAAGGCGGCGTGAGATTCCTCGAGGGATGGATTTTGAGTGTAGCCCAGGGAAATCTGATGGCTACATGAGGCATTGCGATTCATCCCGTCCAATGGATTCGGGATACGACCCAAGGCCGACTAACAATGGGGTGGGGCATCGCGAGGCTCACGGAATGGGTGGTCTCAACAACGGACCGGGCACAAACCCTTTCAACCCTAGATATCCGCCAAGGAGAGGCTCGTTCGAGCGCCGTCGCGGATAAGTAGGTATTTGTTGACATTGCTCCCAGTGTTTGACTTGAGATTTCAACTCTGCATGACTTGGTACGACACTAGAGTTTGTAGCTTCGGATATAAGGAATGTATTGTTCAGCGTGTTTGGAGTTGATATTGGGTCCATTGGTCGAATGTTGCGCCCAGAAACTGTGACGTCGAAATGAAGATGGGTTATGAAACATGATTCTAGCAAAAAAGGTTCTATCGTTTTATTGATTTGTTAATAGTTGATCAATTGATTCATGATAAAAGCTGTTGGACGATGCTTTGAGTGCATATGGGTAATATTTGAGAAGTAAATGGTTCTGCTTCATGGAGGATTTTGTAGACTACAAGAAAATTTAGCTGTACCTCGCACTGAGTACTTCACCTCTTGATGCTTCCTGTTTGATGTTGCGGTACGCATGAAATGCATATGATTGAAAAACCATACCGTATAACGAGGAAAACATCAAGCCAACAGGTAAGAGCTACATGTGTCGGCTGCACTCTTGGAGCTGTGTATAAGCGTTCGCAAACTTGGTTTCCTCAACTTGGAGATTCGAGGCGAGGCACAAATTGTCTCAGTACCCGAGACAGGCGCTTTCGCAGTAAGACAGACACCGGACTTACAGACACCACACAACGCCATCTGTAGCTGGAAGTGTCTATCCACCGTCATCTTGAACTCTTTATCTTATGAAATAGCCACAATCCTTCAAGCAACGGGAGGGAAGCGTACGAGAATCTGAACTGTAGGTTCGGTAGCAAGTCTGGTGTCATTGTAGGAGCCATGCAGATCTTACCAATAATTTGTAGCAAGGACCATCAGGTACCTTTTTGAACCGTCGAAACGAACTACACGTGGACGGTAGGAGACGAATGAGAGGGAAGAATACGGTGCAGAAATGTCAGTTTAGATGAAACCGATAGAGTTGTCGACCCCTGCGCAGATCAACCAGACTTCCAGTTGTCGGGTGCATCACTTTCGGCACAGGGTATCCGGGAACCTTTCTGTTTTCTTGCTGACAGGGTCAGCGTGACTAGAACTTCGGGCCACGATGGGAGGAAAGGTTCCGACGGAACTGAACGGAAGGCAAGGGAGGGCCTGGCATATTTTAGATGCGATGCGACACCCAATCTCTTTAGGAGGGTGGTTGTCGGATCCATGTTTAGGGGACATGAAATCTCATTGCGGTCATGAAGACCTGTATTGTGGACGATTCGCCTGCCAAGTTGCAGAAATGATGGAATCAAGGAGGAGGGCCTGGCTTGTTTTGGTACGCGCTGAGACGGCTTCGCGGCCAGATTATGATCACGATTCATTAGCTAAAACCCCACAAGGCGCAGGCACTAGAGTTGGTGGCGTCTGCGGGCCGGACGAGAGTGAGGTCATAGACTGGCGAATCTGGGGAAAAGCTCTAAAGACGCGACTGAACGTGGAAATTGGCGCTAGTTTCGAGCTTTTTAGCTGTTCAGCTTTGGGTGCGTAGCACCAAGTATGATGCAACTGATTGTCTTTTGCCTGTCGTCCTGTTCCACTACCGGATTGGTAGCGGGTGGCTGTTGACACTTGTGGTGTTTCCGCAATGCATGACGCGTCGCGTGACTTTGGTTGACGATCAGGTTGCTTTGATATCATGTTCACAGCGTCGAATCGCCGGCTGCAATCCTCACGGCTAGGTGGTTTTTTTTTTGTTGGTAGGTAAAATAGAACAGGAACAAAGTTACGCTGCCCACCGTTGCATGTGAACTCAGCGCACTGCACTACAAATGATCGCTCCCATGTGTACTCACAATGTGCCTAGTTTGGGGTCGTTGGTTTACAGACATGGTATACACAGAGAGTACAGCCGAATAAAAGCGGATTGGTCACGATAATCGACATGTTGTATTGTACATATGCAATACTAGATAGGAGTGGATGCGGTGGTTCGATTGTGTGATCGATCTTGACCAACAAAAAAAAACCAAAAAGAGAGGAAAAAGAAAAAAGCAAGAAGAAAAACCTACCCACACACCACACACCACACACACAGACACACACACACACGATGAACTCGCACTCGCAAGCAAATCTGAACTTGATGTTCTGGCCCCCGTGGGATCGAATAGCCAAGGATTTTAATGAGCGGCAAATCGCATCATCCCTGTCCTCGCTGTACAAATGCGGTGCCGTTGGCTTGCATAGGGTAACTAACATTTAAGTGACATGGGAGTCAGAGTGGGTGGAGTCCCAGATGAATAATTCTCCTTCGCACCCCTGCGATACCACCCCCCCTGCCCCGTTGAAGCTGTCAATCTCATCAAGAACCAGCAATCCACTATTCCAACCAAGCAGGGCATTGCTTTGTCGATTTCCTAGCTCAATTGGGTGCCAATCGCACTGGATGATGGGCAAATTAAGTAAGATTGCCAGACAATAGATTCGCATACCAGTGGCGTCTATCCGTCACCTAGCCGGCGTACCAAAGGCACCTGGTATGCATTTGGGAGATTTGCGTAACGTAGACCAGAGCTAAGGCCAGCAAAAAAGACTGAAAGCCCGGGCCTTTGGTCGTACCTACGTCTGGTTATGACGTATTTCAATGAGCTGTTTCACGTCACCACATGCCCGTGAATCAAGCTTCAGATGCAATGTTAGAGGAGCCAGCCCAGGCGATTGACCAAGCCATTGACTTGATCCACGAGGCCGGTTGAGACTTCCACTGCATGCTGCTAGCCTGCGCCCAGCCGTCTTGTTTTGTCTCTTCCCAAGTTGCACACGCACTGGCAGCCTATAATAAACATCTACAACCCCCAATGATTTAACCTGGTGCTCCTGTTCTCTCTCCCATTACATCAAAGACTTGACCAAGTCGCAAATACTCACACATTATACCCCAGCTCATTTCCTTTTTGATACCCAATTCCCACCTTATCGTTTGGTTTGTATTCTCTCTCCATCGATAATTCCTAATCTCTAAAGCGCCAACACATTCACCACATCACCCATCGACATCATGACTAGCGTAAACAAACCTACCGACGTCAAGCAGAAGGAGGCAGATGTCAACCGCAAGCTCCAGATTTACGGCATCATCAATGCATTCTCGAATGGCAAGGTTCCGTCGGTAAGCCTTTCGTCCTCTGATGTATACGCGCAACGAAATGCTAATCTTCATTCCCACGACAGAACGATCAGATTGATGTTGCCCTGAATAGCTTCCTCGCATCAAAGGCTCTTGGCGGTTCGAACAAGCTGTCGTCGGAGGGTCAGGCACTCGTCAAGGATTTCAGAGACGTAGTACAGCAGGCCAAGCACCTCCTACTTTCAAAGAATGAGGGCAACCTGCTACAAGATTTTGTCTACCAAACCACACAGTTCGACCCCAATGCCGTTGGCACGCCCAGCGCACCCGTTGGCAAGGACACGGCGAAGCAGCATGGCGATCAGGCATTGGAGGGTTTTCGCACTTTGGGAACGCTGATCATTACCAACGGTCAGTTCCGCAAGCTGTTGAACGATGCCGTTCTTCTCCTACGCGACATTGCTGGTGATGCTGCTCAGAACGCCGCAGGAAAGGTCAGACCTTCCGATGAACAGCTCAGCAACATTGATCGTCCCGCCGATGATCACACATGGCACGAGGCACCCGACTTCTCCAAGGGCAACGTCAAGGCGCAGCTTCAGAACGTCTACAAGGGTGACGCCAGACAGGATGCTAAGAATGTCGCCGGTGCTGGCCTCAATGCCGCCAACCCGACTTCAAACGGTGCGGATACCGAAGCGGGTGCGAGAGCCGCACGTGACCAGGCATCGCAGCACATCAACCAAAACCTGTCCGACGAGGACCAGCAAAGGATACGCGAGACTAAGCAGAATGTGAAGGAGACTGCCAGCCAATACCGGGAGCGCACCAAGCAATATCTTGGCAACAAGATTCCTGAGGAGCGCCGCGACCAGCTTATCTGGCGTCTCAAGGTAAGAACTTCATTTTATTCATGTACATTGGATATAACTAACATGCTCAGAAAATGGTAATCGAATGCCAACAACACCCCGACTACCAGCAGGCAATCGGTACCCTTCTTGATCTTGCAGAAGAGTATGGTGACCACAGTAGGCGTCTCGCCGGCGGCAGCACTGGCACTGTCAAGCAGACGCGCTCTAGCCTCGCCCAAGCTGAAGCTGATCTGAAGACGTTGATTGAGCGCTTTGCCAATGGCACTTCCAGCGATGATCTGTTCTCTTCTATCAACGCCATTTACGAGGATGCTGATCGAGACCCTGAGCTCAAGAACTGGTTCAAAACCATGAACAGCTACATCCGCAAATGTTTGCAGCAGCAGGGCTACATTATGGAGGACTCATCTACACAAGAGTGGAACCGCCTCTATGATAGTGGAAACTACCTCCTGCGCCAGAAGTACCGAGGCCACACAGACCGTGTTGTCGACGAAGTTAAGTTTCTTGTGGGACAGTTCGATGAGGATCCATTGAACAGGCAGTTTGGTGCCTCCATGCAGAAGCTCTTTGCGGATCTTGGCAATGATGCCGATGGCAAGCCGACTTTCAAGCCCCACCTGATCAGGGATCTTACAGATGTTATTCTTCCAGCTGCTTTCGAGAGCATTGCGTATATCCCTATTCCCCGCATCGAGTACAGCGACCCCATGATTGACGCTGTCGTGGAGAATCTGGTCTTGGAGAGCGACAATTTCATGCCCAACGTTCTGGAGATTGCTAGTGACAACTACTTCCGCTGGGGCCGCAAGCACATTACCAACAAGCACAAGAACACCTTCGATGTCAAGGTTGCTGGTGTTCAAATGGATCTGCGCGATGTCAGCTACTACGTCAAGCGCAAGCAAGGTTTCCCCTCCATCACTGACACTGGTGTTGCCAACCTGTACATGGGCGGTGATGGTTTCTGTTTCCGCATGAAGTTGTCTAGTGCCGACAAGACTGATAGACAACACTTCTTCAAGGTCGACAGCGTTGATGTCGATGTTAAGAATCTGAAGATCAAGCTTGTCAAGTCAAACCACAAGATGCTCTTTGCCCTTGCTAAGCCTTTGCTGCTCAAGGTCCTCCGCCCCGCCATTCAGAAGGTTGCCGAGAAACAGATCAAGGATCAGTTCAACCAGTTTGATGAGATCATGTACAAGGTCAAGCAGGAGGCTGATCGTGCCGAGAATGAAGTTAAGGATGATCCTTCGCAGGCTCAAAACATTTACCAACGCTACGCCACCTCCCTCCAGAAGCAAGTCTTCCAGGGTAAGAAGAAGGCCGAGAATGTTGCTGCTGACAAGAAAGTCAACATTGCTGTTACACAAGAGGATAGTATCTTCCCCAACATCAAGCTTCCCGGCGGTATCAGTTCCAAGGCCACGGAGTACAAGGAACTTGCTCGCAAGGGTGAGAAGTGGGAAAGCCCTGTATTCTCCATTGGTGCCGCCTCCAAGAGCACTGATCTGCCCCGAGCCCCCGAAATCAGACGGAAGGCTCATAAGACATCTTCGCCGACCCACAATCAGTCTGATAATACTGGTTACTTGTCCCACGGCGACACTTCCACTGGCAGTGGTAGTTATTCAGCCGGTCAAACGGGTTACGGCTCTAACTCGGGCTATCCTTCCAATAACACCGGTTATAACAATGGCGGTGCTTATGCCAGCCAGAAGCCCAGCGGTAATGGCCACCTCAATGTCACCCCGCACGGCGGAGTTTTGAACGGCAACACCACCAAGCCTTTGGCCGATGGTTACGCCCCAAATGCAGGTGCCAACAACATCGCAATCTAGGAGAATAATAGTGGATGACAAATTGGCGAATGGTTAATGAAATCCTGGTTGATGGAAAATCGATACCCACACAGAAAGTCTGCTTTGTTTCCTTTGTATCACGACACATACATAATTAATTTTTATTTTTATCGTACTTGATTTCGAATTTAATGAATTGTTTGGTACAAGATAATACGTATAGAATTTGAAGTTGAGATTGTCCAATACCTATGTATGATGTTCCTGCGCGTTGGTATCTATAGCTTCATCGTATCAAGGCATTGGCCTGCAAAGTTGCTAGGTAAACCGTTTTCACACTACCGATATCCATTTAGGTCTAGGCACTGTATAAAAGCCATGTGGCTTGTGTGTTTGAAACCATACTCCTCAGTTTTATGTGCAGACTGCGGAGAATCGAAGTAAATCCGAAAAATAATTAATGAAAATCCACTCAATATTAAGCACAGAAAATTGGAGTGTTTAATGGCAAGGTGATAAGTTTGAGCAACAGGTAGACTCTTACTCACTGTATGTGAATATTTCCACTATTGACGTAGACCAAGTTGTACATTAGAGTGTTGGCAATATTTCATGGAGCACAAGGTACATACTCAAGCTTGGGCTTAGACCTGGGTGCGAGAGTGGGCAATGGCTCTGTACAAGAGGAGATTTCAGTGATCCGTTAGTCTCGTATCCACTATGGGTCTCGTCATTTGGCATGCCGGTGACGGGCTAATTGGCGTGTGGGCGCATGATGTGTGTATCGAGCTGTGCTGTGGTCTGTTTATATAGAGTTGGAATATCTGGTGATTGGTTATTGTGAAGGCCGGAATGGACTGGATTACGAAGCTATACTAATGTAAAGAACAAAATACTGAGAGTGGAATCCTAATTTAACTCCACACTTGTCGCTTTATTGATGTTTGTGATCATATACATGCGATGAATGTAACTTGTCGTTGAGGATATGGGGGCTAACCGAGAACAAAAAAACGGTTCAACTTGCTAACAACAATAAACATGACAATTCCCTGTCTTTTCGTGGCCAACCCGTCTCATATAGCCTTCAAATTGATTACTCATAAACATAGCAGAATGGACTGCCACCAAGTGTGTCAATAAGTTCTCTCAACGTTCGCTTAGCGTTCAGCGGCTGAAAAAGGAGCACATCGTCAAGAGTTCCATTTTGAAACAGCGGGATGCCCGCCCAAGCTCTAGTTCCTCCTATATTCTAGAGCAACTTTAATGTCAGATTTCTTTATGATGATACGATAACGGTCTGAGATTGGGTGACTGTCACTCACCTGTCTGTTTTCCCAATCCAAATTCTGCCAAATGAAATATAGCCTGTCAATTTGAGCATGATGGAGGAAAAACCCAGGCTCTGAAGAGCTGAAGTAGAAATCGCTACCAGGGTCACCACCTACCGTTCATTGTCAGTTCCATTATACCTATAATCAAGTAAATTCTCTGTTTATAAAGACCTACTGATCGTATAATGTCCTCCGCCATGAACTCCAAAGAAGACGTTTGCTGCCTCGGGATACCGTGTGTCTCCCTGCATTATGGCCTGGAACAACTCGATATTCGGGCTGTCCAGAACGAGCTGTGTACTATTTCGTAACGAAGCCCATTGTGAGCAGATGAATCCATTCAAATCCCTCTTCAGACAGCGCGGGTTGTAACGCGTCGGGTCGGGATCCACGATAGAGCCCATGGTCACAGTGTAGTTCACAAACGGTCCGCTGTACACACAGCCTCCGCCAGAACCCAATGGTATGCCTGGAATATCTAGTGCAGGAATAGAACCGGCGGTTCGGTTCAGAATCTTCTCTCCGTTGCTTCCTAGCGAGGTAGCGGAGCCATCGAAGACGGGTGACGAATTGGGGTCTTCGCAGTCGAAGCCCCACTCCCAGTAAGGGATCGTGCCAGTATAGCCGCATTCCTCAAGCTTCTCCGCGTATGTATACAGAAAGTAGCGGTGGAATAACAGGAAAGCAGCCTGACGTTTCTATTAGGGATATATGATCGTTTGTGACAGTGTGCTGCTGTTGACTCACAGAGACATGTACGTATTGTACAAGGAGGACATGCAAAACAGTAAAGTCGTCAAATGCGGTCCTGAGCGATTGGTTAACAGCTCGATGATTGAATGAGGGGTGACTTACTTCGAGCCCTCGAATATGGACATTTTTCCAGGTTTATTCATCAAGCATTGAACAGCGTTTGTGTATGCGATTCTCTCGTCGCCTGGAATATATCTCCTGTACAGATTAGTCAGCCTATTTCACTCGAGCAAAGAGCCGCTGCTATGTACCATTCTTTGTAGACCTTGACATTCTCCTTAGTGCAATTGTGCGGGCCACCGCTCTCAAGTCGACTCAAGGCATTGTCGTGGGCGATCTTGCTCAATTCTGCTAAGGCTTTACCGGAATCTATGTCGTCCAGGGAATACTGAGCAATCCCAGCTATCTGCCTAGTCACTAGTGGCAAGAGCCACAGAATTCGCTTTATTGAAAGCATAAAGGTCATCGTGATATGTTTTCAGGTGTGTTTTCATGTCTTCAACAGGTACGCCCACATCTTCCAAAAGTGGGTTTGTCTTTATACTTCAAGACTCAGTGCATCCACACTCACTGCAGGCAGGGCCTTTTTCATTTACCCAAGCGCTCCCTGTATGAGACGCTTCAGTACCTTAACTTGGTTATCAGCCTGCAAATCCCAGGTTCGAACAGAACCAGTTTCTTCAGCAGTCGACATTGCAGCCAAGATCTATACCGAGACGTACAAATACGACCCTATGCATGTCATATGCATTAGGTCTCATCTTTCCAGCAACTATTGAAAGGACCATTACGGGACGGTGGCCAAGGAGATATCCAACACTTAACAAGTGGCCAAAGAACTGTAGCAATTTACGCCACTTCTGCACCCGGTATACTAGCGTCAGCGTCGACTCCGTAAAACAAAACCGTGTAACAATAAGCTTCTAACCTAGGGTGCTCACGACTTACCGTTGCAGCCTTTCAGACGTGCGTCTGGCCCAATCGCACATTGAAATGCAACAAGTACTTGGCCAATGGACGCCAAGAAGACTCGCCGTTGACAGGACGGTCCTGCACACCGCCAAGGCACAATCTTATTTGATGCGACCCCAATTTGATTATTTAGTCGACAGTAGATCCCTCCTAAGCGATGCTGTGAGATCATTTTGTTTGAAAACTCTGCGCCTTATAGCCGGCGAGAGTGGGCAATACTCCTGCATGCGCTAATGCATGTGTCGCATAGTACTACTTATCACTACTTCCGTTGGAACGACATTGGCAATCCCAAAACAAGTTAGCTTTATCATTATTGCTGCATATCTGTCAGAAGCCGCATATGCCCATACGATAATTGCACAGGGTCATATAGTTCATGGGACTTATACCTTCGTCATACAGGGCTAGGCCCGTAACAGCCAAGGATGACGTCTTCCTCAAACAAGCATGGCAGCGACCGTTACTGAATATTCATATGAGACAAGAATTAAGTGCAAGAAAGAGATTCTATCATACTAAGATCCTTCACGCATCACATCTACTCGAAATATGTCTGGAAGTATATGGTGCATCAAGCTGCAGCTCCTGATATACAAAAAAACCAATTTCATATTATAACACATGGAAGTTGATGTTTCGCATGTGAGGATCAGGAGGGACGAATGTTGGTCATCAGCAATTTGGATGCTCTGAACACTGTTCGAATTTCTGTTAGAAAGTCTGGCAGAACCCCTCACTATGAAGGTCAAAGCAGCTAAAGCATTCACGTGCACAGGGACATACCAGGGACGGGTGGACTACCTATTGGACTCTTGTGTCGTTGGGAGTAAGCAGCATATAGCACATCTCATGCGTTGGTCGCGATCATGGCTTTTCATTAGACACGGTACCATTTTACTCCTTTAAAGAAACAGGTTTTCTCTCAGGACAGTGTCTTCACAAATAGGTATGGAGTTCAACCAATACTCAAAGAACTAATAATTAATACCAAAGATGACCTCTTAATTCTAGCTAAGATAGAAGCTGAAGAGCACAAATCGTTCATTTGATCAGTGTTTACACTGTGTAGATGTTAGCCAATTAACTGTGTACCATTTGGTCGGCTCCCCGCTCGGCTCGCCTGCTCTCAGCTCCTTTCCCCTCTTATTATATTTTCCAATCATTACCGTCAATCTGAGAGTCAACATGATAATTAAAGCGAAATATTTGAACTTTCGAGAAGGGCTAAAGTGGCCAAAACATAAGGCTAAGCGTAACGGAACTGTACTCTTATATGCTTATAGCACTAACATTACGGCTGTCACGGCCTGAATTCCAAGGCCACAATGCAAGATAACCCCCTCTCAATTGTTGCCAGTATCATCGGTATTCTTACCTTCGTCACAGCGATACTAGGGTCCACATACATCCGCTGTAACATCTTGCGCAATGGGGAAGAGGCAATAGCCTCAATCCTGAAGTCTGTCACAATCACTATTAAGGATACTGAGGCATTGACGCAGATAATGTCGTAAGGAGAGACAGAACACGACTTCGGCTTTGATCTGCGAAAAACCCCTCCTGAAATACCTCTATATAACTGAGCTCGATATTTTGGTCATATATATGGGCGCTTCTGGTGGCACGGATCTGATGGGGAGTTTATCAAATTTTCAAACTGAAAGTATTAATAACGAGATATGGCAGGACGTGATGTAGGCTCCCACACTGGGTCAACAACGGGAGCCGCAGAAACGAACGGAGCATGCTCGTGAATTCCGGCGTAAATTCCAGCGACCCCGCGACATTATTATTATAAGACATCCCCAACTAGCACTTTTGTGGTCAGGTGTGATCAATCTTGGCGCAAACAGGAAATTGATACACTGGTAGATGGCACGAAAGAGGGCCTTGGGGAAGATCAAGGAAGGAGAAACGATTCAATCACGGCTATTGCTCTATCAAATCTCTATTGCCAACTCTTGAGTTCACTTAATACCAGTATTGAGTAGAGTCAACTAACACTTATACCCCCAGACTCGCATTGCTAAGCGGGGAACATATTCTCAAGTTCGAACTGAGCTATTTTAAAGGTCTCGCATTTCAAAAGAACAACTCTATACGGGAGATTAAGCATGAGAGCAATAGGATCAGAAGTTTTAGAACTAACATGGTAAGTTATATAGATAGGGCTAGAGAGTCTGAGTCGCAAGCCGCCTTGTTATGACTACTGCCTGTGCGGTCTACAGTTAAGTGGAAAGGTCAAATCAACCAGGCTTGGTAGCACTTAGTGGGACATAGACTATCACATTTGCGAGAAGATACCATAATATTGCTTTGAAACTGGCGTTCCGGAAGAGACAATGAGTTCGCCATAGGCTTTACAGTGTACAAAACCCTGTATAAAGCTCTCAGAGATGGCTCGGGGATCACAGGGATTGTGCCCGGCGATAACGACTTTACCCCTGGCAAGAAAATCTCACGATATATCATTACAGATTCCAAAGGTATTTAATGGTCTGTACGTGTTTTAATCCTGGACTATCTTTCTGTAATGTGACGCTTATACTATCGGGACCGCAAAATAAGGTGGCATGACCAGCTGGAAAGGGTCAAGACGAAGATGGTTATCCAGAAGCTTGCTCTTACGAAATTACTTCACACGGTCTAGGGATGCGATTTCGTCCGGGCCAGACTGCTATACGCGGTGGTGATCCGGGGCGCTATCACGCACGGGGTACCAGCGTGGCATAGAGTAGCGGACGACCCAACGGGACTGGTAAACGATCTAGTCTAGTCGAAACACATAACGAATGCCTACGGGTGGTATTGAACCAGGACCACTGTCTTGTCCCTTGGTCATAAGCCTCACGACGAACTCACTGGTTCACTCGCAGACTGATCACAAAGTAATGAATGAAAAGGATGAGCTTGGTGACCAAAATAGTATTAATTAGCGACAACGAGCCATTCTCGTTGTCTTCCGAATGCACTGTTGTGAAAAAAAAAAAAGCCAACAGCTAACTGTGCAAAAAGTGAAAAGCATGCCCCAGGAGACTATCTGCAAGTTCCATCCCTTAGACCTTATAATGATCAGGCCGTGAACAACTCCGACGAAGGTCGTACGACCCACTTAGCCCTCTTGCTGTAATAGTACAGCCAACACTCACTACTTCACTATATAGTTATTAACACTTTAAAGGACAAGATAAGCTAGCTTACCGATTCCCCAGATCTTAACTATAATCCTCGAATTATTACTTAAATTTTAAACAACTTTATTAAACCGCCGTTATATACATATATTGAAGTAGTGAGTGTTGGCTGTACTATTGCAGCCAGAGAGCTAAGTGGGTCGTACGACCTTCGTCGGAGTTGTTCACGGCCTGATCATTATAAGGCCTAAGGGATGGAACTTACAGACAGTTTCCTTGGGCATGTTCTCAACACTTTTGCACAGTAGTCGCCGCCCGGTTTCGCCTATACGCCCGAGCAAGGCCATGTCTACAGCGATTGGCCATGCGCCTATGTAGGCAAGAAGCACGTCGTCTAACAGCAACGAAAGGCTGGGGCTGTAGTGCTAGTGGTAAGTGTGGCCGTTACACAATCCATATACAAAGGGAGTATTCAAGTAAAAAATAAAAAATAAGATATAAGCTTAATGTTCGCGAAGTTACAGGATTATGTATAAGGTGGCATAATACACGTAGCCAAAGTGCTATGACAGGTTGTCGAGTGTATCTAAGACTAGTTTTTCACTATTAAGACAATTCCATCTCTATTAGCGTACTTGAGAGCTTACGGCAACGTCTCTAACGTAGGAAAGCATTTGTCGCTCCACTAGGTTACCCCACTAAGTAAGCACCTGTTGCTATATCTCCTTAGGCTCTTCGTTACGCACACCAACACTAGTTCAACGTGTTTATTATTAGGCTTAAGTGCTTAGCCAATGGGCGTAAAAGTGATAACACTAAAAGCTGGCAGGAGGGTGGTTACCATGAATTAAAACTTGATTTAAATCATAGCAAATCTAGGGGTAATCCGCGACTAGGCTCTTCGGAAGGGTGTTACCAGTGTGAAAACGCACAATGAGTACTTACACCTAGACATCACTACAATGTCAATGTAGGGTTGCCTCAAATGGAGTGGCCTTAGACATTTACCCATTCCTACCCAACAACACGACGTAACGCTAATACATTTTTACCATTAAAGAAACCGACTATAGCTATAGCGCCGCCTGTTGCGACCGCTAGTACTAGCCGAATGCGTCCCAACCAAAGAGTAGCTTCCACTCCACCGCCTTTACAAGTAATCACTAATCTCGACCTCACTATGGCAACTACTAACTTCCAACACGCCGCTATGGCGACCTTGACTGGTATGTCTTGTTTCTCGAAGTTCTCCTCATTCTAGTTGTTCTCGTGTTATTACAAGGTAAGGATAGATGGTAATGGTAGCAGTGCCTTTCCTCCGCGTTCCGAAGCCGAAAGGCGTCCGGATTCAACGGAG